AAGAGTGTTCGATCCACTCCAAGTAAGATCGATGGTGACTCCCAAAAATGCCGACGCGACGACATACGGACCCCCCGGACGGGACGGTTGCGACACATACCATTAAAAATAATGTTTAACCACATCCCTTACAATGAATAACGACAAGATTTCATATTCTAAAAGTAAAGTAGAACACATTCCTTGTCTAAAACGGCATACACATGCATCTTGTTTAATATATGTCACCAACAAATTGTTCAACCACTCATCATTCATCCGAATCCGAAGATTGTTCTTGATATATTTCATGAAGAAAAATTATCTATACACATGTTGCAACAAAAAAAAAATTGCCCGAGAAGTTTTTTTTTTTTTTTTTTTGCATCCTCGAATAGTATCTCTTCATCTAATTTTTATATCAAGATCTTTATTATATGACAAATCAAAGAACAACTTAGTTTAGTTAATTGAATCTTATCAGACATAGTAGTGTGCTGGTGAGAAGAACAAATCCGTAATTTTAATTTCAAGACAAGTTGTTGTAAGGGGTTCTACCTATATTCTAGGATTTTTGGATCCCTTCCAAGGGGGCTGCTGGCACCCCCCACATCCCTGAGTGGCTCCGCCACTGGATGTAGAGATCATGGTGTGTGAGAAGTTGCTGAAGCAACTGGCCGAAGCAAGTCATGTATTTATAGTCTTTGTTTGTTAATAAAGAAACTGTCAGATTGCACTTCATTGAGTTTAACATAGTGGTATCAGAGCACTGTGGCAAGCTGTAACCGAGAGATTTGAGTGAGAAACAACAGAATTCAATTCTGGGTCTGGGAAACACGAGAGACTAGTGAGAAAAGTTGGAACTGGGTTTGGTGAGAGTCACCATGGGTGATAACAGTGGCTTTGCTCAAGTGAGTTAATTAATTAGCTAGCTCTAGTAATTAAATCTTCGATCTCCTCGGGCAAATCCAGTAGTAGACAACCCAACATTTTCTCCTTTCTGATCAACGCCGGCGGTGCTTGCTGCTGCTTCCACCTTCCTCCATTGCATGAAGAAAACGCTGCCCCGACGTGTAATTCGGGATGAAAACGCCCGTTCCTCTAGCGCCGGAGGACTCCCGGCGGCCGGCGCGGGGCAAATCGGATCCGCTCCCGTACACCCGGCGCGGGACCTGATTTATGTAAGACCATCCATATACCAATCAAAGCCATCGCACATGCAATTGTCACCATCCAACTTTTTTTTTGCAGTTCATGTCAATGTATTCAACTCGTAATTGTAATTGGGAACTAAAAACTATTTATACCATATTTTGGGAAGAAAAAACGAAGGACCAAAAAGAAAAAAAAAAGAGTTATAAATAAATAGAAAACATTCGTACGGATATATGTTGAAGAAATTGATGTCCTCAACAACATATGTTTCTTTGGAGGAATTTTACAATGCTATATAGCATTGGTGCTATAGGTTTTTACCTTTATGGTACAACTTGAAATTGTACATTTAATGTTATGGTACAACTTCAGATTGTACCTATACTTTTTGTACAAATTCTTTTACGGTACAACTTAAACTTGTACCTTATGTGATGGTACAACTTCAAGTTGTAAAGTTGTACCATAACATAATGATCCAAATTCTTTTATGGTACAACATAAACTTATACATTTAATGTTATGGTACAACTTCAAGTTGTACATTAAAGCACCAATACTATATAGCATAGTAGAAATGCTCGTTTCTTTGTACCTGATCACGATTGCGGTTATGCCGTCGTACAAGGACAAGGAGGAGAAGGACCACCGCCAGAGCCACGTGGCAGCTGCGGGTAGGTTGCAGCGGTTTCGACCCCCTGGAATAATAATATAAACAATAAAAAGTCCAAACAAGGATCAAACGACGGACATGCAGCTGGGAAAAAACAAAAAAAAAACTAAAGTACGTACCTGAGGGGAAATGCCAGCTGGCGGCGGTGGCGGTGGCGGCATAGAGGAATTCAGGGCGGCGCGGCGGCGGTCGAGGATGCGGGAGATGGCGGAGAGGTGACGAGCGAGGTGGTCGTCGGCGGTGGAGGGGGAAGCAATGCCGCCGTCTCCGATGGTGAAGTGGGACAGCTGGTCGATCAGCCAATCAGGATCAATGGCGTCCATGATCGGAGGGCTTAACCGGTGAAGATAGAAGCTTAACAAGATTAGGGATGAGGGAAGTGGGAGAGCTATATATTGTGATGATATTTATAGAGCGATGAAGAAGGTGACCATTTGGGACGGAGCCAGCCCTCAACAAGTTCTACAAATAAGTAAAATCGTAATCTAGTAACACACGAACTTATGTTGGCATCGTGGTCTTAAGGCTTCTTTTGTAGTAAAAGATGTGAGGGAAAGGTTTATAGGTTCGAATCCCACATCTTCCTGCTTAAACCGAATTCTAGTCCTTTTTAATCTTCCATTTTTACCCAATTCTAGTCCTTTTTAAGAAGGGTTCTTCCTGCTTAAACCGAATTCTAGTCCTTTTTAATCTTCCATTTTTACCCAATTCTAGTCATTTTTAAGAAGGGTTAATAACATCCAATTCTAGTCCTTTTTAAGAAGGGTTAATAACATTTTATACCCATTTACTATTGCTAATTAACAAACGTGCCCATGTATGTACTATATTTTTGTGATTTTTATGTAGTCCTTTTTAAGAATGATTAATAGCATTTTATATCCCTTTACTATTGCTAATTAACAAACGTGCTCATGTACTATATTTTTGTGCTTTTTATGCCCATCTATTATTGCTAATTAACAAACGTGCCCATGTACTATATTTTTCTTTTTTATGAAGGGTTATAGCATTTTATACTAATCTTCCATCTTTACTCAATTCTAGTCCTTTTTAAGAAGGGTTAATAACATTTTATACCCCTTTACTATTGCTAATTAACAAACGTGCCCATGTATGTACTATATTTTTGTACTTTTTATGTAGTCCTTTTAAAGAAATGATTAATAGTATTTTATATCCCTCTACTATTGCTATTTAACAAACGTGCCCATGTACTATATTTTTGTGCTTTTTATGCCCATCTATTATTGCTAATTAACAAACGTGCCCCTGTCTATATTTTTCCTTTTTATGAAGGGTTATAGCATTTTATGCTAATCTTCCATTTTTACCCAATTCTAGTCCTTTTTAAGAAGGGTTAATAACATTTTATACCCCTTTACTATTGCTAATTAACAAACGTGCCCATGTATGTACTATATTTTTGTGCTTTTTATGCCCATCTATTATTGCTAATTAACAAACGTGCCCCGTACTATATATTTCCTTTTTATGAAGGGTTATAGCATTTTATGCTAATCTTCCATTTTTACCCAATTCTAGTCCTTTTTAAGAAGGGTTAATAACATTTTATACCCCTTTACTATTGCTAATTAACAAACGTGCCCATGTATGTACTATATTTTTGTGCTTTTTATGTAGTCCTTTTTAAGAATGATTAATAGCATTTTATATCCCTCTACTATTGCTATTTAACCAACATGCCCATGTACTATATTTTTGTGCTTTTTATGCCCATCTACTATTGTTAATTAACAAACGTGCCCCTGTACTATATTTTTTTCCTTTTTATGATGGTTATAGCATTTTATGCGACTATATTATTTCTAATTAACAAAATATGCCCCTATACTATATTTTTTGTGCTTTTTATGCCCTCTACTATTGCTAATTAACAAACGTGCCCCTGTACTATATTTTTGCACAAACATACCCTTCTAACATTACAATGTAAGTGGCCGTTAAGTGGGGTGAGAAATGAGCCAATTACCCTAAGCGGGGTGAGACATGCCCATATATACTTGTCTTTACCAGAAAGAGGACCAACAAATTGAAAGACCATAGGAGATAGGACATCTCCTATATTACACCTAGACTCCTTGGCGACGAAGTTTGGTTAACATCATGGGTTAATTAGCAGCAACTGCAAATTAAAGACCAGAGATGGTAATTATATCAATCCTCCTCCACTTTCTCCTTTCTGATCAACGCCGGCGGTGCTTGCTGCAATTTCTCCTTTTTGCAATTCATGTCAATGTAATTAACTCGTAATTGTAATTGGCTATTTCAATTTATTAATTATAAAAACATAAACAACTAAAAAATAATTTATAACATATTAATGGAATTCAATATGCCATTCCCAATCGGTGGATCATCAAGGGTGAAGAGGGAAGTGGGAAGAGCTGTAATGTGATGATATTTTTGGACGAAAGAAGAAGGCGACCATTAGAGTGTTGGTGGCGTTATGGTTTTAAGGCTTATCTAATATCAAAAGAGGTTAGGGCAAGGTTTCTGGTTTGAATCTTACTTCTTTAATTTTAAGCCAATTTTAGTTATTGGCACATCTTCTCCACCTCACTCATCACGGTTGGTGAGTGGTTACACCGTGCAGCTTTCTGTCATTCACGGCCCAGTCTTTGACCTCGATCACTTTCCCTTTTATGAACCATAGATTTCATTTAGTGATTATGACCGACTCCCGCTTCTAAATTTTGAAAAATACCTCGTAAACGTAACAATATAAAAATGTATTAGTGTTTGGTGGTTATTTTAAATGATTGGCCGTTATCTTACATTCTTCGCGTTCTACGACAAATTACCGGCTTCCTGACATATAAGAAAAGGGTTCTTCGAGATCTTATATAAATCTGTACATGATTTGGTTGGACAACTTTTTTTGTTTGTCATATACGAAAAAACATCACGTGTTCGTACGTATCAGATAGGCTTATTTTGATTAGCCGTTACACTAGCTAGTAACTAAACATCGTTCAACAACTACCCAATTGATTAGAAGCATTGACTTAAAATTAAGGAGAATTTTTCACTTGTACATCTTATCGATTACTTTCCCGATACACGAGAAAAGCGGTTACATTTTTCAAGCAACAAAGATGATATTTCAAGATGCTACATAAGGTGTGAGGTTTGCATGTATATATAGACACGAAATCAATTGAATCTCCAATTATGTACTGATTATGATCCCCACTGAATTCTCAGATAAACTCATAATTAACAATGAAAACGGACATGACCAAGTTACTAATCAGAAGAGTATATTCTCTTAGCTAGATACCCTGCTGCCACAAGTACTACAAAAGCAGCCAAAACTTCGTGCACCCTGTTTGTGGAACTCCATATTTTATGCAAAATTCTAACGTGATACACCTGACGACGGCACATAACCCAACGTCCGTCGTGGTCTTTTCGATACGACCGATGGTGGAAAGTTCTTTGTCGTGGTTACGAACGGAGTTTGGCTTCTCGTCGGCGACGGTTTTTCCCCCTTCTTCTTCTTCGACGAGGTTTGCTCTCTGGCTGAATTATATAATCTTAAACTGATGATAAGAACATTTAAATGCTAACGTAGAGTTTGATCTTAACACGAAAGGCATCGCGAAGTAATCTATATGTGTTTTGCACTTTTGCGTACGTGGAATATATATATATACGTGGCAGTCATGCATGGTGGTAACGGGTAATAAGACATGATCATTTTGGTTTGGGTACAAGAGTCGACCGAGTCGTACTGAACGGATGGTCTTATTTACTTGCAATTACATGTGTAACTATTAAGTTAATTATGATAATATATATCATCCTCGATGAGTTTACGAAAGGGCACGTGGCATGCATGCTTGCATGCTCGTAACGTTATTTTGAGAAGTCAAGGCAGAAACTGATCACTTGTTATCATATTTATGACAACCCAACATGCCGGAAAATCCTTCTTTAAGCTATAATGATCACCAATTAGACTAACTTTTTGAATAATTAATTGTGGGATGTGCATAATTCAATTCGATCCAAATCAAATAGAAGAAAAAAAAAAGATAGATTCGAATAAAAAAACGAAGGAAATATGAGTTTAGGAATCGGATTGGTTTGATCGGGTTCCGTATTAATTCAGTTACGAGTTGGGTCCACTTTTTTTTATTCAAAACTAAGATAATTCATGGATCCAAACCGAATATGAATATGTATTTGATTCGATTGAATTTTATCAAAAATATCGATCCAATATCACTCGGTCAGAAATAATGTCGAATCGCGTTGCCTACGCCCGATTAACACAATGCGCGACTCTAAAAGCATACACTATTGGTCAGAACTTACTCCGATTCGAAAGCACGAATTCATCCATTGTCTCGCGATGTGCTTTCTTCCACAATTTTAATTCGTAATTCTCCTCGCCTAAAATGATAAAATTTAGCCATAATCACCCACAAAAAATGCGATCAACTGTTACTCAAACAAAACTGAAAAAGCCAACTTCACATGTATAGGGCGAGATCCAGTGAGTGAGAGTGATTCCTGCCCTAAATTCCAAATTCCATGACCTTAGCTCTTTTGTAACCTAATAATCACCCTTCCCTCTTACTCTCCCTCTATAAATATACACCTACCGGCCACCTTCCTTCTTCCAACAGACCTAAACTCACCCACACAACTCCACCACCTTCATCACTTTCGACAACAAACACACCACTCTCTCGATGGAAGCAACCATTAATGAAGCCGTCCACCGCACCAGCGTGGTGATCATCGGCGCCGGCCCCGCCGGTCTAGCCACCTCCGTCTGCCTCTCCAAGCTCTCCATCACCAACACCATCCTCGAGAAAGAACAAGTCACTTGCTCCCTGTGGAAGCACCGAGCCTACGACCGCCTCCGCCTCCACCTCGCCAAGCAATACTGCAACCTCCCCTTTGCGCCGCCCCACGCCGCCTCCACCCCGACCTTCATGTCCAAGGACCACTTCACGGCCTACGTCGAAAGCTACGTGTCCCGCTTCCAACTCGAGCCCCGGTTCGACCAACTGGTCACCCGGGCGGCCCGTGACGACGTGGCCGCCGGGACGTCGGGCAAGAAGAAGTGGAGGGTGGAGACGGCGCGGGGGGAGGTCTACGTGGCCGAGTTTTTGGTGGTGGCGGCGGGGGAAAACGGCGTGCCGTTTGTTCCCGAGGTAGATGGGATGGAAGGGTTTGGCGGCGTGACGCTTCACTCCAGCGGGTACAGGAACGGGGAGGAGTTTAAGGGGAAGGATGTGTTGGTGGTCGGGTGTGGGAACTCGGGCATGGAGATCGGGCTCGATCTGTGCAACCATGGTGCTCGTGCGTCTATTGTCGTGAGGGGACCGGTAAGTTTTTTCTTCTTCTTTTTCTTGGACAGCAAGTTAAACATGTGTAACAGTTTGCGAGCGGAAAAACTTTCTACCGAAATCTTAATCGATGGAGAGTTTTAGTTGTATGAAATGGTTGAACAAGAGCAAGCAAGACGAGGTCGTTCTGTACTTAACTTACGCGAGTTGGTTTAGTAGTCCCCCTGTCTCCACACCAACGGTCAACAGAGTTAGATGCATTGATCTTTCTCTTCTTTTTTTTCGATCTTTTTGATCTTTCTTGCTGTTGACATGATCTACTATCTAAGACCAAGACGTTAACATAAGGCTAGCAGGAATTCGATCAATCGCTAGCAATGTCATGTCACGCGGTTCCGCACAAAAAAAATCCTCCACAAAATACTTTCACAAACTTTTTCAATACAAAATCCCGATAATGTCTTACAAGTCACAATCCTTAGTCATTAGGTACTATCATATTTGTCAAGACACATGCATCAAGTTCAGTTTTGCTGTGTTTTATGGCTTTCTTTGGCTGCTAGCCAGGTGATATTTATGGTGTGGCTTGATCATCGTGTTGCACTGTGTTTTTTCTTCTCCGATGAATCTGTTGCTTTTGTTTTGTTTTCATCACTTCCTTTTTCGCTTTTCGTGGTGGTGGTTGTTGTCTTTGGTGAGTTTCGATCGTTTGATGGAATAGCATGAGCAGTTGTGGAGAAAAAGTATCTACACACATGTGGCTTCTTTGCGTATATTATGGGTATTTTGACAAGTGAACGGGGGCGTGCAAATTGCCAAATTGGCGGTTTCTTTTCTTCTTCTCTTCCCTTGGAGGAGAGAATCTTCTTCGACGGTTTCTAATAGTACAAAGTTTGTTAGTCGTCGTCGTTGTTTCCTTTTTCAGTGTCATAAAGATTCATCGATCACGTGGCCTCCGGCCGGATGCCCGATCCGGCGGCCGGCCGGCAGCGGAAAACAAATGCTTAATATACGTTTAATGCAAAAATGCATGCAGTTTCATGTGGTGACGAGGGGGATGGTGCATTTGGGAATGCAAATGCTGAAATACGTGAAGATGAAGTACGTCGACTCCATCGTTGCATCCATGGCGAGCTTCTACTACAGAGATTTACCCAAGTACGGGATTCACCGCCCGGCCCTGCAGGGTCCTTTCACCCACAAGTCCACCACCGGGAAAACTCCGGTCATCGACGTCGGCACCGTCGACCGAATCCGCGCCGGACAAATCCAAGTAATTAAACATGCATGCATATATATATAAATTAAATTAAATATGATTAGTAAAAGTCTGTATTGCCCTTCTGATGATTACACGATTAAAATAATTCATTCAGGTAGTTCCGGGAATCGAGAGAGTACTGAGAGGAACGAACGAGGTGGAGTTCGCAGATGGCACGACGCGTCGTTTTCATGCAATCCTGTTTGCTACTGGTTATAGAAGCTCTGCAAATAGTTGGCTCGAGGTTAATTAGTAAATATTTTTTAAATAATATGTATTGGCTTAATTAATTTATCCTTTTTCTGATTGGATAGTTTATGTAAATAATTTGGTTTAATGAATTTTTTTTTCCCAGGACTTCAGCTACATATTTAACGGGGAGGGGATGCCTAAAAATGGAATGCCAAACCACTGGAAAGGAGAAAATGGGATCTACTGTGCTGGATACTCGATGATGGGTATTAATGGAATTTCCAAGGACGCCGCTGCAATTTCTGAAGACATCATCAGCCAAATTATGAAGAACTAGTCCATCAAATAAGATAAATTGCAAGCAAGAGTGTGCATGAAAACAAATAATTAATAACAATAATAATAAGGGATTGTACATAAAATAAATAATAAAGCATTTGCGACCTTGTTATCGTTATTAGTTTCTGGATTTGACCATTATTTATTACTTCCTTCGATCATGATAAAATTTGATTAGCAAGTAATCAATCAATACTAATGATTGTAAGGGTCAGTAATAAGATGAGGAAATACCAATTGTTGACAATTCTGAATGTCTGATTAAGCGTGATTTCCCCCCTGACAATCATATCCTTTACGGGTTGTTTTGGATGCATCATTTTGGTTCTATGGTATTTCGAATCCAAATGATGCATTATTTTGCTATGTGGCATTTCATGTGGTATTTCATTTTGAAATGTGGTAACTGGTGTAATTGTCTTGTTTGGATAAAACATTCAAATATTGTGGTATTTCACCACTTAAAGAAGGGATGAAGTGGAAAAATAAGTTGGGAGATGAGGTATTTGAAATAACTAGGGGGTGGGTAGGTATTTCAAATAACTCACAATGAGTTATTTCAATTGACTCATGGACAAAATGCTTCTGCTTTATTTTTGCCAAACGAGTTATTTCGACCAAATTACCTCATCAAAATAGTGCATCCAAACCACCCATTAGTGTTGCTGTGTTGGTCACTATGCTTGAAGTGCCTTCATTGACACGGGCCGGGCCGCTGAAATTATGAAGCCCATAAACTTCTATAGAATGCAGAAATGATTTCTTGCTCGTCTTTCAAATGGCTTTCCAACACAAGCTTATAAGTTAGCTAACATTACAATAGCACTAATAAATGTTTATTTATCCTATCTCCTTCCTACATATAAAAATTGTGATGGAAAAAAAAAGATTCTAAAACTCTTCATGCTTTAAATAAATTCAATTATGTAGCCCACCGAATCAACCTGCGCTTTATGCGATTTTCCTCTATTAACTGAAACATAAAGGATATGTGAAGTTTAGGTTGACGTCCTATTCTCTTGTAGCAAAAATCGCGATTCTTTGTTGTATATTTATCAATTATTAAATCATGAGAAATAAGTACTAAGTAGCCTACTGCTTCAGTGGCGGATCCAGGGGTGGCCACCCCGGGCCCCGGCCCAGCCCTCCTCTGGATCCATAGTAAGTATAGGCTTTATGAATTTTTCGATTTTAGATATTCGGGTCATTGTTATTTTAAAATAAGATTGGGTATAATTAGAAAAATAATTCAGATGAACATATTCAAAATCACTACTCTAAATTTAGCTTATAAATTCTAACCCCAAAGGTTATTCGTCTAAAAAAACAATGAAACCTAAAAATTTAAAAAGTTTAAAACATAAAAGACTAAAACATATATGAGGTTTGTTACCTTGGGAAATTTACTAGAGCAGCTGGTGGATATAGGGATGGAAACACAATGCAAATAGATTAGTAGATTGATTTGTCTAGTGTTGATGCTGCTCGTTTCAACAGCTAATACGAATAGAACCTTTTCAACAATGAAACATGTGAAAATTGATTTGCGCAACAAAATGAGCTATGGATTCCTTGTCGATTGCTCAAGTATTTTATTTGAAACAATGTACTATTGGTATGGATGTGGACTCCATTATTAATGCATTCGCTAAATTAAAATACCGTCATGTACAATTTACATTGTAAAAAAATTATAATAATTATATTTTTTTACTATTCTAATTTTCTAATAAAATGCGGCCCAGTACACTTCTGTGTTCTGGATCCGCCGCTGTACTGCTTGAAAGGGGAATTCCCAGATTTTGTAAAATGTCTATACGAAGAATGTCCCTTCTTGTGTAAGCATAAGTTCGGGTATCAAGCCACGTCAAGTTGTGGCAAACCACGCCGCGGGTCTTGTAAATGTTACTTGCCTTGTTGACATCACCTTTGAAGTACGTTCTGTTGCGATGCCTTCTTATTGTCGTATATTGCAATAAACGATGTGTAGTTATGGTCACAAGAAAATCTTAATCTAATTGTGACTGTACGATATAGTGATGGTCAACTTTTGGTTATTTGTATAATTCAACGAACGAATAAAATACACGTGTTTTCCCCCTCAAGTGGACGTTGTAAAATCAAACCTCGATCCACAGCTCGACGAGATCGACAATTGCCAAACCTCGACAATCGTCATCGTGCTCCATCATTCTCGCAGTTGCCAAAAACCCTAAATGGGTCGACCATAAATGAATGCCAGTTAGCATTCGAACTCTTAGCTAGGACCCAACCTCGTTTACTTTTCATATACAGTTTGTTTGGACGAGCCATTAGCAAAATTGCGAGAAAGGCAAGTAATTTGAAAGATGATATTTGGGTAAAAAAAAATGTTAAATTTGAAATTCCAACCTCCAAATCTTTTTCCTAAATATCACAAATGTGATATATACTCCCATTATCGCATTTTTTTTCCTCGAGCCACACCAATTTTTATCCTATTAACGTATTACGTGACATTTCCAATCCAATTAGTAAAATGCAATGATTGTTAAACCATATTGGAAGTCGTATCGAAAAATTCATCGATTAGGTATTTTATGTTGACATCGTGGTTCAGTCGTTTCATACTACTAAGTACCGCCTACCTATCTAGCCTCCAGTAAGAAGTTTTTCTGACCGAACTGTTGGTATGATATTGGTTTTTAAACCTCTGATAAATGAAATCCAGGCCTCTCACTTGAATGGGCAATTTGATTTGGATATAATCCTAGAGGTCGTTTGCATGACGTATTTGATTGGGTTATTTGAACACATATAACTTATTTGGCAATATTTTACTGAAATAAGTTATTTGGTTAGTGAATTATTTACAAAGAACTCAACAAGATTTATTTGAAATAACTTCTATTCTCTATGTTATTTCGAAATAACTTATTTACCGTTTTGCTTTTGTCAAATACCATATTTCCATGGTTCTACCAAACAAGATATTTTAATCCAAGTATCACTAAAACACCAGATGAACAATCAACGAATTATTTGAATTTACAAATATCACATTGAGAATTAATCATACCCTCACTAAACTTGAAGGGCCTTTTGCCCTTGTGAGGTTTGAACTTTGAAGGGCCTATGTTGACCTGGGCCGGGCCGCTGACCGTATGGAGCCCACCGAAACGCACTCATATACTCCACCTAGCAGTGTAAACTTCAAAACTTGCCAGAAGAACTTCCTCAGAGAAACCAAAATAAAGTGGCAGAAAAATGGCGGCAGAGTCATCCTCGGCAGCGGCGATGGTGGAGGAGCTGACTCTAACCGTGAAGTGGAGCGGCAAGGAGTACACTGTCCGTGTCTGCGGGGACGATTCGGTGGCCGAGTTGAAGCGACGGATTTGCGAAGTCACCAATGTACTGCCCAAAAGACAGAAGCTCTTGTACCCTAAAATCGGCAACAAGCTCGCCGATGATACCGTTATCCTCTCCCAGCTTCCCCTCAAGTCTTCGCTCAAGATGACGATGATTGGGTTCGATTCTCCTCTCTTTCTCTTCTTCGATCAAAGCGTATATTCGGTTCCATGGGAAGTTTCCGTGTGTCGGTGCTGATCGTGATTGTCTTGTATGAAGCATTTAGGAAATCGTGATCTTGCTATTTTTTGCTGGGTTTTCTTGACTCTGAATTCTGATATTGAAGTCGAACTTAGAACTGGGTATTGGGTTTTGCAGGACTGTGGAGGATGACATAATTGTTGACCCAGTGGATGACCCGGAGATTGTTGACGATTTTGAGCTTGGGCAAGATGAAGCTGTCGAAATTAAGGACAAGGAAGTTAACAAGATGAAGTTGAAGAGGCGTATAGATCAATACAAGGTAAAGCTCTCAACTTTTTTATGTCGCTCGATCTACAGTAGCGGAATGAGCTATTGAAGGACTACATTTTTTCTCTTCTAGAATCTAGATTGAGGTTTATTTGCTCACTTGAGTTGAGGTGACATTCTGTGTAAATTACGCTAAGTTCCTGGTATGGTGTCATCTGGGTATCGTTATCCCTTAAATGTAGCTGCTGGTTTGAGCACAATTCTTGCTATTTCAAACTGCAGCCTCTCTTGGAAGAAACCACCGGTTTTATGTTCTAGTTTAGCATTTGTCTACCTAGTGAAGTCAGCTTTGTTTCCTGTACTTTTGTATAGTATAATATGGTAGCATTTGTCCACTTGGAGTCTCTTTTCCCCCGAAAGTGGTTGCAAACAGAACCCTAATGCATCAGAATATGATGTGAGGATTTGTTCAAAATCTACTATGCCATGGTGGCGCTTGGATGAATGCTCATTGAAATAAGTATCAATGACATAGTCCTGACCAAGTCTAGCTAAATAATCTGTGATGAAACTGCCTTGACCAAGGCATGCAGTCCATGTTTTTCGAAACAACCAATGAACAGCTGACATACCTTCTTTTCTGGTTTTCTTTTCAGTGAAAGGTCAAAAAAATTTTCTTTAATTATTTTTGCCATTTCAGCAGGATGGCTAGGATGAGATGCATAGTTTGGCTATGTGGAAATTTAGTTTGGGAACTTTAACATGTGCTTCGCATCCGTTCAGGATGTTACAGAGTTATGCAAATTTACTGATGCTTCTTGATCTGTTGTCTGATTTCATGCCATTTAGAACTTATTAACGAAATTGGCTCTATTTTTTGTTGCGCTCTAGATCAAGCTCCGTAATCCGTGTCGTGTGGGAAAGAAGTTGCTCGTGCTGGATATTGATTACACCCTTTTTGATCATCGATCAACAGCGGAGAACCCTATGCAACTAATGCGCCCTTGTGAGCGAACTGTTGTAGCTAAATGTGATCTTATGTTTTTCCCCCGTGTACTGTTTTCTAACATCAGTTTCTTCAGATCTTCATGAATTCCTTACAGCAGCTTATACAGAATATGATATAATGATATGGTCCGCAACTAGGTTTGATATCTTTCCCTACATTCCAGTTCTAACCTATTATGGTGATTCCTTGACTTATCAATCATTTTTCTTTGCCAATGCTGTATAGCAAACCCCGCGTATTTTGCGATCTTAGTTCCTTAATTTATACTTGCTTCTAGTGGTGTGAACATGGTAATTCTTATTATTTCCCTATTCAGTCTTCAAGACAACATATAAGGAACTTCAACTACAGAATTCAGTCTAGTGCTGATCAATATGGACAATTTCTTTCTTGCATGATCAGGGTGCAAACTCCCTTCCTATAAATTTAATTATGTGTTTTTGTGCAGCATGAAGTGGGTTGAACTGAAGATGGGAGAGCTTGGAGTACTAAGTAACCCCAATTACAAAATTACTGCTCTCCTGGACCATTTAGCAATGATTACAGTGCAAACTGATGCTCGTGGGATCTTTGACTGCAAGCCGCTTGGATTAATATGGGCTCATTTCCCCGAGGTATAACACATTACCATACTTTGATTCTTACCTCATGCAAAATTCGTTGTTAGATTCTACTCTGCTCTGCGTGCATGATTAGTTATATTCTGAAATGTCCCTGTTCATACGAAGTGGTGGCAATTCGGGTTTAATTCCAATGTCTCTATGAGGCTGCAGTCAAATACTGCCAAAATTCCACATAAACGCACAAGCAACAAAACCCCAATACTTTTATGTACAGTTTGTTCACTCAGCATCACCACCAGGTTAACAAACGCCTGTTGCTTGTCTCTCAGTTTTACAGTAAGAAGAACACCATCATGTTCGATGATCTAAGACGGAATTTTGTTATGAACCCGCAAAATGGGTTGACAATTAAGCCCTTCAGGAAGGCTCATGCCAACCGAGATAGTGACCAAGAGCTCGTGAAGCTAACAGAGTACCTTCTTGCTATAGCTGAACTAGATGATATAAGCACCCTGGATCATTCCAAATGGAAGTACTATGCAGAGGATGGCTCGAAAAGGCGTAGACATGCATAAGTTGCACTAATGGACTCCAGAGATGCTTTTGTGCCGCTTCAGGTCCAGTGCTCTCCTGAGGTTATGTGCTTTTGCTCAATGCGCCGCACTCACAAGGATCACTCCAAATGGAACTACTGTTTTTGCTCCGCTCCAGCAACTATGGCGATAACTATGTGTACCTTCATCATCTCAACCGTTCAGGGCTGGGGTAAAATTTGTATGGACAAAGAAACCTTTGATAATGCTGCTGTATACTTCCTTTTACCACAGTTCCTATTAACAGCAGTAGGTGCAGATTATTGCCGTTACGAGAGATTGTATGCACCGTTTCATTGATGCACATCGTGAACAAGACTCTTATCTATTTACTGAGGTCCTAGTCCATGATAGGTGATATAACATACAAGGAGTATGCAGTGAGTGCAGCAATGAACTTTTCTTTTTGATACCAGTGGTTCATTTTAATTCATTTGTGAGTTCTCTCCTCCATCGAATCGTTGGAAAATCGGAGGGAAAATAGTAACCAAATGTGATGGCCGTATCTCTCTCCATGTCATGCATGAAACAACAATCTCGAGGGATATCTTTCGTTTCCAAAATTCAACAGTATCCAGAGAGAGAAACAACATTTTGAATAGTTCGTGGTAGAGAGCACAAGGTGTACTGAACCAGACAATAAGAATACTCTGCTGTTACTAACAGAAACAGAGGAGTTGTTGTTAAGGGTAAAGGCCAGTATTAATTTTCATAGTGGAAGATGCTTATTCTCTCAATAATTCATGGATGGAAATTAAACTTGGGGGGATGATTAATTAGCTGTAATTTAGCTGGCAACTATGTATGAACCTATTCCAACTCTGTCTTAGCAAAAATAGCCGATTATACTTACTAAAAACAGGCAGCAGAATAATTTCCCAATTGCTAAATCAAGCTCCCTGCAAAAATGGGTAAGAGACGCCATTATTTCTCTCGTTGGTTACAACTTACAACCATCCATCAGCCATGCTGCAGCATGTTACCTTTTCATTTCTGGACGATGCTTCCTTACAAACATGCTCCTATTTTTGTACAACGGTAACAATTGCAGAGTCGAACAAGATAGAATGAATATTATTACCATGCAACAAGTTTACAGGAAAAGAATAGAACCCATTAAAGAGGAGAATGGAAGCGTAAGGATCAATGTATTGGAAACATATGGCTTTCAGGGCAGGGGATTGGGAGTTTGGAGGTGGCCGCTGTAAATGAGGTTGGAAAATCGGAGAAATTAACTCAAGAGGGGATATTTGTGAATCTAATATGATACAGATTACAGACTTCAACCGTGGTCGAATCAAATCGACGAGATTAACGAGTCGTTTAGCTTCATCGACTCGTTGTTCAAATATGCGATTTAACTGAGAATTAGAGTGCAATAGTAAAGTTATGAAATTTCTAGCATTCTCTCTCAGGCATTACATATTGTGACCGTTTCATTTGCTCTCTCTTTTTTGCAATCTGTAAACCCAAAAGCTGTGCGCTACACGGCATTCCAAATCTGGGCAGAGCTACTCTCTCTCCCCATATTAATGTCACGCTAATCTCCTCACTTCCCCTTAATTCAAAAACTGACCAAAAACGAAGAACCATTTTGCTCCTTTCTGTCTCTCTCTCCTGCCATTTCTTTGACAGCTAGAAGCGTCAAAATTAGGATATTATGAAGCCAGAGACAAAAAGATGAAATGAAAGAGACACGAACGAAAACAAAACCATAGCCAATACGTCCCTTTTATTCACAGAGTGAGTGAAGTTCCCATGCTGATTCGTTTCTTGAGAGCCCTGTAGTCTCTGAGTGAAGTTGATCATGTCCGATATTCAGCTGATTTTTTGTACCATAATTTGAGATTCTAAGAAGAACCCATTGTGGGTTTTGGATCAAAGATCAATGGGTTTTATTTCGGTTTTGGTTTGCATCATCGTCGTCTCCTTCTCTTTTTCACCTTCTTGTAAGTGGTACTACATTCATGGCTTCTCTGCTCTCCTCTGTTTCGTCCCCTGTTTTTTTTCCCCCCATTCTTTCCTTTCCTGTCACTCGTTAGTCGCAATTCTAAACCCGATTTTCTGGGCGGAAACAAATGCAGACGGTTTTGATCCAATGGATCCTCAGGCCAACATAACAATCAAATGGGATCTCCTGCTATCAACGGGTAGCTCTGATACGGTAAGAAGAAAACCGGATATTGTTGTTAATATCACTCTGATTTTTTCGATGGTTTTGTTTTGCTTTGATCATTTCTTGGTTTTTTTTGTTAATGGCGAGGCAGAGAGTGCATGGCGGCCGTCGTGGTTTAGATTCAGAGAGGGAAAACGAAAAAGTTGTCTTTGTTTATAATCTCTATTCTCTAACCTTACCTGACCCGCCCTACAATATTTTAATGCTCACGCCTCCTCTGCTCTCTCCATTCTCTGTCTTAGTCGTCAGATTTCGATCGGATCGAACAGTTACGATATACCTGTTCTGTAAACGTATCACAACTACTCATTTTTTCGCGTGTTACCGGCATCACAGGATGTTAAGCTTCAAACTTTTTGTCTCGAGTAAACTAACCAAGTATGCACAGATTGTAATTTTTGACTACTTAAAAGAACAAATTGATTGTGACTATTCAAAAGAGCAAACTGTAGTAGCTAACCTCAGTAGTTGAAAAAGGTTGCAACTTTACCATGTTTTTTTAACTTGGTTCAGGTGAAAGTAACAATACTAAACTTCCAAAAGTACAGACACATAGAAGCACCAGGGTGGAAGTTAGGGTGGGACTGGAAGGGCAAGGAGGCCATAAGTGCCATATTTGGAGCTGAAGCAACACAGCAAGGTGACTGCTCCAGATTCAAGGGTCAAGAACTCCCACATTGTTGCGATAAGCACCCGGTCATCATCGATCTCTTGCCCGGAGCTCCGTACAATACACAGTTCCAGAACTGCTGCAAAGGAGGAGTCCTGTCGTCCATGACACAGGACACTTCAAAGTATGGAGCATCTTTCCAGATTTCCACTATAGGGAGCACTGCTTCCAACTACTCCGATTTCGTAATGGCCGAGAATTTCACCCTTGGATTGCCTGGCTACACTTGTGGGCAGCCTTTCGAGGTCCGGCCCACCAGGATCCCTGTCGATGGTGGCCGCAGATGGACTCAAGTTCTCAGTATGATACTAATATGTTAACCTTACCATCATTCCTGCAACTACCACTGTTTCTTCAAACAGTTTTATTTTGATTAGACTGATTTGTTTTTGCTTTGCAGGGACATGGAATGCGGTGTGTGGTTACTCCTCGTTCTTATCATCACCATCTCCGAAATGTTGTGTTTCGTTGTCAGCTTTCTATGATAGCAGAATTGTTGATTGCCCTCAATGCAGCTGTGCTTGCCAAGGACAGCCAGGCTCCAAATGCGTCCAGTAATTTAACAAACAAGCCTTCCATTCATCAATCTTCTATTGTTTATGATATGGTCTGCTGAATGAAGCAAATTGATCGAAGCATAGCTAGGCTAAATACTTTCGAGTGGATGGCAGGATGAAGGAGACACCACCTCTGCTGCAGCAAAAGCGCGATCCAAACGAGGAGCCACCTCCATTGGTGAGATGCTCAGACCACATGTGCCCCATACAGATTCATTGGCATGTAAAGGAGAGTTACAGACAGTATTGGAGAGTGAAGATGACCATCAGAAACTGGAACATCATCAAGAACTACTCCCAGTGGAACATGGTTGTCTTGCACCCTAACTTGAAGAACATAACTACGGTTTTCAGCTTCAGCTATGCGTCACTCAATGACTTTCGCACCACAAGTAAGCTTGTTTTTATTTTCCTTAACTTGGACTTCATGCATAATTACCTCAGTGTGTTAAAGCATTGTTGTGGCAGGGTGAGTGAGACGGAGTTGCTCATTCTGGTTTTGTTATATTATGTACGCAGACGATAGCGGGATGTTTTGGGGGATCAAGTACTACAACGACATGCTTCTACAACAAGGGAATAGTGGGAATGTTCAAAGCGAGATGCTGCTGGCAAAAGAGCCAGGGTTTAGTTTCGGTGGAGGATGGGCTTTCCCAAGAAGGATTATGTTTAACGGAGATGAATGTGTAATGCCACAGCCAGATGATTATCCCAGGCTCCCTAATGCTTCTCCTCTTCCCTCTGTTGTTTGTCTTCTCCACTTTTCTCTTCCTTTTGTTCTTCTGCTAGTTCTTTTGGCTGACTCGGCTGGAAGTCACTGATTTCCTTGTGTAATGGAGGCTGGAATGGAACCTATGCTCATCAGCTGCTTAGTTATCTCCTTGCCTAATGCCTTTCTTTAGAGGGGAAATTTGAATGAACCTTCAATTCAAGCTAATGCTCAGGCCAGCTGCATATTAACAAACTCTAATCCAACCCAAGAACTGCTCCGGAAACCCTAGAACCTCAGTAGGAGTAGTAGTAGCAGCAGCAGCAAACAAGAACTCCCCGTTCAGCATTCCCACCTAAATTGCACGAGAGGAGACGATCTTTCTATGCTACCTTCACCTTGTGCCATCTCCTCATGAGTATGTTTTCACCAATGTTTCCCCAGTAATGGTGATTTAGACTGATTACTATAGACAACTATTTGAAGTCTCCTGAAAAGAATACGTGAAGTGATCTCATATATGTAACGGGCTGAAAGTTTCCTCTTGGCTCAAAACTGCATCAACGTCCATTCATATCCTACCACGAAGCAGTCGAACCATTCTTCAGATTCCCAGCTATGCCAATCACCTTCCTATGCTCCGTTCTAGGCATGCCTAGTTCTGAAACTGGGTACAAAGTTAGAGATAACCAAACAATTATAAGCAGGAAACCATCATAAACATCCATATCTCATGCACTTTAATAGTAAAACCATATTAATCCACTTCTAAACACAGGCTGAAGTCATACAGAGCCAAAGAGAACTAAACAACAACTTATTTACGATTCCTGCTAGTTAAGAGGAAGAAGCAGGCCATAAATCTCAACGAAGCTCTTCTTTCCGGGACAAAACATATCTCTAGACATAGAAACAGAGTTTACAAAAAAACATATTCCATCTCTAAAACACTGCTTCTTCAACTACATTGGACTTCCTTCCATTCTTCCACAGCATATATTGTGGACTCACTGGAAATATGATAAGATAGATATACTCTAAATCAGAATCCTGAGAAGCCAAACAAGTTCTTCCCTCGAATTACAGCTACTTACTCTTTTCTTTTTTCTTAAAATACAAACGAGGACCACATACAACATGGTCACCTCTTCTTTCTTTCCCGTCGCCACCTCCGGTGAGTCATTGGCCTCAGAAAAATACAATGTCCGGAGCAATGACCACCAGGTGCACATGATGAAGCATCATAAACAGTTAGTTTTCTTTCTTAGCTACTAGAGAAACGCGAGAAAAAGGCAGACAATTGCAAAATGAGCAAATCACGGTCATTGATGGTGAAGGAAGGCTTATGATCCCCGTCACTCTCTTCTAGAGCAAGATAGCAGCAGCAACCCATCATTTCATTTCACTACTACAAATAGTACATCTAAATGCGGACTGGACCAGTCATTGAATCCCTTCCAGAACCAGTGTCCTTGTGTTTCAAGGACAGGTTTCCGAATTGGGATTCAAGGTCCCTGCTGTTAGTGCGGCGATGGTGAGTAGAAGATGGCTGTCGCTGTTGAATCGGTGGTGGCATTTGCTGTTGTTGATACAAAGCCCGAAGCCTTCCAATCTCCCTCTCCAAAACTTCTTGCTCCACTGAAAACAACTCTTCCATGTTAAGGAGCAAACAAACAGATAGATCCAACTTTGAAACAGATGAAGAAATCATATACATATATGGCATATTGGTTTGTAAACTATACACTCAGCTTTTTAGGGAATACTTGCTATAACACTATCAATCACCATATTGGTCTCAAAACAATTCAAATCTTCAATTACGTTATGAAGAACAAGACAATGTATTACTTGCATATTAAGCATTTCAAAAATGTTCCAGTTACTCTATAGCTTCATCTAAAGCACCATTTTGTGGACAAAATTATGAATAAACATGAGTAAATTATTTGTAATTCTAGCTTACATCATTATTCTAGACAAATACTAGCATGTTAAAATTGATAATTTCTAGTCTACTTTCAGATTGGAGTGCATAATATGCCCTTATTTTTGTCAGTGCATTTCAGTCCAGTGGCCTGTCTCTGTTAGACAAGTAAAATTAAAATAAACGAAGATCGAACAGCAAAGGTTAATACATGATCATAAAGATTTAGAGCATACAGTGTTTAATAAGCTGCTCCTGGGCTATGCTTTCCAGCCGCTGCTTAAGAGCTTTATTCTCCATGCTCAAAATAAGATTTTGCTGGTTGAGAAATTCAAGCTCTGCAGAGACATCAGATCCTTCTGCCTGTAGATACAGGATTGCTGTTTAAACCTTGACACCTTAACTATTGCTACAACAAATTACAATTCTGCTAATAGGTCTATACTTGCCTGTAATGCTTGCACATTCCTTTCCAGCTCAGCTATATACTGAAGCTTTCGGACCCGAGAGCGCTGTGCATATTGCCTGCATTATATATCATTTGAGTTAAGTGATGGATAGCAACAGCTTGTATTTAACTACTTCCACAAAGAAGAGGGATATCAATCACAGCAGATCATACATAACCCAATTATACTAGTTGGGGTTGGACACAATGCTCTGCCATTCTTCCACCACAAAAGCATAGCAGATGAGATCATACTCCCAACACAAAGTGGCCAAAAAATCAGAATAAATAACCTCTCTCATTCATAGGAACTATGAAAATAGTGCTCTCTTGATGTTCTAAATCCGCACAGAAAAATATTAGAAATCAACAGTTCAGAGAAATGACAGCTAAGGCAGGTCAATGGCAATGGATCATTCTAGAACATTGAACACGATAAAACATATGTCCATAGTATGTGCAATACAAATCTTTAAATTCACTAGAACAGACTGCCATGACCAACTACAGCCTATCTTTTTCTGTCCTGACACGTTCATGCAGCTTGGTTCTGACCTGAAAACTAATATGTAGTTTTAATGACAGCTAAGTCAGGTCAATGGCGATGGATCATTTTAGAACATTGAACACGATAAAACATATGTCCATAGTATGTGCAATAAAAATCTTTAAATTCACTAGAACAGACTGCCATGACCAACTACAGACTATCTTTTTCTGTCACGTTCATGAACTTGGTTCTGTCCTGAAAACTAATATGTAGTTTTCAATAGTTATTAGACGAAAAAGATTGAATCAACAAGCGAAAATGGGAAGACTTCAATCAATTCTGAATTGATGAAACACAATGCAATAGGTCTACTCTTGTGCTGAAGACTTAAGCGATAAAAGAACTTATTCATGAGCAAGCTTATACTTTGGTTTTATGTACTACCATTGTTGTTGGACATCGACCAGTCTACTCTAAGAAAAATGGAAGAAAACCATTCTTGAAACGCCTTATCATTTTTTTATTTAAATGCTCAACTAACAAGTATGATTTTCAAGTAATTTAATAGCTTCAGTGGGGGGCACTTTGTTTGTATACCAGATGTGTTACAACTTACAATATAAAACAGAATTTTAACAATAAGATCAACAAAAAGTTGGATGACTCACTGTTTAGCACGTTTTGTGTCGCCCTCTGAAGCAGAAGGCTTAGCATGAGGCCCATCCTTTCTCTCAGAGGAAGGCTTTGAATCATGAGGACAAGATTCCACGATTTCTTGCTTCTCACCTGCCGAAGATCCATCTGGTTCCTGTCGAGCACATGATGATCCGGAATTATGTGAAGCAACATTATCCCTGGCAGAAGAAACCCCACTTGAACGGCTTGCAGCATTCATATATAAATCACGCCCCATATTCTTCTGTTTTGACATGTTCCCTTCAACATAGAAAGAACCTTGACGGGCATCTTTTAGATAATCAAATTCTTGAGATCCCCAAAAAGGTACTGATGCCATATTTTTGTACCGGTAGTCATCGTATGCTACATAGTCTACGTTAGAATTATTCGTTACATCTACATAAGCAAACGAGTCGCTTGATGAACGCCTATGACCTCCTCTACGCACTGGGGTCTCAGGCTCGTTCAGAAGATCATCGAGCCAGGAAGGTTGGTCCTCTACTAGGAAGGTCTCAGAAGATGTACGCTGGTGGAATGTACTTCCTTCTCTGGGCTTTTGTACAACTTTTGACCCAACCACATTGCTTGGGATATATTCAACATATGTTGGGGCCATACCAGGAAAGGGGATTTTTGGAGGAAGTAGGGATTGCTTTCCAGTGTACATCAAGTTTCTAATGTTTGTTGAACCTTTGGAATTAGCCATTGAAGCACAACTTGTACCCTGAAAATTCATAAGAGAAAAGACAACAAAAGAATATGTTAAAGTAAAAGAAGAATCACAAAGGCACCAATTAGGACAACCAAAATGACAATTTGAAATCACAAAGGAGAAGATCATCTATCCAGAACAACGAAAGAAAAGTATGTATATTGTCTTTCTAGATAAACAATCCAAATGTACTCATGGAAGTAAACTTGAACCATCAAGTATTCAGTGAAACGTACTTTCTAATTGGCCCAAGCAGAACGAAGTTAGAAATCCAGAAGACCACATAAAACCTAAAATGCAATGATTACATCCTTGCAGTTGGCGAGTATCCTCTAAGTTGTCAATCATGATTTCCAACTACACTAGACAAACATATCCAATAGTCAAGATCACATACTCTACAAGGTATGCCAAATTGATCGTGAGTGTCACTAACTAGAACTTAAGGCAGTAATAAAACCTCACATACTACAGACAGGATGAATGTATAATCACCAGAAACTGTCCGGGGAGACATTTGCTATCTTAAATTAAAGCATTAACGAGGAGCTTACCTATTTTTTCATAAAGTTATCGCTATCTGATGATTACATTTCTCAAAACTCTGCCTGAATGGTCATCAGAGAAACACAACAGACCCCAGATTTGCAAAAGTAAGAACAGTATGCAGACCAAATGAGAATCTACATTTACACCTTATTACTTTGATTGATGCTGATCACCTAAAGTCCATCAAAGGCATCTACGCTCCAGTCATTTATTTCACATGACGAGCTCATAGTGTACCCACATAAATGCAGAAGCTAAGTTCAAGGTTCTGACAGCTAAGAAACAGAGGCTAACCAGCATAACATTACCTTTACTACTAGAGGAGCACAGGCATACCAAAGAAGAGTAAGACAATGCATGCTTTAATTCATCATAATGCCTCTCACTTACAGCTCACGCTAAACCCAGAGTTTCAAACGTTTTATCTCCTGGACTAGAATGAAAAGTCGGCTCAAGTTTCAATCTTTCCTACCGGATCCCACAAAGCTTTTCAATTGTTTTTCACCTGCCTCATTTTCTCAGCTTCCAAACAAAGGGTCATCCAGGGACTGGAACATTTATATATACAAGAACCTAAGCAAATTGGTCGCGACAATTTCCTCGGACAAAATGCAGCAGTAATGCACGACGAGAAATCGAAATCAGATCCCACTAAACTTATTCGAACCCATGAACAGCCAAAGATTCCGGACAGAACCCAGATTAACAAAGACGGATACGAGGCGAGAGAAGGATAAAGTTACCTTTGGAGGGAGGGATGGGATTGAAGGAATCAAGATCTCAACAAAAAACGGAATCGAGAAAGGAAAGGAAGGAAAGCATGAAAAGCGATAATCTACTCAATCGAAATCACTTTCCCCTCCTCTCTCTCCCCCCTCTCTCTTGTTAGGGTTTGTTGAGCTGTTCTTGAGTGCTTCCCTGAATCAGAAAAGAACGAGAAAGAAGAAGGAGACGTTGACGAAGATGAAGCAAAGCTTGAGAAGAGGAAATTTTCCCCTTTTCGGTTTCGTTGGTGTGGCCTCCCTCTCTCTATATCTTCTTCTCTCTCTCGCTCCGTCTCCTGTGTGTATTGTCTATCTGTCTTTCTTTTTCTGTTTTTCTTCTTTGCAAACAGTTCTCTTTTTTCTCTCTTCCCCTCGTTCTGCTCTGCGGTCGATAGAAAAGGGAACGCTGCTTAAGATCGCAAATTGCGAGGATTTTTCCGCGAACATAAAAATTAAAATTAAAAAAAAACATTAAAATTATAAATAAATAAAAATTTAGTGTAAAATGACAATTTGGTCACCCTACTTTGATTCTCTTGCACATAAGTCTCTTTATAATTCGCATAATTAATCAATAACTTTACGTTGTCATTGGTTATTGTCCATTTAGATCAATTAAATTCATCAAACATAGTGGGATTGACTGTAATAGGTTGCAATATTATCCACCAACATGGTTAATCGTTCAAATCTAGTCCGATGAAATAGAATTAAAACCGAACTAAACCAATTACTCGGCGGTGTGGATAAAACTCGAACTCAAATATGATGAGGAATGGGTGGGTATAGTTTTCATACGGAGAACAGAGAGGAACACGACTATAGACGTAGACCCCGACAATAAGCTGATGTGCATATGTTGATTCAAGTCACAAACCACACTTCTCTTCAAAAATTCACCGATGAAGCATAGCGAGAGTGTGCACGTTCTTCTCTTTAGTTCTTGGTTACCTACGAGTCTCACGATATCTAGCCGACAGCCAGAGGGAGTAAGGAACTCGACCTGAAATCGCGCACATAATCACTAACCAAACACCCCTCCTACCTACCTATGTGACAACCAATCAAACAAACCGCACATGACTAATCCGATCTTTCGCTAACCAGATATGAGTATTGAAGTACCCGTCTTTCCCGACACCAAGGTTGTCAACCCGCGGGTTAACCCGGACTCGGTCGAGCTAGTGGGTCAAGGGTTAATGGGTCAACCGTTTTAGCCCGGTTTGGCCCGAAAATATGGAAAGAGTCATTATATTGTACTTTTCCTTATAAATTATATCAAATCTTATCTAACATATGAGTTATAACATGTAATATTACACCAAAATAACATATCGTACTTAGATCTAGCATAAAATGAAAATTCACACACACTTATATACATCAATATTCAAATATTCAACTTAGGATTCCAAAGATTGAGTTAGGCAAAAAGAAAAATCGAAAAATATGCGAATTTCGCAAACCAAAGAAAAAATGACACAATTTGACCTTCAACCCGGTACCTTATAGCGGTCAACCCGGCGAGTGTGTGCGACCCGTTTTTCTCACCGGATCAGAGTCAAAGTGGGTCGACCCGCGGGTTGACAACCTTGCCCGACACACAAAGACATTATATTCACTCACATTGCTTTCTTCACAACCTTGACATATAGTTAGTTGGATTAAACAACGTGAGGTAGGTCAAGATATTGCATAAAGATAGATTATTGTGCATACCAGCAGAAAAGTGGTCCAAGTTGACAATTACAGTTGTTCAGTTTTTTGGACTGATTCTGCAGAATGAGGTGGAGCTTCGTTGGCCGGTTCCTCACTTCCCCATATAAAAGATCGTCCCTTGTTGTTGTTCTTGTTGGTATGAAGTGTATTCAAGAATCAAGAGAAGAAAAGAGAAGAAAAAAGGGGGGAAATTGTTGTAATAATTGGTTGATTACTTGAAAGAATCGCAGCTGTAAACTCGAGGGTTAATGGTCCAAAGCAGCACTTCATGCCGAACTGGCAATTAAGTTGGTCCATCCAATCCATGGTCAATAGTTATTGTTACAAAGCAACCGTTTCTTATGGTTTTGATTTGATGGGAACTGGCAGAACATAGAGGCTCATTGTTAGCTTTCTAAATTCTAATATTTTCTTGTTGGTTCTGCAAATTGAACAATGAAGGTGGAAGGTTGTTTTAATAGTAAGAGATTTGAGTATAAAATTGGTCAATGATTTGTCTACGTGAATCGAAAATTGATTAATGGTTTTTACATGTCAAATTTAACGAGAGCCTCAAATTCATAGGTTGATGGATTGGAGACCAATAAATTAAAAAAGCAAAGCAAACTCTTGTTAACATTACAGAGAGGCACCCAACATCATAAACGAAAGTCGAATATATTTCGAGCATGTTCTCGGTATCGTACATGAAACAAAATTCTAATTTCGTGAATAATCATTTCAACGAATTGATATTTCATCAGGTTAACTGCATCGGATACCACATAAGTATTAGTTTCATTGCATACTAATCACTTAAGTTTTTTTTAGTTGCAACTAAACCACATAAGTCGTCTTCCGGTTGCACCGTTATATTTTCCATCCTTCAACATAACGTCAGGTATCAAATTGAAATTTTCCGCATCAATTTACTCAATTCTATTTTTCCTCACATTCTTCCGTCTTCATTTCGGTATTACTAGCACTCTCTTCATTTCAGTATCAAATTGAATACTTAGCCAAACTTCAGGAATCAAAGTGGTGAGTATGATTCCTTCTTGGGCAAGCAATCCAAGCTTGTAAATGGCCTCTGATGGAATCATATCAACTTAGGCTTTAGTTAATCGCCAATTACATTTTACCACAACTCAGAGCGGCAGATATCTGTGGGATAATCTTGGCTGACAGCAAGCGGTGGGTAAAGCTGGTGAAGTGCATCATTGAATCCCAAAACCAATACTCGTTAGGGTTTCGACAATACGAGACGCTTGGGGATGATGCACAATACACCGTCCAGTCACCGCAGCAAATTTCGTTCATGGGATGCTTGTATCCTGAAAACCCAATAGAATTATTCCATCCTTCTTTTGTATGGCATCTTCCATTCGTATGTGCATGGAAGCAGAGTAGTGTGGTATCATTGGTACTAGTTTTCAAGGATCTAATTGCCATATAACTCAATGGACTGCAACTGTCGGCTTTTCTTTGGTTACATTTACACCAAAATGCAATGGTGTATTCTGCACCTAACTCATAGCTCCACCATAGAACATGAGGAATTTGACTTGCCTGTATGTGTATCTGTTTCTTGTACACAGGACCAACAGGGACTCTCTTGTACACTGCATTAACTTATGTAGTGTCCTTTTCCCCCAATAACAGCTAGAACCCTATTCCTTCCTCTATAGATCCATTGCAAGGGAAGAAGAACGAGATTATAAATGTCTAACATACTGTGCCAACTGGCCATTGGATCATCAAACAAAAAAATACTATGGTATACATACCTAGCTGGGATTCTGGCTTCCAGTTCCTTACAAAATAATGCAAGCACTGCAACAGCTAAAAGAAGCTTATCTATGTCGAGAATGTAAGAGACCTTGTCTTGGTTACGAAGTGATAGTTCAACCTCAGATGCTTCAATGTTCAATTCTCGGTAAAAGTATGAGAGCAAACAGGGCAGTGGAAGAAAGTCGTTTGCCCCTCATCAGCGGACCTCATCTGTAAACAAGGAACAACCACGACAAGGTTTTAAACATGATTGGAGAGAGATGGAGAGGGAGAGAGAGTAGTGAAAGTGGTTTTAGGTTAGCTGGATGCGTACTTGTCTAGTCGAAAACTTGAGCTTTGTGTTGCTGCATTTCTCGCACTTCTTGTTAATCTGTCGTCAAAAGCCAATTTGGAAACCAAGAGTTGCCATCAGATTAAGACATCCACAAATGAAACCTTACAAGTGATCTGAGTAGTCAGTAAGCAGTTTACCTCCATGTCTTTCACTTCCATCTTTCCTTCAAAATGTGAGATCCCTAGATCCCTTCTGATATCCTGAGCATCATAAACATTGCACATAAGATGTTACATGCATTCGAAAGAACATAAAGTTGCATTCCACCCGCTACAATAAGAAGTACCAAAACTACACATAGATTGACAAAGCTTCAGCGAAGCAACCCTGTAGACCCGCTCTAAACCAAGAGCAGCATTGATTCAACCGTTTTCCCCCAGCAACAAACATTTGTTCAGCTAGAGAATTTATCATCTCATCGTAATAACATCTAAACATTCCTTTGAAAAAATCGCACCTTTGATTCAGTTTCAGCCACAGCCAAGAAGAAGTTCAATACCAACACATCAAACTTCACATAGATATGGAAAAGGGAGTTGTTTTATTATACCTCAGCAGAGACTTTGTAAGATATTTCTAGTCCAATCACCTCTGCAAATGACAGCAGCAAGTCATTAACTTTGTTTGCTTAAGAGCTTAATAATAGACCGAGCAAGTTCAGTAGATTAAAGATGTCAAGACATGCCCTTCAACAACCATCGATGCTTTGATCATCAAATGCTCAAAAATAAGCAAGAAAAGTGCAATCGGAAGGGCAAATCATCATGAACTGTGTATACCTTTTGACCTCTTCGAGCATTTACATAAAGGGCATTCCACCTGGTTGCCAGAACTAAAATTCATCATCGTCCCACACACATTGCAGAACATAAAATCCCCACGTCGAGCAGCCCTCATCGTTACCCTGCGCGTGAATACTGCAGTATCGGACGGAGAAAGACCGTCTGGAAGGACGGCGGAGAGGTAACGATCGATGCGGCTGGTGGACGGAACCGATTGGCAGACAAAGGGAGGCGTCTGAAAGCAGATACGGCCGGACGGCAGGAAGGGCGGCGGTTTTTGCAGGAAGCAGGAGCCACGAGGCGGAGGCCCGATGGACTGATCCAGAATAGGGTTTTGGGCTTTGACAGGCCCGTATCGCTATCGGCTATCGCCGTCACAGCGGTCACACTGATTTTATATTGTTATTTGTTTATTCATTTTAGCGCGAAAACCAATTTCCAATCTCTATACTTCTCTCTCTTACTTTCCCTTTTCCCTTCCTCTCTGTTCTTCCGTTCTCTGCCACCTCGTCTTGCTCCACTAGTTCTCCCTGCCAAGTGCCAACCTAGCTCTTCAACTCTGCAATTTGCCCACAATCGGTCCTTCCTCATCGGCCAGACGTGAAATTCCTTTCTGCTTCCTGAAAACTAGCGCACGCAGCGCCGCCGCAGCAACTAGCGTCGCACTTAGAAGGAACAACTGGTGATATCGACGGTGAGCCCCTAGTTGACTCTCCCCCTTCTGTGTTTTAACTTTTAACCAGTACGAGAATATATAAGATTAAGGTTTGTGGCCATTTTGCTTCATCATTTCAAATTTCTTTCCTTTAATTTATGCGATTCAGTTGGTAGTGAGCATAAGTACTATTCATAAGAGCAAAGCTCTTCATATTAGGGTAATGTATAATTAGGAGAAGGGAAGATGGTTTGATCTCACTATCCATGGCGTTATCAAACTAAGATAGAGATGGGAATGGCAAGGAATTAACTAAGCATTAATTGGTGCAGCAAAAGGAAGGGACCAGCCGGCTAGGATGTGGGGTGCAGACAGAATCAGTGGGTTGCCAAGCAGTGTTTTGGATCACATTCTGACGTTTTTGCCGCTGCGAGAAGCAGTGAGGACGAGTGTTTTGTCAAGGGAATGGAGGAACAGATGGGTAAATATGCCTGCCCTTGTCATCGATGACAAGTTTGGTAAGGTAGTGAAACCAGTCGCAGCTGCAGGTTCACCTGATATAGCAGCTGCTGCTAACTACAAACTTATGTTGGATATTCTCAACGTTCTCATGCACCACCGAGGTCGCCTAAAGGAGTTTTCTTTTTTGATTCCTGAACTAAGAAGCTCGTTTCCCGACCATCGGATTGACCAGATCATCGACTTTTTAAACATCAAACATATTGAGTCGCTGGCTATTGAGATCACAGACTATGTGCTGCCAAGGCGAATTTACTCCTTCACTCGACTCAAGAAGTTGAAGTTGTGTGGCTGCAAGTTCACATCCTCCAACGTCGAATTTGACAGTGCTTCGTTTGCTGGGCTCGACGTTCTCGAGCTTATAGGTTTAGCGGTACCACAAGTTGATGAAGCTTGTTTCAGCTTCAACTGCCTGTTGCTTTCTGCATTGACCATGGAAGGTTGCGGCCATCATACCAGCAAGATTAGCATTGTCATTGAGGCTCCTAAACTAGAATATTTCCGTCTTTTGGGGAGCTTCAGCTTCCTGGAGTTCAAGCATACCCCACTCCTCAAAACCGTAGATGTCCATCGAGATTCCAGCATCAATATTGTGGCCAAAGGCTACTCAAACTTTTTGAACTTTGCAGTCGGTCTTCCAGCAGTGGAGCGGCTTTCTGTCTCTGGTTCTTTCTACGACGTACGTAAAAACTAATGTTCTCAGCTCCTTCGACCTTTATCTTAATTTATACGTACATGAATGATATTATTGTCTACTGTTAGCTAGACTAATTTATTTATGACAATGTATGTGTTTTCAGTACTTGACTATCGGAGCTGAACATGCAATTAAGTCTTGCAGCCGGTGGTGTACGCTTAACCTGAAGCATCTAAGATTGGATGATTTGTGCCTCGGCTCAACTCTTACTGCCTATCTGTGGTCTGGTTTTGGCTTGATGAATTCCTCCGCTGGCTTGACTGAATTAATCATCAACGTGAGTGGATGATATCTTTCTCACCCCTTCCTCTTATCAGTTTCGGGAGTATGGTCATTTTCTCTTATGGGTTATAACGATAGAATCTTAGTCGTTCTCATTTCAATTTAGATCAATGTAGCTAAGTCAGCTGTGAAAATACATCAGACGTGTTTCTTTGCCCCTTCCATCTAAGTGAGTTTGTCTTGTGTTTGAATATTTTCAGATTGGGAAGCCACACAAATCTGGTAATGTAGAACAGGGTTTGAAGTATATAAACAATTACAATAGTAGGAAGCTAAGGCCAAAACTGAAGCTAGTGAAGGTGAATCAATTTGACGGTACAAGGCTGGAAATGGCTTTGGTACGATCATTCTTGGCGACATCACCAGCACTTGATAAGATGGAAATTGAGTTCTCAGCCGGCATTGGAGTTGAAGATCGATGGTTGATTTGTCAAGAGTTGTTGGAATTTACACGGGCCTCGCCTACTGCCCGAATCACGATAAAGTAACTTGTAGCTATAGCCAGTAAGCTGCCAATATGTATGCGTACCACCCATCAGATGTTGTCTAGCAAAGGTTTCTACATGAAGATGGTTGGGTTTATGGATCTGATGGTCGAGAGGCGCTTGTCTCCCAAGCCTAAGCGGGTGGTCATGTTGTTAGTTAGGTGGAAGCTGGTAACTTGCAGCCTAGGAAGACAAGCCAACTACAATTCCCAAGTTGGCAGTCATTGAAATTGACCCCAAAATCATGTGAAGAACAAACACCCTTGACTTCTTGTTTTCTATTCATCGTCACAGACTGATTTATTAGGATCCATATTGTTGTGTACTCGGCTTTCAGTGTCTCCAAATTCTTGTGCTTTCTATGTATTTTTTGTGGATGGCCATATCTTTTTTTGCTGACGAACAGGATGTTGCAGGGATCGCTGGTGTGCTTGACAAAGCTTCAGGTCTTTTGTCTTCCTCCAGCAAATAAAGAGGTACCTATATGATAAGAATGTCAAACCTGCTCCCCATGATCATTCTTGGGGAATTTGACCCGTCTCTCTGTATCTGTTTCTTGTACAGGGTACACAGGACCAAGAGTTCTTGTACACAGCATTAACTTGTGTATTCTCTAGTCCGATCACCTCTGCAAGTGACAGTAGCGGCAAGTCATTGGCATGATTATTAACAGACAAAGCTTGGTTGTTGCAGAGATCAAGACACTCCCTTAAAAAACAAGCAAGAACAGTGCAATTGGAAGGACAGAGCATCACAAACTCTGTATACCTTTTGTCCTCTTCGAGCATTTACACAGAGGGCATTCCACCTGATTGCCTGAACTAAAATTAGTCATCGCCCCACACGTTGCAGAACACAAAATCCCCACGCCGAGCAGCCCTCGTCGCCAGTCAACTACCAGCGGGATGAAGGCGGCCGGAGGATGGAACCGTTTGGCAGACAGAGGGCGGCGACTGAAGCAGATGCCGCCGGACGGCAGGAGGAGCGGCGGTTTGTGCACGAAGCAGCAGCATCGACGACGGGAACACGGGAGGAGGCAGTGGGCTGCGGCAGTGATCGAATTTAGAGGAGGTCCAAGATAGGCCTATTGGGCTTTTAGGCTTTGGCAGATCCATGTCCACCGTCCCACCAATTTTAGCGCGAAAACAAACTCCTTATTCTTCTCTCTTTTTTTTTTTTTTTTCCTCCCCCTTCGTCTTCCTCCTCCTTTCGTTCTTTCTACCAACTCAGCTCTTCAATTCTGAAATTCGCCGACAATCGGTCCTTCCTCATCGGCCAGACGTGACGCTCATGTCTTCCTCCTGAAACTAGCCTACGCCGCGCCTCCGCAACCACTAGCGTCGCACTTAGAAGGAACAACGGATGATATCAACGGTGAGCACCTAGTTTACTCCCTCCCCTCTGTGTTTTAACAACTAGTAAGAGACTAGATAAAATTAGGGTTTGTGACGATTTTGCTTCATCGCTTCAAATTTATTTCCTTTGTCTTTATGCGATTATATAGGTAGCGACCATGAGTACTTTAATAAGAACTAAGCATGGCATATATTAGGGAAATGTTTAAGTCAGGAGAAGGGAAGATGGTTTGATCTCAGTAACGATCTCACCGTCCATGGCGATATGAAACTAAGATAGGGATGGGAATGACAAGGAATTAACTAAGCAATAATTGGTGCAGCAAAGGAAGGGATCGGCTGGCTAGGATGAAGGGTGCAGACAGAATTAGTTGGTTGCCAAGCAGTGTTATGGAGCACATTCTGACGTTTTTGCCGCTATGAGAAGCAGTGAGGACGAGCTTTCTGTCAAGGGAATGGAGGAACAAATGGGTAAATATGCCCACCCTTGTCATCGATGACAAGTTTGGTAAGGTAGTGAAACCAGTCGCAGGTGGTACTTCACCTGAACTAGCATCTGCCGAGGTGCATCTACTCCTTCAACCGACTCACGAAGTTGAAGTTGTGTGGTTGCAAGCTCACATCCTCTAACGTTGCCTTTGGCAGTGCTGCGTTTGCTGAGCTCAACATTCTCGAGCTTAGAGATTTAGCAGTACCACAAGCTGGTGAAGCTTGTTTCAGCTTCAACTGCCTGTTGCTTTCTGCATTGACCATGGAAGATTGCGGCTCTTCCGCCAACAAGATCAGCATTGTCATTGAGGCTCCTAAACTCGAATATTTTCATCTAGACGGGAGCTATAGCTTGCTGGAGCTGAAGCATACTCAATACTCAAAACTGTAGATGTTCATCAAGCTGTTAGCATCATTGAGGACAAAGGATACTCAAAAACTTTTTGAAATTTACAGCCGGTCTTCCAGCAGTGGAGCATCTTTCTCTTTCTGGTTATTTCTACAACGTACGTAACTAAAAATTTCTCTTCTCAGCTCGGCTTCAACCTTCAGTTTAATTTATGCATACAGGAATTTTTTTTTTTCCTACTGCTAGTTAGACTAATTCAATTCTGACAATTATATACATTTGGTGTTTCAGTACTTGATGATCGGAGGTGACCATGCAGTTAAGTTTCGCAAGCTGCGGAACCTTAAGCATCTTAACCTTAAGCATCCAGGGAGGGATGCTACGCTTAGTGCCTATGTGTGGTCTGCTAATGAGTTGATGAGCGTTTCCCCTGGCTTGCCTGAACTAACCATCAACGTGAGTGTCGATATCTTCCTCACCCTTCCTCTTATCAGATTCGGGAGTATGGTCATTTTTAGTTATCGGGTTATAATGATTGAATCTTAGTCATTCTAGTTTCAATTTAGGTCTATGTAGCAAAGTCGATTTGGAAACACATGAGACATGTTTCCGTGCTACTTACATCTAAGTAAACTGTCTTGTGACTGAATATTTTCAGATTGGGAAGCCACACAAATCTGGTGAAGTAGGGCTGGGTGTAATGGCGATAGATCGGAGGAGGAGGATCAGGCCGGAACTTAAGCGAGTGAAGGTGAATCAATTTGATGGTACAAGGTTGGAAATGGCTTTCGTCCGATCGATAGTGGGGGCATCACCAGCACTTGATAAGATGGAAATCGAGTTCTCAGCTGGCCATGGAATTGAAGATCAATGGTCGATTTCTCAAGAGTTGTTGCATCTTACGCGGGCCTCACCCACTGCCCGAATCACGATCAAGTAACTTGTAGCTATAGCCAGTAAGCAGCCTAGCCATCTACATTAAGATGGTTGGGTTTTCGAACATGATGGTCGAGAGGCGCTTTTGTCTAACCAAGCCAACCACACAATTCCCAGGTTGGCAATCATTGAAATTGACCCCAAAATCATGTGACGAACACCATTGACTTCTTGTTTCATTCATCATCAGAAATTGACTTATTTAGAATCCATATTGTTGTGTATAATCACAATGAGAGGCCAGAGACATAACAGACGACAGACATCAGACAAAAAGGGTTCAGTTTACCTCTAATTTCTTGTGCTTTCTATGTATGTTGTGCGTATGTCCGTATCGTTGCCGGCCGACAAACAGGATGATACACTGTGTTGATCCGAAATTCTCCTTTTAAGAATATCCAATCCAACGAGTAGGAAACAAAACAGGGCCGAGAATTCTCGCAAAAGTACGTTGCGGGGATCGCCGGCGTGCTTGACAATGCTGCTGGTTTTTGTCCTACTCCCGCAAATAAAAGAGTTGCCACAATATTAGAATGCCAAAGCCTGCTCCTCGTGATCATTTCAGCCAAATAGCCACCTTTTCTTACTATGGTGGCTGTGAACAAACACACACCATGGCATCAATCCCTTCTTCTTGCACAACCAGAGACATTATCGGCAGCTCGAAAACACAAAGTGCAGTACAACTCTGCATCCCTCTCTCGCACTCAAAGAGATTTTCATTCAGGAAAACAGGACAGGAGAAGACGAGGCATTAGCGAAAACCTTTCAGCTTTCACCCCCACTTGCTTCAGATGTTTCCCCAAGGTATGCCCTTTTTTACATGATCTGTCGAAAAGCTGCGATTCAACATTTCCGGCATAGTCGAAGTTTAGCATGAACATGTAGGAACATGCAGAACCGGCTCTAGATGCATCGAAGACTCGTTCTTTATGAAGCTACCGATATCTTTGTACTCAATCATGATCGAAGGCGTTGAAATATACACGTAAAAAAAAAAAAGGTTGATTGATTGATTGCCAATGTTGAATAATAGAGAGTGACAATGGGTGATGAGCAACTTGGTATTGCCAGCATCCTATACACTTGTTACTATGTGTTTTCCTATGTGCCGCAAAACTATAAAGCAAACTTCCTACTTACACACCTCAAAGATTAAGCAACAAGCGCGGACGTCGTCTCTGTTGTTGGTTTGATGATGGTTTTTTATTGGCTTCTGAACTTAAGAACCAAGCAGCTTCTTCCATCTTGCATATCCTAGAACCATAAAGAAAAGCAGGAAGGACCCTGCAGTAGAGCCCCCGACGACATAGCCAAATATCCCTTCTATATCATACAGTGTGCAAGGGATATTCATCCCAAACACTGATGCAATCAAGGTTTCCACTGCTACTGCAAATGAAGCTATGGTCAACGTCAGTTGGAGCTGAATTAGTTCGTTTCGCTGGTTGTCAAGCTGGATGTTCACATAGTCCTCTGTGTCATCAATGTATTCACGGACCTGCAAGAACAGCACAGACGAATATTGTTATTTGAATTAAGTTTTTCATGATAGAATGATCAGAGCCAAGCAGACACAAACCCTCGTAACCACTGGTCAATACCCAAAAAAAAAAAAAACCATTCAACCATTTTAGAAAAACTATCAAATCAACCAATCCATCAAGTTTAGGCTATGTTTATCACAAATTTCCCTTCTCCTTTAAGTTAGCTGCGAAAATTCAGACACATCGTACAAAAGTATGCATGGAATCAACTGCTCATTTAAGGTTACAGTTCATAAACTTGATGTCTTTCCAGATACTATTTGATGGAGGGATATCAAATTCAGAAGTTCGTAGGGGGAGCATAATCCAGATGAATAATTTGTTCAGTATTTGGTAGACTTTAAAAACTAACTTATCACAATTGGAACATTCATTCATTATAATAATTATTTTGGTTCATAATATTAGCAGAGATTATAATGAAACTGTCAGTGCTTCAAGTATTATACCTCTTTCAATTTTAAATTGCAACTTGCAAATGTTATCACACGAAATGGACCATAACAGCAATGAAACCATTTGACTTTTCGACAATTTCAAAGAAAGAAAGCCAATTCGTTAAACGAACACTCACAGACAATATCTTGTTGCGTGTGCCATCCAGCTGCATAAAGTAAGCCTCAAGCAACATCTCTAAATCCTCTATGTCATCATCAGCATCTTCAACAGAGCTTCCAGTTGCATGACTAGCACTTCGACCAAGCAGAGGGACCTGAGCTGTAGCAGCAAGAGTGATGCTATTTGAAGCGAAGGATCCTAATAATACTTCTGACTGCTGGCTTTGGATCCACTTCCTAGTTAAATACAAGTCTGCCATATCTTCATTATCATCTAGCAGATGTTCAATTTCATCCCTCACCTACAGTAAGTCAGGCACATAAGAGTACAGTGACAGTGTTTATGAAGCCTGATAAAAGCATCCAAAAAAAGTCATGCATTGCACTATTGAGGTCCGTTTTATTAGTGCAATATGAAATCAGGTTTTACTGCAATCTTAACAGGTGTGCAGTGATTCAAGAGGAAACATGAGATTAAGGTAAGAGCTTCATATGAGATTTTTAAGATCCACATCCCCATATCTCCTCACCTCTTGCTTTTGCCTTGATGCTATTATTATATCCATAATAAAAAGGGCCACAGAGAGAATGGAGTTGAAACATCACTCCAAGGCAATAATTACACTAACTGATCACAGTCTAAGATTGAGGGGGGGAAACTAGAATTTTTTTTTATGGAAAGAAACAAACTAGATTAACTGAGTCCTATTTGTATGAAAGAACTTACCAGATGTCTTTCAGAAAGCAAAAGATTACTTAACAGATGACAATCCCCCTCCAAACCAGCAAGTGAAGCAAGGAATACACAACGGAAATACACTGGCAAGACTAGTCTGTACAATACGCTTCAAATTAATTCTTACAGAATAAGGAAGTAAATTGTGAGTTCACACCGGGACCTTAAGATTAGTATTGACAAAGGGTTGTTGGCAGTTCTAAGGAGGGCACAATGTCTCCAATAATGTCTGCAAATACTCCAAAGAACACTAACTGCTTTGCATCACATGCTAAGATCTTATGCTACTTTAAATTTTCTGATTCTATGTAGCAACTAGATGCTTGGAAAGGCACAAGGCATATGCACACTATTCACTCAGCAGAAGCAAGAGACCCCTATCCTACGAAAGGAGGTCAGGCTGTTCCTTTCTTTCGTTCCTGTTACCTATTTTTGTAGCTGAGTTAAATTCCAAACGAGAAGCTCAAGAATAAGCTACAATAATGGACCATACATGCTAGCACTACTGCCTGGGATCTAACCAAAATAGTATGCAACTTCCTTCTCTAACAGGTCACTTCGCACTTGCATTTGAATTGATACCAAAGACACCATTCAAGAAGAATCAGGAGAAAAGAGTAAAGAGATTCCAGACTACCTTTTGCACACGTGCCAGCAGGCGAGTCAGATTGCTTTTCAAACTTCGCACATGTTCGAGATTCTTGGTACTGACATTCCTTGCCAATTCATCCAAGATAGGATATGCATCTCGCTCCAAGTCCGCCACGCTAGAGTCCAAATATGAACACACCACCTCTAATGCAATCTCAAGAACCTGAAACTCAAATGGAAGCTCAGGCTGTTCACCATCAGCAGCTTCAGGAGTCGGCAGGTGTGCATCAGATGCAACACGCCTTCCATTGTCTTGTCCATCAGCATGGCCTGCTTCTTCAATCTGTAATGGTGCTTTAAGCCGAAGTTGTAGCCTTAGCTGATCGACAAACTGAAGAACCTCTTGTTTCAGGGGATCCAAAATCAATACTTCCTCTGCAGTGACTAAAGCCCTTATGAACTCCAAATTGACAACCATTGCCTTCTCCCTGGCTGCAACAAATTGTAATTCCACTTAGTTTCTGTACTTCCTACTTACGCAATGAGTGCAGCATATGTGAAAATACCATCAGTGACAGGGAGGAAATGGAAACTGAATTCCTGTCTGGCACTTCTTCCATAAATTTCTACTAACAACAGTTGAAATCACCCTACGTCATAAGCAGAACAAGGCTCAAGCAATGCAAACAACTCGGTCCCAATCACAGTTGCATCAGTGCGATCAATGCAGTTACCACATCAACGAAACAAAATCACACAATTCAACAATTGTACATGAAAATATGAAGAAATAGTTACCAAGTATACTGGAGGAGTGAGAGAAGACGGGGCCAAGGATCCTCAAATCCCTAGCAGGAATCGCCACACGCTTAAGAATGGCGTTCTTATCACATTCCACCAACTCCGAATTCCCAAACCGATCGAACCGCATCCACAGCCTGGCACCTCCGGCCTTCTTCTTTCCCTTCACTACCGACACCGCGCCACCGTTCTCGCCGGCCTGTGGCGGCGACGTAGCCCTCAGCGGGGGAGGTGGCGGCAGAGGATACGGCAGCGAAGGGCCGGCCTTCTTCTTCGACTGACGCCGACTTCGCTTGAAGGCAAAGAAGCTTTTCTCCCCCATTGTTCAGTTACTTTAGACGACCGCGACTAGGGTTTCCGGATTATTATTCGAGGCGGGGGGGACGGGGAAGACAAATTTACATTTCCCCAGCGGTGGGTGGAAAGGACGACAGCGGCTGACGCGGAGCGCGTTGCCTGTTGTCTTCTTCCTTCTTCTGATTCGTCTTCGTCTTCTCCTCCTCCTTGCTCTTCTGCCATAAACGCTACCTTCTCATGATTCTGTGATTCGTTTGTTCAACAAAGTCCACCAAAAAAGTCAAATGCAACAAGAAAAGGTAAGGGCAGAGAGGAACTGACAGTACTATAAATTAGGCCTTTCTCTCCCTTTCCGGTAGTAAGTAGTACCTAACACACACCTGTCTTCCGTATTTAAGTTCAAAATAACAAGGTGGGTTCGGTTTTTAGGTCGCGGTTATAATCGAAATTGTTTATTCGATTATTGATTAACCCTTAACTCTTTTTTATTTCTGTTAATATTAACGTAACTGTATGGTTGATTATCGGTTATTATATTGGTTAACCGACTACTATAGAAAGTGATTCAAAAAGATTAGACCAAAATAATTGATGGATAACCAAATCAATAGAAGGTCTCCCTTATGTGTTCCTTCCATATGTATGTGTCCCTTACCTGACTAAGTAGCATCCCTAAAACTTATATTATTTGATTAGAGTTCCTTAATGCCATAAGTTAATCCAAGACAAGTCCATTGGTACCTTAATAAAAGTGATGGAATCTAAGATTAACAAAAACTTATGTAATTAAGAACATAGATTGCATTTGGGCTAGTTTATTATACTTAAAATTATATGGGACATTATTGTGTGCACATGGTAAGTTGCATCAAGTCAAATCAGAACCTGCAACTAAACAGCAAACATTACTTTCCTATTTTTGAGAAAACAGATGTTGAAAACAGGTGAAAACAACATTTTGTCGTTTCCGAAAACAGCAGGAAGTTGCCACTTTCTGTTTTCATAGTTGGAAACGAATAGAAAACGGAATGAAAAGTAAACAAGTTTTCTCGTTTCGGTTGCCAAATTTATGACATAAAAACAGAAAACATGAAACGAAAATGGAAGTGAACAGGCCTAAGCTGACCAAAGTCTAAATTAACAAAAAAGCAAGCTGCAACTAATTAGCCAAAAGGAAAACGCTTCCTCTATCACCCAAAAATCTCATCCTGTCCTAAAGCTATACAAAAATCAGGACTCGGAACACAATGGGAAAGACAGGAGAATGCCTTTACATGCTACGCTAAGAAATCAGTCAAGAAGCAAAGGGAGGGATTGGCTTAACAGCAGTCTGGATTCTTCTGAACGCAGTCCTCACTTTCTCTTTCAGCCCTTCATGCTCACTCTCAACATCCCCATTCTGCTTGTCAAGCTTTGCCACATTCCCGTCAACACTTATCACCAGCTTCCCATTCTCGTCTCGCTTCACGTCCCCGAACATTGAAACCAGCAGAGCATAGACCACCTTCTCCGCTCTCTTCTCGTTCTCTTCCTCCGTCTTACTTGCCTCCGATTCAATCACCACCTTGGGGAGCTCACGGGAGATGTTCAGAACCAAGGCCACCACCGAGTCGGACACCATGTCGCTCACTGGATCAGCAGCCCAGTGCATGGAGATGTGCTTCTCGGAGTCCTGCTTAACAGTGACAAGCTTGTGCACTAGCAACGTGGGCACACCGGAATCCTCATCAGTGCCTGATTCCACGCTCTCGTATATCTGCTCGAGACGGTGCTTTATCACGCCAAATGCACCACTGAATGGAATGGTGATCCTCTGAGTAATGTTTGCTGTTGAGAGCTGTGAAAACACATGTAGATCTTCAGGTGCCATGATTTGATATGTGAAGCCTTTTTTCACAAGTATCCCACTGACTGTTTCACCGACTTCGGGTGTCTTCTCAGCCAGTTTCCCTATGGTTTTCGCCATCTTCTCGGAGTTGAACATCATTTCGACCGACTGACAGTTTTTGGGGGTTAAGACTTTGGTATTGCCATCAGCAGCAAACTCCGTGATCAGCTTCTGTTTCAGCCTTCCCATCTCATTGGCTTCTCCATGGACCAGAACTATGTTGGGAGGTCTGAGTTCTTTCAGGAAGGCACTTGTCTGGGCGTAGTCAGCATGGGCTGAGAACGAAATGTAGTGAACTTGCATGTTGAGTGGGGCCATTAGTCCATTCATGAGGGTGACTTCCTTCGGTTCATTGATGATGGTCTTAGCAAGTGTTCCTTCAACAACGTATCCCGGTATGACACAAGAATTCTTCTTATCAGCACACCACATATCAAACAACTGCCTGGACAGTCCACTCTGCAGCCCGCCAGGGCTGGCCATAACTACACATGGCCCAGTATCGTTGAAATCATCAATGCTGTTCAAGTTTTGTATGAACTTGAACTGGAAGGGGTTCGAGTGTGCAAACTGATTCCGAATCCTCTCGTTCATGGCAAGTATGTATGTCTGATAAACACTCATACACTTTCTGGCCAGAGGGGAGGCATAGTATATCGGGATGTTCTGGAGCTCCTTGTGGGTACTCCAGTATTCATCAAGAATCAACAGCAGTTCCTGAGCACGACCAAGTGCGAATGCAGGGATAAGAACACGGCCACCTTGAGAGACGGTCGAGTGGATGACATCGGTGAAGCGCTTCTCCCTTACGTGTCGAGGCTGATGAAGCTGGACTCCATAGGTGGACTCGATTATGCATATATCAGGGGAGAACTCTGGCATTTCAGCAGCTTGAAGATGCCTATCCTCCTCACGTGAGTAGTCACCAGTATAGAGCACACGAACACCAGCAATGTCAACCATGAACATGGCAGCACCAAGAACATGGCCAGCAGTGTAACACCAGAACTTGATTCCATTCACTTCTTTTGTTTGATGGTAGTCAATGACCTACAAATTGAAAGATAGTGAGCAACCCACAAAAAAGAGGTTCTTTCGCATAGTGAAACAGGTAAGAAAAGGGAAGTTTAACTAGACACAGAATGAAAAAGAAGCAACTCTACTATACCTCAATTCTATCCATGGAGTTGTTTATGTCTTGTTCATCAAACAACATGTCTTCAATGGAAACTTTGCTCACTTTCACGTAATCGGTCAGAAGCAGTTTGTAGATGGCCTTTGTGGGATGAGTCATGTAAACTTTGCCTCTGAATGTAGTCTGAGTAAAACAGTATAAGTTAAGCTACAGAACCACAAACCACACTCATCGTTCCCATTTCTCTTCTTATACATAAATGACACAAGGGAACCAACCTTCTCCAGAAAATAAGGCAATGATGCAGCATGATCCAAGTGAAAGCTGCAAGCAGGCAAAAGGGTAGCAATCATTATTAGTGAAGTGAAAACCCCAGAAAGATGGTGCCCCAAATCAAAGAAAAAAACCTACTGAGTGATTAGAAGCACATCAATAGTGGACGGATCAATCTCATCGAAGTAGGGCAAAGCAGACATTCCCGAGTAGGCTGGATGAATCCCACAATCAAACTAACACACGCGAAAATTGATGCCCCAGTCATTAGAATTGGAAATGAAGCAGTCGGTAGCAAGGGATTTAACTGAAGAACGCATATGGTTCAACGAAATGAATCGTAATTTACCAAAACAGTCTTCCCCTTGAAAGTCATGTAGCAGCAGGAACGCCCCACTTCGCTTCCGGCGCCTAATGGAATAATGGTGAGTTGATCCCCTTCCCTCGTGACCGGCACATCCCTTCTCTTGAGAGACGAAGCTGGCTGGGCAGTTGAAGCCATTGTCGTCTCAGGTGCAACGAAAAAAGTAGGGAGGGATGTTTGTTTCCTTTGAGCCGCGATCTGGAGTTCAGTTGGTGAAGTGAAATGGCGAGAGGGAAAAAGCAATTTAGACTTTAGAGCATAAACCCTAGAAACCGAAATTTCAATTTAATTTCAATTTAATCGGGTCTCCCCGCGTTTGCTAATTAGGGTCGGGTTGGAGAGACCCGAAAAAAATAAAAACACGAGAAATTTCAATTTAATCGGGTCTCCCCGCGTTTGCTAATTAGGGTCGGGTTGGAGAGACCCGAAAAAAATGAAAACACGAAAAAAATATAAGCGACCACAGTGGGAGTCGAACCCACGACCTTCTGATCCGAAGTCAGACGCGCTAATCCACTGCGCTATGCGGTCTTTATTGTTAATTTTGTTAATTTGATAATTATATTCAAAGGATAAAGAGAACAGACAAGCAAACAAAAATAGAAATGGACAACAATTCAATCCGTGTTAGATATTTGAATTGGCTCAAATCGGAGAGATATATTTGAATTTGGATTCAATTTCATGAATTATGTCAAATACGAAAAAAAAGTGAAACGAAATTGATTACAAAGAGTCAAATGAATCGATTCTCAATTTCCTTCTTTTTTTTTAGGTTTCTATCTCAATTTAATCTAATTCTTAATCGAATTGAACGACTCGCTCATCTAGATCTAGTTTTTCTACTTAATCGTAAATAGAAAGATATAGAAATTTCGACTATTTCACCTAGATCTATTTTTTCCCATTTCTTCCAATTTTACCATTGTTTCATTCTCTTCCCACTTCCCCGTTTCTCAATCACTTTCTCATATCATGGAACAACTTCTGAATTCGATCATGATCTTCCTCTCACCAATTCCATCCTCATTTCCCCTCTCTTCTACAGATTTTCCGTTCAAGATTTTCATCCTTTCGATCCTCGTATCTCATCTTCGTTCTCCTCTCCCTTATTCCAGATTAGATAAGGAGAACGTTTCATTTCGTCCTAACATCTATACGTCACCTTCTCCGATCTCCACCACCATCTTAATCTAAAAAAATTTAAACGCAAAATCTCCCTTCACCAATCCTCCTATTTTTTTTAAAATACCAAACAGGACCCTGATCTTTACCTTTTCCTACATGCAATGGGTAGTCATGAATCCGATTCAATAACAATCGCCGGCGCACCACCATCCTCGCCGCCCCACCACCACCACCACCAATCCAACCATGGCACGTCCACTCGCGGCGGCAGAACCTCCACCTCAAAGCAACCCACGTTCCTCCACGGCGAGCTCGACGTATGGATCCACGAGGCCAAATCCCTCCCCAACATGGACCTCGCCTCCGAGCACCTCCGCCGCTGCTTCAACCTCCTCGGCTCCCCTTGCTCCAAAAACCACCGTCGCCGCCGCCGCACATCCTCCTCCTCCGCCCACCACTCCATCATCACCAGCGACCCCTACGTCTCCGTCTGCCTTGCCGGCGCCACTGTCGCACAAACCCGCGTCATCCCCAACTGCGAGAACCCTCTTTGGGACGAGCACTTCCTCGTCCCCGTCGCCCACCCCGTCTTGAAAATCGAGTTCCACGTCAAGGACAACGACGTCCTCGGCGCGCAGCTCATCGGCGTCGTCGAGCTCCCCGTGGAGAAAATCACACCGGGGGAAAAAATCGACGATTGGTTCCCCCTTGTGGGACACGCGGGGAACTGTTTGAAACCCTACCCGGAGCTCCGGGTCGCGATCCGGTTCAAACCGGTCGGATCAGGAACCGGACCGGGTTATAATGACGGCGGCGGGGTGGCCAACACGTATTTCCCCTTGAGGAAGGGAGGGATGGTGACGCTGTATCAGGATGCGCATGTCCCCGACGGGATGCTGCCAGAGATTGTGTTGGATGGAGGGAAGGTGTACCGGCACGAGAAGTGCTGGGAGGACATGTGTCATGCCATGTTGGAGGCGCATCACTTGATATACGTGGTGGGTTGGTCGATATATCATAAGGTGAAGCTGGTGAGGGAGCCGACGGCGACGAGGGGGTTGCCGTCCGGCGGGGAGCTCACGTTGGGGGAGCTCCTGAAGTACAAGTCGCAGGAAGGGGTTAGGGTTGTGATGTTGATCTGGGATGACAAGACTTCTCACGACAAGTTCCTGTTCAAAACGGTACGTACGTACGTACATGTGCGTGCATGCATGCATGCGTGTACAGTGTTACGTGTCGCGGCCTGTGGGAGCTGAGTGAACTACTCTCTCTCTATCTGTGGTTTAATTTTGCAGGAAGGAGTTATGCAGACGCATGATGAGGAGACTAAGAAGTTCTTTAAGCACTCGACGGTTCACTGCGTGCTTGCGCCTCGTTATCCCAGCAATAAGCTCAGCATTTTCAAGCAACAGGTGATGACAAATATATGGTTTGATTTTTCTTCATGCATGGAAAAACTATATGTATGTGATTGATTTCGGATGCATATAGATAAGGTCGGTGAATTGTGGATGCATGTTTGGTACGTCTTTGGTGTAGTCCAGGTGGTCGGGACCCTGTTCACGCATCATCAGAAGTGTGTAATACTGGACACGCAGGCTTCTGGCAACAATAGGAAGATTACTTCTTTTATCGGTGGCTTAGACATGTGTGATGGAAGATACGACACTCCCGAGCACAGGTTGTTTCGTGATCTCGACACGATCTTCCTCAACGACTTCCACAATCCTACTTTTCCGGTAAGCCGGCCCTGACTATATATGTTTCCAGAAACACATAGTTTCTCTCCCTCTTGTGTATGAGCCAGCTTAACACATGTGTCATACATTGTACATGGTTAGTCTAATGCGAGGAGTCCAAGACAGCCGTGGCACGATCTGCACTGCAAGATCGAAGGTCCAGCTGCGCATGACATACTGACGAATTTCGAGCAGAGATGGCGGAAAGCCCAGAAATGGAGGGATTTCAGGCTGAAAAAGGTCACCCAGGGGGATGCCTTGTTGAAGCTGGATCGTATCTCTTGGATTCTGAATCCCTCCACTCATGGGGATAAGGATGTCTACGTTTGTGACGAATCCGATCCTGAGCGTTGGCATGTCCAGGTAATCAATCCAACACTTTAATCGATAGTGCATATGCAGAGTTTGTGGAATTCTGCTTATGAACACCATCACCACCACCTCTGAAATTGCTCTGTGTTGTGTAGATTTTCAGGTCTATTGATTCTGGATCTGTCAGGGGATTCCCGAAGGCAGTTGGAGAAGCAGCTGCTCAAGTTTGTAACGTTCATAGAAGCTCTTCACTAATAATCTTCAGATATCTCGTAACAATCCAGCAGCATTAAATAGATTATTACTGTTAATTGCAGAATCTAGTGTGCGGGAAGAACCTGAAAGTGGATAAAAGCATTCATACAGCATACATCAAAGCAATCAGATCTGCCCAGCACTTCATCTACATAGAGAACCAATACTTTCTTGGATCTTCATTTTGCTGGCCCTCTTACAAAAATGCAGGTATCACACATGAACAAAAGAAACTAGAATAGAGAGACTCACTATCAGGCTTTGAAGGTGGAGATCTGATCACCCTTTTCTGTTACGGTGATGCATTCATCGTTATCATCAGGTGCTGATAACCTAGTACCAATGGAGATAGCACTGAAGATAGCAAGCAAGATCAATGCCAACGAGCGCTTCTCGGCTTATGTGGTCATACCCATGTGGCCAGAGGGTTCTCCTACCAGTGCTGCAGTTCAAGAAATCTTGTTTTGGCAGGTAAAGGGATTCATATATTTTTTTGTAACTGGAAGTGATTCACAAGATGTGCATCACTATAGAGCAAACATGACTCTTTATTGATTGATCAACTTGATCGTATGGAAATATGTATACTAGGGGCAAACAATGCAGATGATGTACAAGATAATAGCAAATGCACTGGAGAAAGCAGGGTTGCTGGAGGCTTACCATCCACAGGACTACTTGAACTTCTTCTGCCTTGGCAAAAGGGAAGAAAAGAATCAAGACTGCGTTGGTTTCTTAAATCCCCAAACCGAGAACCGTGCTTTGGTAACAGCTACTCTGATCTCGCTTTCATTTTCAATTCAACACAAATAATTAACCAGGGGCACCTCCCCTGATCTTTGCTCTACTTGGCAGGCAGCGTGTCAAAAGTACCGCAGATTCATGATCTACGTCCATGCCAAAGGGATGATTGTGGACGACGAGTACGTAGTCATCGGATCAGCAAACATCAACCAGAGATCTTTGGATGGTTCAAGAGACACTGAGATTGCAATGGGAGCTTATCAGCCAGCTCATACTTGGGTTGCCAAACAGGGCCACCCACGTAGCCAGGTATGGATAGCAAAATACTCTAGCAAGTGACTTCTATGGTACTCTCACTACACTTCGAGTATGCAGTACTCCTGATCGTATCACTGTATCGAAGTATCATATACTCCTAGTCTGCGTTCCAAGTATAGTCGATTATTGAAATGGTGTAGTGGATTTGTGGTTGATTAGATATACGGATACCGGATGTCGCTGTGGGCGGAGCACATGGAGGAGTTGGAGGAAGCACACAAGGAGCCACAGAGCATGAGGTGCATGAAAAACGTGAACAAGGTTGCTAAGGACAACTGGAAGGCGTTTGTGGCCGAAGAGAGGCTCCCAATGAAAGGACACTTGATGCAGTACCCCATTCAAGTAAGCAGAGACGGTAAAGTCTCTGCTTTGCCAGGCCACGAATCTTTCCCAGATGTCGGCGGCAAGGTCCTTGGCTCGCCAACCACTCTTCCTGACACCCTCACCACCTAAGTATACTACATGAGTATAGTTGTCATCCTAAACCCTGTACTTAATTATGTCTAATCTCATGCACAGAGGGATTGTTGAAATACCTTGTGAAAGGAAAATTGGTTAAACAGAAATGGAATTGAAAAGAGGGATCCATTGGTTAGCAGTTCAAGTCAATTATAACAGTCGAGTTATGGCTTTAAATAACAGTCCTTAATGGATTTTAGTTTCGTTTTCGATTAGGTTAACCACAACAAACTGGTTAGCCACCTAAAACAAATCGACTCTAATTGTTCTTATGATTAAGATGGTTCATAAAGTAAAATCTAAATGCAGAGCAAACGAAAGTAAGAAGAAACGACATACATGATAAGTAAAATCGACAGGAGTTATGAACCATAACCCACAATTTGCATGCACAACTTGTAGGAAATGTTTGAGGGAATCGTACAAAACCCTCTGTAGTAACTATCTGATAAAAGGTAAACGTAGCAAGCAGAATGTTCACCAAGTAAAAGAGGAGAACCTCTTTCTTTGCTCTAAGGAATCAGAATGAAAGACAGAAGTGCTTTACAGAGGCCCCACTTGTTTTCCTGACTCAAACGAACACTGGTTCATATGCTCAATATCTTTCTCTCACCTGGCAGAGAAACGCAGAAACCAAGATTCAGAGATAAGCCAAAAGGGAGAAATAGTGAAAGAAAAACTCAGTATTAGCAGGCATAGAACAGTAGTAACCTAGTAATAAGGTCATATAATGATACCTGCAACACTATAGCTTATGCTGAATTCATGTTATCTATCGAAGATAATGTGAGCAACGTGGAACTAAGGGCAATGAACATTGATTATTATCTATCGAATGCCAAATTATTACAGCGCGGTAGAGTAAAAAAGGCAAACCAGGCTTACTTGATGGTTCCCTGATTGGTCCATAGGGTTGTTATAGTCTCTTTGTCCTTCCTGTGTGTTCCTTTGTGAGAACCCTTGACCTTCACCTGGATAACCAGGTCGGCCACCAGCTCCACCTTGTGGACTGCCTCCTGTAGAAAGCAATTGACAGCAAACTGATGATTTTTTATTGATTTGGAAGAAAGGTACATATAGTGGTTGATGCAAACCACAATCTCTGGTTGCTCTCAACGTTCATAACCCAAGAATCACGCTAACAAGACTCAAACAAACTAACTAATCAGCTAAAGACTCTCAACTAATCAAACCACTACTGACAGGAGTCGAATGCAACTTAACACAAACATAATGACTGGTACTGCAATAAACCAAACGACGTTGCATTGTTTATTTCCCAAAAGACTCGATTTGAACTGCTTCTCTTGGCGCGATGCTAATCTGAATGCAGTTCGGATTCGGATTCAGATTCCTTCTCTACACATCCTCCCCTGAACTGAAGCACCCCAAACACTAGCTTCAGTTCACTTCCATCAGTTGTTCTTCATCATTCCCAATCTCGGAGAGATCATAGATTCCTAGCTCCTGTCTTAGCATGCATAACGATTCCAGTGACAAGGCCTTGGTCATAATGTTAGCAACTTGATCATTTGTGTCACATTGCTTCAATTCCACCACTTCATCTCGAACCAAGTCCCTTAGAAAGTGAAACCTCAAATCGATATGCTTACTTCTGCCGTGGAGAACTGGATTTTTTGATAGCTTTATGGTCGAGCTGTTGTCACACAAGATTGCAGTGGCCTTTCTTACACTTGAATTCCAACCAATCTCAGTCAGGATCCTCCTTAGCCAGACCCCTTGAGCAGCACAGTAGGCTGCTGCAACAAACTCCGCTTCTGTAGTGCTTAGAGTCACCACAGGCTGTTTTTTGGATGCCCAGGAAACAGCTCCTCCAGCAAGGAAGAAGACATACCCACTTGTACTCTTCCTGTCATCTGAATCTCCAACATAATCACTAGGGGTGGCATTTCGGTTATTTCGGTTATAACCGATAACCGATCGGCCGGTTATCGGTTAACCGAAATAATCACTCTCCCTACCGAAAACCGCCCGAAATAGGCTTCGATTTCTCGGTTATCGGTTAACCGACCCACTTTTAAGACCAAAGACCATGTCGTCGAGCCTCCGATAATCGACCGAAGTTCGGTTACTTCGGTTACCGGTTAGTCGATAACCGGTCGGTTATCGGTTTAACCGGCCGGTTAACCGGTAACCGGTAACCGAACGGCCACCCCTAATAATCACTGTCTGTGTATCCCAACAGACAGTCTTCCTCGTCTTGTCTTCTGTACAAGATTCCATTGCTCAGGGTTCCTTTCAAGTACCTGAGTACCCTCTTTGCAGCCAGCATATGATGCTTAGTAGGTGCTTCCATGTACCTGCTTAACAAGCAAACAACAAACATAAGGTCTGGTCTTGTTGTAGTGAGGTATAACAGGCTTCCAATGAGCTGCTTGTACTCGGTTGCATCCACCAGACCTCCATCTCCAGGTTTCGACAGCTTTGCTCCAGGAACAATAGGGTTATAAACAAAGTTGCACTCAGCAAGGTTGAATCTGGCTAGAACTTCCTTTGCATACTTATGTTGGCATATAAAAATACCATCTTCCCTTTGAATCACTTCTACTCCCAGAAAGTACTTCATTCTACCCAAATCAGTCATCTCAAATTCAGCTTCCATGGTGTGTTTAAATTTAGCCACCATTTCAGCATTAGTACCTGTGTATAACACATCATCAACATAGATGCTCACTAACATCACCCCCTGATTAGATTTCTTGATGAACAACGTGGCTTCATGTGGACATTTCTGGAAACCAGTTGCAAGGAAGTGAGCTTCTATTCTGCTGTACCATGCCCTGGGAGCTTGCTTCAAGCCATACAAGGCTTCTTGAGCTTGTAAACTTTATCTTCCTCCCCAGAAACCACAAATCCTTGTGGTTTCTCAACATAAACATCTTCACTGAGTTCTCCATGCAGGAAAGCGCTTCTAGACAAACCCAACACATCAGTTGGGTCTTCCTCATCATCCCCATCTATAGAGTTAATACTAGTAGGAGGTGTTGGTGTTTTTGGGCTGCCTGGTTCTTCCTCAGTCACTTCTTCAAAAACTGTTGGTGCTGAAATTTGAGGTCCTTCCTCTCCATCAGAATCAACATAATCATCATCACTCCCTTCCCATATCAAACTTGTTAGGACTGGTTGGATGTCAGATTTCCACTTCCAGCCCTTACTTTCATCAGGATTTTCTTTGTTCCTAGATTGTACAGCCTGTATGCCTTTGATTCTGCAGAAATGCCTAGAAAATGGCATGGGATACTCTTGTCATCAAACTTCTTCCTGAATTTATCAGGAAAGTGTGCATAAGCCACACAACCAAACACCCTGAAATGAGATACAAATGGGAAAGCACCAGTCCACTGCTCCTGAGGTGTTTTTCCAGCATTTGCCACTGTGGGACTTCTATTTAGGACATGAGTTGTCCAATTAACTGCTTCTGGCCAGAAAGCAGCTGGTACTTGAGTTTCTTTCAACATGCACCTTACCATATTCATGGTAGTTCTGTTTTTTCTCTCAGCCACCCCATTCTGCTGGGGAGTCAAGGCACCTGTAAGCTGTCTTTTGATGCCAGATTCAATACATAAGGACTGAAATTCACTCAGTAAGAACTCTCATCTCCTATCTGTTCTAAGACAAAGAATAGATAGACATATTTCCTTCTCAACTTGAACCACAAACTTCTTAAACCATTCCAATGCTTCAGACTTAGCATCTAGAAAGAAAACCCATAGCTTTCTACTGAAGTCATCAATCAAGGTAAAAATGTACCTTTTTCCTCCATTTGAGGTTGGAGTTATGGGACCACATAAATCTGCATGAATCAGCTGAAGCTTCTGAGTTGCCATCCATTGGCTATGCTTAGGAAAAGCTTGTCTGGTCTGCTTTCCAATCTTACAGGTGGAACAAATTCCCACTGTTCCTTTCAGTTCTAGAATACATGTGATAAAGCCCTTCTGTTGAACTTGCATTAGTCCTTGTGGATTCAAATGACCAAACCTTCTGTGCCAAAGAGTGAGAGAGGTGTCCTTGGCACTTTCAGTTTGCAAACAATAAGCTTCAGTCTTGTTTGATTCATCCTTCAGGACAAACATCCTGTTGGACCTCATTGGAGTTTCCAACAGAAAACCCTTGTCTTCATGATAGATTCTGCAGACATTCCTCTTAACCATAAACTCTAGTCCCTTCTCCTGCAGCTGTCCCATACTTAATAGATTTGTTTTCAAGCCAGGCACATAGAAAACATTGTGAATAACCAAAGAGACTCCTCCTAGATGCAGTCTTATCTTTCCTTGACCTGCCACATCCAGTCTGGTGTCATTACCCAGTCTTACTTTTCCAACCTTAGTTTCCTCTATTGAGTCAAACCATCTCCTGTCCCCAGTCATATGATTGCTGCAACCAGAGTCTAGGAACCACCAGCTGTGCATTCCTTCTGCTAGAGGTTCTTCTAGGAAAGCCATCAACAGAACATCATCAGGAAGAGCATTATGATCATTGGATTTGGCCTGAGAATAGTAAGCTTGTTGATTTGTGTACCAATCAGGACACTCATTTCGGTAGTGCCCCAATTTGTAACACTTGAAACACTCAACCTGCTCCCTATTCCAACCTCTTCCTCCCCTTCCTCTTCCCCTTCCTTGAAAGCCTCCAGTTCTGCCAACTCCTCTTCCTCCCCTAGCTCCTCCATCATAAGTCATTCTGAGGGCTTGATCTTCTTCCATAAGAGATTTCTTGTGAAAATTCTGCTCATGAACAAGTAATGAACTCCGTATAGCATCAACAGAGAGGGTTTCTATGTCTTTGGACTTCTCTATGGAGCAGACAACATAGTTAAACCTCTCAGTCAATGTTCTCAAAATCTTCTCAACTATCTTAACATCAGACATATCTTCTCCATAGTTTCTCATGTCATTTGCCACTACCATAACTCTACTGAAATAAGCAGCAACAGACTCACCCTCTTTCATCTCAAGAACTTCAAAAGTCCTTCTCAAAGCCTACAGCTGGGCCTTCTAAACACGAGCACTGCCCTGATATTTGGTCTTCATGGCATCCCAGAGCTGTTTGGAGGTGGCCTTGTTGGTGATGGTCTTTAAGATGGATTTGTCTATGGCACTGAACAAGTAGTTCTTGGCCTTTAGGTCCTTGAGCCTGAGATCCTCCAAATTCTTAGACTCCACAGCAGACAACTGAGTCCCAGCAGCTGGCTCAGGAATGCCTTCACTGACAACCACCCAATACTCCTTTGATCTAAGGAGATTCTCCATGAGAAGACTCCAGTGGTCAAAGTCCCCATCGAATTTTGGCAACCCCACTTGTGCAAAACCAGCATTGTCACTCATGTTTGCAGAGAAAAACAATTAACCCTCTATTCCCAGAAAGATCACACGCCCTTGAAAGGATTTCTCACCAACGTGCCCTTGTGTTTCCCACACCCAGATCCTGCACCTATACTCAATTTCACTCACACACAATCACTCAAACTGCTTGAAAGCAACAATGGTTACAGCCTGCTAGTGCTCTGATACCAAATGTAGAAAGCAATTGACAGCAAACTGACGATTTTTTATTGATTTGGAAGAAAGGTACATATAGTGCTTGATGCAAACCACAATCTCTGGTTGCTCTCAACCAAGGTTGTCAAACCGATTTATACCGTTGTGCCGGTTTGGCAAGTGGAATGGTACGACCGGTGGTATAACCAGTTTGTGCCGGTTTAAAAAAGTGTAAAAACAATTAATATCCAATGTATTTAATCATATATAAAACATATTTGTGGACAATTAAATTACAATCCAACAAATATCATCAACTTTTAACTATTAAATTCATAAAATGAATGATAAATTAATTTTTATATTAATTAAATTCATTAAAATGATGTTAATTTGCTTAGAATACGTAAGTCTATCATACCGGTCATACCGGTGGTGTCATGCCGGTTTCATGACCGACACAGGTTGAACCAGGTTCAACCGGGTGGCATGCCACCGACATGACAACCATGCTCTCAACGTTCACAACCCAAGAATCACGCTAACAAGACTCAAACAAACTAACTAATCAGCTAAAGACTCTCAACTAATCAAACCACTACTGACAGGACTCGAATGCAACTTAACACAAACATAATGACTGGTACTGCAATAAACCAAACGACGTCGCATTGTTTATTTCCCAGATACTTGATTTGAACTGCTCTTGGCGCGCTGCTAATCCGAATCCAATTTGGATTCGGGTTCCTTCTCTACACCTCCTTCTTCGCCATATCTCCTAGTTCGCATTACTGGAGGTGGCCTGTGTGTTATCACGCCATTTTCATACTTGTCCCCTGAAGAATAGACAGCAAATCAGAGCCACAAATCAGAACTCGATACACAAATCAGTCATCAATTTGTCATGAGGTTCCTAGCCTCACCTCCATATTCTTTGTTTACAGGATCAAGATACGAGTCTGGTAACACATAAACAACTCCAGGCACATCTGTTTAAAATTGAAAATGACAACCCAAGATCAGCTAGGAACTCGGAATACAGAATATGAATCAATTCAACCAAATCGGAAAACGGCCAAACGAGGAAAAGATGCCTGAAAGCAAAACTGACCTGCGAATTTCTCCGATTCCTCTTCAGTCATTATAGCTTGAAACCCCTGGTAAGTTGTTGTGCTGCAAGCCTGCAAGCATACATTTTCTTCTTGGCCTCCTCAATGCTGAAAAACCCAACATTAATCAGGAAAAAGATAACTACTTGCTCGTTGAAACTGCCTCCTAGACAAAACGAGTTTCTTCCCTAAGAAGACCATTTGGAAAATCCTAGCTTTAGACCAGATGACTACTGCAATCACAATCCTGCACTATCTTCTAAATGTAAGGGGGAAAACAACCAACGAAGTACCTGATGCAGAGTCCTTGGGCGCAAATTCTCTCATAAGTAGCAACCATTTCTTCGGCCGACGGGGCAGGGTCCTCGGGGAATTCGACGGTGATGAGCCAGTGGTTAAAGTCACAGCCTTCGACGAGCACGGTAACCTCTGTGATCTCGTCTCCTTCCTTGCACAGTTCGTACTTTATCTCCTGCGCCAGGGACACCCTCGAACCAGTAAATCCCCTAGATTGCGAGAGCGAGAAATTAGGCGACGCGGACACGGCGAAAGTTTGAGGGTAAAGACGAGCGCCGGTTTGATTCGGTGCGGCGGGCATTATTGGAGAGGAGAGAGAGCGATAAACAGCGGAGAGTGAGGTCACAGCTCGCCGGAGACGACCGAATTGGAGAGCCATGGCGGCGAGATGGACAAGGGCACGACAGGATGATGTTGAAAGAGACAAAGACGGTAGGGTTTTTGAGGGTTTAGGAGTGATCGCTCAGACGCTCACCAGTCACCAGTCACCAGTCACCAGTCACCACTACTCTCACTTTTCCGAGCAGAAATAACTTATTACGTTTTGGCTCTTGCAATTTGCACTTTGCTCAAATATACTCCCAAAATTACTTGTGTTTTATGTAGGACCAGGACCGACGACAAATGAGTGGAAATACAAGAGCAACTCGATCTTTGGATTTGGGAAAATTTCACCTAATAACCAGCTCGTTCATGAAGGGGACGAGTTTGAACTAAGATTTGTACAACTTTGCAGCTAATTCGACTTAGTGGTTTGTTGAGCCAAACTTGTGATTTGATCATTTGATTCATTTTGAGCTCACGAGTTGATTTGACAATATGGCTAACAAGTAACAAACCATTTATTAGTTTACTAGCTTTGAGCCCGTCCGATGGGCATGTTATTATCGTGCGGATTATTTTGTACTTTGAGCTCGTTGGTGCAAGGGAAGAAGTCTATACTTGCTCAATATGCGTTCGGAGCTGAAACATCCTTTTCTTCTAACCATTGTTCGAGGATTAGTAGTTTTTTTTATTACAATGGTAAAAAGAAAGGTAAAATTACAAAAATTAGAATAATCAAATGCGATGGTCAACCTAACGTGTAACTACTGATGAAAGAACTTGTTTTTACCACAAATGTGCAACCCTAATAAAACGTCTAGGAGCATGTAACAATATGACTTCTGTAACTTCAAGTAATCCACCGACCAAGCCATTAGGAGCAGGCGATCCCTGCAACAATATGACTTCTGTAACTTCAAGTAAGAACCATAAAAAAAATCACTCCTATCGTCATAAAACTTAAGTGCCGTCATAGGTAGCCTAGAACCGCTCCTTCCAAAGTCTCCATGCCAAAGGAAGATGGAGTTGCAAAAGGACTCGCCTGTATAAACTCTATCGAGCTTTTGAATTCTTGCCCCAGGTTGATCCCATTGCACCTAATCTATAAGAAACAATATCATTAAAAAGATCATATAACAACTACAAAACAATAAATCGTTGTAGTTGACCTTGGGGAAAAATCTCCAATGCTAACAGTAGTGCATGCTAATCAAATATTAGTGCTCATCTTAATTAAGGGGCATGCTTATATAAAGTGCATGTTTACTGTCTTTAAAATGCTTGTTTATCCTAATGAATTGAGTTGTTATGTAGATAAGAAAAAAATTTATAAAACACAAAACAGGTTAACCGCCCATTGTGTAGCATGATAGAACCAAATCAGAGCAGGTCAGTAGAGTAAGAAAAGTAAAATAATAATAATGCATAAAAAAAAATATAAGCATTTGGGGTTGGAAGAGGGTAATTACTAATTAGAAGGTGTAGCAGGATTTTTTTTGGGGTAAAAACAGGGAGTGTTCGCATGCAAGGTGAAGCAAAGAGGAACCACTTTTGTTTCGCGTGTTGGGTTCTTTGTGGCGCTAACATTGTATCGGAGACCATTAACTTCGATCACTGCCCAGATGCATTGGGGTTGGAAGAGTACGACAACATTAATACAGAAAATACTATGAAGTATTTGAAGTTACCCAAGGACATATAATAAAGAGCATGATCGAAGAATAAACATGAGTTCATATAGCGGAAAAGATTGAATTTAATCTAGCAAGATCGGTGGTGGCAGATTGTGGCTGGTCGAGGAAGCAAAAAGCATGGCGGAATCTGCATTGGGGACCCCGGAATTGGGACTGAACGTACGGCGGTTCCGACCGCTGTCTGATCGGAGAAGAAAACCGGTACTGGAAGAGCCCAAGATCAATGGCGTTCTTCGGATGGTGTCGGTTTTTACTGCTTACAGAACCCGAATCTTAGGCAAACTACTGCAGTAGGCAAGGGCCAATGCGGCGGTTGTAAGGAGGGTTTTATGTCGGGCAGAAGGCAAATACCTCTCCTGAAATCAATTCGGAGCCCTTGGGAGCATAACTTACCTTGTAGAATCTCTTCTGGAATTGATTCTGTCGATCGATTCATGGTTCAACGCTCCGACATTGGTAGCGATGAAACCGCTCTAGATTTGGCGAGAAGGAAACTGTAGTGGTGGACAGTTATAATTTGGGTGACTGAGGGAGGAGGAAAAAAAGATGTAGCGTCGAGGCCAGGAGGGTGAAAAAGGAGGAATTTTTCCGTGCAGAGAAAGAAGAGTCTTGTTTTAAAGAGCTGACGTGGATGGCTATACGTTGAAAATGGCTGACGTGGATAGGGTGCAATTCTGAAAGAGCTTTAATATATTTTAAGATGTTGTGGCTCGTGAATGTACAAATATTGAAGTTCGAACATCAAGTTGCTAGTCAATACTTCGGCTCATTTGCAATACGAACTATGACCTTAAAAATGAATAAAATCGTTTACTAATGAGCTCTAGTTTTTTGTTTAAGATTTTATCCAAATAAATAAAAATAGATTAAGCGATTTTGTTGTCGAACCATAAAAAAAAAAAGATTACAAAAAAAAAACATAAAAAAAAAGTCAGCATTCGACTATTCCTTGTCTGTTAATTTCAATAAATTTGATGAGATAGTAATATTATTATTAGGCAACTGTTTATTCTTGCTTTCAAATTTCAATGGACCTCACATGGTCTGTTCTTCTGTTCAAGTTGTTCGCAAATCACAATCTCACACGCACGTGTAGCCATGGTAGCCGAGAGGTGCCAACAAATGTCAAAAGCGACAAAAGAAAGTAAAGAAGAAAGAAACAGAGAGCAAGGAGAGCGTTGAGCACAGAAAAGCAATCAGATTTTGAAAAAAAAAATAATGGCGGTCAGCAGAGCAGAGCCAAAGCCCAGGAAAGAGAGAGGAAGCCGAGCGCCAAAGCCATTGCCATGTGAGTTTGTGAGATGTGTGAGGTCTTTGTTTAGGTTCCCCATTAATGGAGGGAGAAACAGAAAAGAAGGAAGAGCTGCCATGACCAACCAGACCAGATACGGATCTCGCGATTTCGCTCAGAGGGGCCAGCCAGCCAGCAGACTTCTCCATGCAGCCGAAAGTGGGCGTTGTTAACTAATTCCCCAACACTGCCCCACGACACCATTAATAATAAACTCTGTGATCCAGAGAGAGAGAGAGAGAGAGAGTTTTAAAGTTCTCTTCTTTCCGGGCATAGAATATTGCAGTTCCTTATTACTTGGATCCTTTGCACTCATTGTTCATTCATTGTTGTATGTGTCACTGCTCTCTCTCTCTTTCTCTCTCTGTTCTTGAGCTTAGAGCTCCTCCCTACTAGTTTTTCTCCAGAAAGCGGTGGAAAGTTGAGGTGGGTAGTCTTTTGTTGATGATTTGGAGAAGCTTATGCCAGAAATGGAGGAAGTGTTGATAAGGCAAGGGAGATCTCTAGCTGAGACTCCTACCTATTCGGTGGCTTCAGTCACCACCGTCCTCGTTTTCGCCTGCTTCATTGTTCAGAGGGCCATTTATCGATTTGGAAGGGTACAATACAACAAAACAAACTTCTGCAGTAGTAAAGAAAACAGAGGAAATGCTCTGTTTTTCTGGGGATATTTCATTTGGTTATTGACTCTAAGTTGCATCTTGCATGCTTGATTTTTGTCTGCAGTGGCTGAAAAGGACCAGAAGGAAGGCTTTGTTTGCTTCTTTAGAGAAAATGAAAGAAGGTGAGTTTCTTGTACCTGAGTATTCTGTCATCCAATTTGCTTCTTTAGGATTTGATTTTAATTTGTTTGCTTCTACATTTGCCTCTCTTATCTTTTTTGGGGTTTTCCCACCATCTCTTTTGGTAGAGCTGATGCTGCTGGGGCTTATATCTTTGTTGTTGGCGCAATGGGCAAGATGGATATCTGAGATTTGTGTAAATTCATCTCTTTTCAGCAGTAAGTTCTTCCTTTGCGCCGAGGAAGATATTGCTGCTGGTGTCGCGCGCCATCTCTTGCTTGAAGAAAGCTTCCCATCCCACTCACCAAACCTAACACACATTCCTCCAAAGGGAATAATTACCACAACAACTCATCAGTGTGGTCAGGTACCCATAACATAGCGATTTTACCTTTAGATGGCCTATGGTTGTGAAGTTCGTCGAGAACAAGTTCGCCCCAACATTCACTTGCATAACTAGATGTACTCAACTTCTATGGATGGGTGGCTTGCAGGGTCGAGAGCCATTCGTATCGTTGGAAGGTCTCGAGCAACTTCATCGATTCTTGTTTGTTCTTGGCATCACTCATGTTCTATACAGCTGCCTGGCGGTTGGTCTGGCAATGAGCAAGGTACATTCCTTCTGTGGATCACTTGAAAGTTGAATGTGCAAGGCTTTGTCGATTTACTAGGGCGCGTTGTTTGTTCGTTGATGTTTATTCCAGTTTGTCATTTGGTTGACATTGTAGATATACAGTTGGAGGAAATGGGAGAATCAACCAAACTTACCTTTGGATGGTAGTGTTCAAGGTAAACCCAGAAAAAAAGAGACAATGAACTATAGCTCGTTGCTGATACTTTTGACTTGCTGTTTAGACTGTGACATGTTTGACTTTCTTTTTTTGGCAAAGCCAAGCAGCAGAGGATGATGAGAAGGCAAACTACTTTCATCTTCCATCATACAGCTCATCCATGGAGCAGGAGCAGGATTCTCATTTGGATGGTTAGCTTTGAAATTGAATCTTGTTCCATTCTCATCGTCATTTTGTTACTGGTTTGCTTAGTTCAGAAGCACTGTATAGAGGTATTCACAGGGTTGCTGCTGTAAACTTTCTGCAGCTATGCTTTTGTCGACAGTTCAAGAGTTCCATCAAGAAACCAGACTACTTGGCGTTGCGGTTGGGTTTCCTAACTGTGGGTATCTATCCTAATCTCCATAGATTGCCTAAACTAAACCAAATCATCTTAACTCGAACTTCCATTTGGTCTTCCATTCTCACTGTATTTACTTTCCTGTCAAGTAATCCATTGTGCCTTGAAAAATTGCAGAAGCATAAGTTGCCACTTTCCTACAACTTCCACAAGTACATGGTGCGAAGCATGGAAGACGAGTTCCAGGGAATATTGGGGATCACGTGGGTACATTGTGAATATCTTTCATGGAGTAAAAATTTCCTTGAGAAACTGTATCATCAATCGCCTGAACTTTGATGCATTCATCAAGTTTACATGTCAAAACCTCTTTACATATGTGTTATAGATGTGAACTAAAATAGGTATACAATGTTGTGCAGGCCACCTCTCTGGGGTTATGCCATAGTCTGCATCTTCATAAACATCCACGGTGAGTTAGAATTTCCATCAGACTAATTCTTCTGATTCACTTGCATTCTCGATTCTTCCGGGTTAAGTTACTTATGTGCTGTTCGCTGCAGGTTTAAATGTTTACTTCTGGCTATCTTTCATCCCTGCAATTGTAAGTAAAGTTGTAGTGCTTCTTGTCATTGTAAGGTTCATTGGTTCACTGTCTTACCATAAATTGTTTTCATTATTATGTTTTGGGAAGCTTGTCATGGTTGTGGGGACGAAGCTCCAGCACGTGGTCTCGTTGCTAGCACTCGAGGTTCTGCAACAGCAAGGGCCATCAGCGGGGACTCAAGTCAAGCCAAGAGATGACTTGTTTTGGTTTGGTAAACCAGTAATTCTATTGAGGTTGATTCAGTTCATCATCTTTCAGAATGCCTTCGAGATGGCAACATTCATCTGGTCCTTGGTGAGAAAGGAACATTAACCCTCCCTCATCCTTTCATCTTCGGTTTAAAAAAAAAGAACCTTCCCTTTTCTCATTTGTTTAATGTCGCTGTGTGATCTGCTGTATGCAGTGGGGCCTTGAACAGAGATCCTGCTACATGAAGAACCATTACATGATCATCATTCGATTAGTTTCTGGGTACGCGTCTATCCTTAAATTTCATGATCCACCTTCACATTTTCCTTATCCTGATTCTCGGCTAAAATGGTGTGATATTCATTCCGTTTTGATCATCATTCGCAGAGTTCTTGTTCAATTCTGGTGTAGCTACAGCACAGTGCCACTCAATGTGCTTGTCACACAGGTTAGTTCACATCTCAACTAGCAGAAAGGTCGAAACTTTGCTCCTCCCTTTCATACTGCTAATTGAGTTGCTGTATCTGTGTGTGTTGATACCCGGCCTAGATGGGATCGAACTGCAGGAAAGCCTTGGTCGCCGAGAGTGTGAGAGAATCACTCCACAGTTGGTGCAAGAGAGTGAAGGAGAGGTCAAAGCGCGACGCTGCAATGTCAATAGCCACGAGATCAGTGTGTTCACTTGACACGGCCACCATTGATGAAGGTGACGAGGGGATCACCGTTGCATCCGGGACCATCTCCAGGAGGTCGTCCTTGAACTCCTTGAATGGGATAACCGTGGATCCGGCTGATGATGAACAAGCTGCAGCAGAAGAAGAAGGTAGTGGCACTGATCCTGAGAACTCGAACAATGGGCGTCGTCGAGATGATGAGCTTTCACTGAGGATTGAGCAGTACTTGAATAGCAATAGTATAGCAGAACCTCCCATTAGCGATGGTGAATCTGATGAAGACAATAACGCGGCACACGGCATTGTGGAAGAGCCGAAAGTCGAGACCCTATTGGACTTGTTTCGGAAGGCATAGAGACAGTGGAAGAAAACAGAAACATCAAACAAGGCTGCCTGCCTAGCTAGCTTCCATTGTTGGAAATGGAAGGTGGCTTCGGAGTAGTGATGAGGAACTAGCAGAGTTGCATATAATTTAAGCAAAGACTTGTTCATAGTAGTATTCGTTTTGACTTGCTACCCACGCTAGGTTGCTTCTAACATGTAGTTGCTAAAAACATTAATTACATCACTGAATTACTCTACCGTCATAATAATACCACTGAATAACTTTTCGAAAAGTTCTTTCTTATTTGGCAAACTGATTAATCTAGTATCATTATAATTATGCGTATGAATTTTATGTTCTTATGAGCGTGAGATGAGAACCCGGAATTTTCATATTGTAAATCAGCGTTAAAATCGCTAGATCGAAAAAAAAAACAAGTCCTATAACTTGCAATTCATCAAGACATCATAGATGCTACCAAAATGGCCAAACATATATATATAGCTGGTATATATTGTCATCACAAAATTAATAAACTAGGTTATCATTTTATATTCGTTACGATTTGTCATAGACTACTATTAGGGGTCGTTTGGATGGATCAACTATAAAACGAGACAATTCGACCAATTGTTTCATTCTACAAAACGAGTAAGGTTGAAATTCTATCATAATCGAAATGCCAGAAGAGTTAACAGTATTAACTCTTACAGTTCTGCTGGAAACATGTACAACAAATTTCCTCCAAAATATGACAGGAGTTTCGGGGAAATTGCCGGGCATTTCCTACGGCCGGCGACGATGAAACGATGCCGCTGTGACAACTTTGAGAGAGGGCGCCAAAATGCACGCGCCAAAATGGTCGAACCCAACCGCTTATTGGATGGTCCACTTCAAGGTCAACTGCTCGTTCTTTTGGCTTTGGGTCTTCCCTTCCACAGGAGGACCAACTGATCGATATCGGTAGAGTCTTTTTTCCATTCTTGCCTCCTTTGCTTATTGTCGAATAGAATCGCCATTTTTGGTCGATTGAACTGGGTTTTTTTTATTATCTTCTTTTCAACCACAGATGAAGTTGGTTTTGTGGTTTAGTTTCGCGGCGGTGGCGCTCTCCAAACTGCTGCTGTTTGGTGATAATATGAGGTCAACCGCTCTTTCACCATCGGCACTTCAATCGGTTCAATCTCTCGCTCTATTTGCAGCAGTGAACGCGCTGCTCATCCCACTGGTACTCGTCTCCGAGTTTCTCTTCCGGAAATTCAGCCATGGTTGTCAGAGCTCTGGTGCGCAATCGGAAGTTCTGGTTTGGTGGCCGGAATTGCAGCTCGGCGGTGAGTCCTTGTTTCGGAAGAGGAGCCTTCAGAGCTTAAACTCGCTGTTCCAGAAGACTACTAACTCGTCTAAAAGCCCCAACACTCGTTTGCAATTAGAATCCCTCCGTTCTTCTTTCTCTTCTTCTGCTTCCTCGGCGCCTCTTGGGACGGATGGTTACGAGGTTTTCCTGAGCTTCAGAGGCCCAGACACTCGCAATAACTTCGCGGACTTTCTATACAACTCCCTGGTTCGCTCCAAGATTCGCACCTTCAGAGACGATGAAGAGGTTCGGAAAGGGGAGAAGATCGGGGCTGAGATCATCCAGGCTATTAATCAATCCAAGGTTTACATCCCGATTTTCTCCCCCAATTATGCTTCTAGCAAGTGGTGCCTCCAAGAGCTGGCTCAAATGGTGGAATGCTTCAAGGGAGAGAAGGGGCATGCCATCCTGCCCATTTTCTATTTTGTGCAACCCTCACAGGTGCGGCATAATGAGGAAGGCTCCTACCACATTGCACTGGAGCAGCACTTGGAGAAATATGACAGCAACACCGTACAAGAATGGAGGACAGCTCTCCAAGAGGTTGCATCAATGAAGGGATGGCATGTTACTGACTCTGATAGGTAACCCACTTCCTGCTCTCCTCTATTTTGGCTGCTGCTGCTGCTTCCTTGGGTTTTCCAATGTTTTGGGAATCTGCTTAACCAACCTATCTTAACTGGTTTCTTGCACTTGTTTCGATTCAATGCAATAATCTTCATATGTTTTCCAGGCAAGCAACTGTGGTAGATGAGGTTTTTGAGAAAGTTATGTCCCATCTGAACAAGAATCACACCTTAGTTACTGATGAGTTGGTTGGGATGGACCATCATTTGGAAGCAGTGATAGGGTTGTTGAATTTGGGCTCTCACGGTCCGAAAGTCGTTGGTGTACACGGTATGGGTGGGATTGGCAAGACAACCATAGCCACTGCTGTTTATAACAAAATCTATGAACAGTTTGATGAATGTTGCTTTTTAGAAGACCTGCGAGAAACATTAGAACAAAAGGAAGGTATTGTTGATCTGCAAACTAAGCTCATCTCTCGAGTTTTGAAATTTGAAACTCCCATTGATAATGCTAGTGAAGGAATTCACATGATAAAAGACAGAGTTTGTTGCTACAAACTCCTCATTGTTTTGGATGATGTCGATGATAAGTTTGAATTTGACAAAATAGTGGGACCTTTGGAGAATTTTTCTCCAGAAAGTAGGTTTATCATTACAACTAGAAACCAAAAAGTTTTGAGTATGTTTGAAGAATATAAGCTTTACCAACCTGGAGAAATGAGCTTTCACCATTCTCTTCAGTTGTTTAGCAAGCATGCCTTCAGAAGGGATTCTCCTCCTGAAGCTTATATGGGTCTATGTAGAGACTTGGTATCCACGGCATCAGGACTTCCTTTGACTCTTAAGGTTGTAGGTGCCAGTTTGTTTGCTGAAGATGAAGCAGTTTGGGAAGACACATTGATACAGTTGCAAGAACTGCCACCAACACAGGTTCAAGAGAGGCTGAAAGTCAGTTTCAGAGCATTGACTTATGAGGAGCAGCAGATCTTTCTTGATATTGCGTGCTTCTCCATTGAAAAGGACAAGGACTTGGATATGGCTGCCTGTATGTGGACTGAGTGCGGATTTCATCCATTTCGTTCGCTCATGGCCCTCATTCTTAGGTCCTTGATAAAATTTGGGCGCAACAATGAGTTAGAAATGCATGATCAGCTCAGAGACCTTGGGAAGACAATTGTACGTGAGGAAAATATTGAACATCCATGGAACCGCAGCAGGATATGGTCAAACAAGGCTGCCTTGGATATTTTCAACTGCAAAGAGGTACGAAGATGCATTTTGTCATTGATTATGCTTCATATTAAACTCAGATGGCTCCATCACCTATGATCGGCAATAATTTATTGGTTAGCATAACACAACTTATTTGGGGCAACGGGCCTCCTTTTCCTGTTTTTACTTCATCTGGAAGTTCCGACACTGATAATACTGTCTCAGTTTACAACTTCAAATTGTACGTTTGACAATAGAAATGCAACTCAAACCATTCTCGTTACGAATTCGTGGCATGAATTTGAGTCATTCCACTGTTTTTCAGGGAACAGAACAAGTGAAAGCCCTCAAAGTTAACACATTTTCGAAATTTCAGCTCACGAGTGAGCACTTCAAGAGATTGTCAGGGTTAAGATATCTTGAAGCGTATCAAGCAGAATTGACTGGTGACTTCAGTGAACTTCTGCCAGCTTTAAGATGGCTACGCTTGTATTATCATCAAGGGGATTCATCACTGACCAATTTTCACCTGAAGAAACTAGTAGTGCTTGATCTCTGTCAAAGCTACATAACTGATGATTGGGGAGGCTGGAAGCATATCGAGGTATTGCGTGCTTCTCCATTTATACAATTATGATAGAATATTTGCTTATTACATAATCAGGTTTATTAAGCTAGGTCTTTTGAGCGAGCACTTAATTTTCTTTCTTGTTCTACAGATGGCAAGAAACCTGAGGGTTGTCAATGTCATTGCTTGCAATCATTTAACCAAAGTTCCTGACCTTTCAGCATGTATGAGTCTAGAGGTGTTAAATCTTAGTGGATGCACTCAAATAGTGGGGGACCTCGAAATTGGCAATTTAAAGAATCTAAATGTCCTTAAACTCAATGGCTGTGGGATAACAAACTTCAGTCGTGGCATTGGAAAGCTTCAGAAGCTCAAAAAGATAGATGCTTGGCCGTGTCCCAATTTGGAAGGGATTCCTGCTGATATTAGCAAATTGAAGTCTCTTAAGACCTTGATGGTGAAATCGGGAAAACAAATTCAGGTACCAGTGCTTCCTACAAGCCTAAAAAGGCTAGCTATCTCATCTATGGTTCCTGAACTGTCAGACTTGGCGGACTTGAAGGAGTTAGAGTTTACAGATTGCCAGGACGGGTTTGAAATTCCAGGAGATGTGTGGAAGTTACCAAAACTGGAGGTTCTGAGGGTTCACTCGTCAAACAGTACCAGTCTCCTGAGAGGGATGGGTGTCCTTCCGTCAACCTTAAAAGAGCTACAAATTCTCCATTGTCCCTTGTTGGAGAAGCTCCCAGATCTTAGCAATCTGAAATTCTTGAGTTCCTTGACACTGTCATGTACCAGGCTCCGTGAGATTCCGGGACTTGGCGAGATGAAACTACTGAAAATTTTGTATGTACAGAATGGTTTAAATTTGAGACATCTGAATGGCCTCGGGAATCTCCAATATTTGACAGACTTGGTCCTGGAAAGGTGTTTGGTAATGGACGAATTACCCAACCTAGCTGCTATGAACAGGATGCGCAGATTGTGGATCTTGCAATGCCCCCGTATCCAAAAAGTTCGAGGCCTCAGTGAAGTCAAGTTCTTAGTAAGTCTCAGAATCCGTGATTGTGCATGCCTGCAAAGACTCCCTGATCTGTCCAAGTTGGCAGGGCTGAAAGAGTTCACACTCGGGGGCTGCCACAGTTTACTGAACATTGACGGCCCTCTCCCCATGCAAACACTAGAGTATCTGCACTTGTTTGACTTCAAGGCAATAGAAAGGCTACCTTCTCTATCCGAGTTTATCATGTTGAAGCAATTAGTTGTACAGATCCATCCTTGTTTACGTTACATAGGGGGAATCTTAGGCCTGAAATCACTGGAGCTACTACGGCTTCAGCAGTGCGATTCATTGACAAGATTGCCAGATCTATCTGGACTTAAGAATCTCAAGGAATTAGACTTGGGAAGATGCAAAAGTTTGACTGAGATTGGAGGAATCCAGAGGCTGACATATTTGAAAGTGCTGAATATGACAGGCTGCCATTCCATAGTTAAGCTACCAGACCTTTCAAGTCTTACAAAGTTGGAGAAGCTGTGGCTAAACGGCTGTGGGAAATTAACACAAGTCACTGGAGTTGAGGAATTGAAGTCCTTGAAGGTGTTGGAGATGAACAGCTGCAAGTCAATTGACATTTTACCAGATCTCTCACAACTCACAAATTTGGCGACTCTTTCAGTGCAAATTTGTGAAAAAATAACTGAGCTCCCAGGAATCGAGGAATTGGAGTCCCTAACTATGGTTGATGCTTCTGGATGTGGGTTGCTGAAAGACATACCACATCTGCAGAACACTATATTAGAGGTACTGAGGCTCGCAGGATGTAGTTCGCTAGAAATGTTGCCAAATCTCTCCAGACTCAAGAATTTGAAGGTATTAAACATTAACGGATGCATAGAGTTGTCTGAGGTTGTGGGGCTCGAGCAACTGAGGTGCTTAAAGGTGCTGGAGATGAATGGCTGCTACTTGATTAGCAGCTTACCAAATCTTTCAAATCTCAAATGTTTGAAGAATCTACATCTAAGGGGTTGTGAAAGATTGACCGAGATCCCAGGAATTGAAGAATTGGAGTCCCTGACTGTGGTTGATGCTTCTGGTTGTCTGTTACTGAAAGAGGTACCAAATCTGCAGAACACTGTATTAGAGGTATTGAGGCTCGAAGGATGCACGTCGCTAGAAAGAATGCCGAACCTCTCCAGTCTCAAGAATTTGAAGGTATTAAACATTAACGGATGCATAGAGCTGTCTGAGGTTGCGGGGCTCGAGCAACTGAGGTGCTTAAAGGTGCTGGAGATGAATGGCTGCTACTTGATTGGCAGCTTACCAAATCTTTCAAATCTCAAATGTTTGAAGAATCTACATCTAAGGGGTTGTGAAAGATTGACCGAGATCCCAGGAATTGAAGAATTGGAGTCCCTGACTGTGGTTGATGCTTCTGGTTGTTTGTTACTGAAAGAGGTACCAAATCTGCAGAACACTGTATTAGAGGTATTGAGGCTCGAAGGATGCACGTCGCTAGAAAGAATGCCGAACCTCTCCAGTCTCAAGAATTTGAAGGTATTAAACATTAACGGATGCATAGAGTTGTCTGAGGTTGTGGGGCTCGAGCAACTGAGGTGCTTAAAGGTGCTGGAGATGAATGAATGAAGAATTGGATGTGCGCAGAGGATTCATCTTTCAACAGCATTTCCGCCATTCACCATCAAAAGGAGGATCTGACATTTGCACTAGGATCTGTCTATGCGGAGGATCTGACATTTGCACTAGGATCTGTCTATGCTTGAACTGATTGGACGAGCATCAGCTTTTCGGTTGCTACTTGCTTGGCAGCTTACCAAATCTTTCAAATCTCAAATGTTTGAAGAATCTACATCTAAGGGGTTGTGAAAGATTGACCGAGATCCCAGGAATTGAAGAATTGGAGTCCCTGACTGTGGTTGATGCTTCTGGTTGTCTGTTACTGAAAGATGTACCAAATCTACAGAACACTGTATTAGAGGCATTGAGGCTCGAAGGATGCATGTCGCTAGAAAGAATGCCGAACCTCTCCAGTCTCAAGAATTTGAAGGAATTATACGTTAATGGATGCACGAAGTTGATTGAGGTTGTGGGGCTCGAGGAACTGAGTTGCTTAAATGTGCTGGACATGAGTGGCTGCCACTCGATCAACAGCTTGCTTAAATGTGTTGGTCATGAATGGCTGCCACTCGATCAACAGCTTACCAAATCTTTCAGATCTCAAATGATTGAAGTGCCTACATCTAAGGGGGTGTAAAAGATTGACTGAGCTGCTTGGAGTCGAAAATCTGGAATCACTAACATGCTTGGTTGTTTCTGGATATGGATTGAACACAATAACTTGGCCAAACTTCATGAAGGATGTGAATCTTCCAAGATCCAACTTCTCTACAAGAATTATCGAACCTTTCCAGGCTCCAGAATCTGAAGCAACTAGGGGTGGTGGATGCATGAACTTGACTGTGTACACTATAGTCGAAGGAGAGGAGTCCTTCCAAGCTAGTTAACTTGCACAGTTGGATAGCATTCTACAAGTTACCGACCCTTGTGTAGCCTTAGCTTGAGAGCACTAATGGTTGATCATTCCAGATTAGACAGAACACAACAGTTCCAAATGCTTTCAAGTCAGGTAACTATTATGGATGACCAACTATCCGTGTATGCCTGATAATAACCATAGGTATGCCCCTCTTATTCATTAACTTAACCTCGCAATGGACAGAGTCCTCAGGAAGTGAGGATTATTTATATGTCTATAAGCTAGATAGCAGAACCACATTACTTTATGCAACCACATCAACAACCGGGCATATGATCCATCAAACCAAGCTAGTCGACGAGCTCGTCCTCCTTGTTGGTCTCGATGACGACATCGGAAGCAGGGTATGCCACACAGGGAAGCAGGCTACCACGAACAACTATACGGGACGAAGATAAGATTCCGCCATCGCCGCATGCTAAAACAGAGCCTCTGTATTTTCTCTTTCCAGAAAGCCCAGCGATGGCGCATGGAAGAGAGGGCTTTTCCGCGTCAAAATGAGAGAGATGGGAAGATGGCCGAGGAGTCTATCTACGAGCGCAGCACCTTCATGCCGCGCGCGCAAGCAAGATAAGAACAACGCCATGCCGAATACAAAATGTTGGGTGTACAGAGTCATGAATATTATTACAACTACATTAATAACCAGGAGACATCCAAAATTCAATTGAAAAACAGTAGCAGGGTTTTCATCAGACAGGCAACACATCAAGACTCAATTGGGAAACGCATCTGGAAAATCCAACCAGAGCCATCGAGAGAGAGAGAGAGAGGGAAACAAAAAACAACACAAGTTGATTTTTCATCAGACAGTTGCAATTAGGCAACGAGCTCCTCCTCCTTGTGGGTCTCGATGGTGACGTCGGAAGACGGGTAAGCCGCACAGGTGAGAACCCACCCACCATCGATCTGCTCGTCGTCGAGGAAGCTCTGGTCGGACTGGTCCACCGACCCGCTCACCACTTTCCCGGCGCAAGAAGAGCATGACCCTGCCCTGCAGGAGTAAGGAAGGTCGACGCCGGCCTCCTCTGCTGCGTCGAGGATGTACTCGTCTTCCGGGCAGTCGAAGCTGACTTCTCCCTCTGGGGTCTTGAGGGTGACCTTGTATGCCACCGTCACCATCCTCTTCCTCCCCGCTCCGACTCCGACTCCGGATTTCAGCCCGAACAGGGCCTGGTTCGAGTTGAGCGCCTTGAGGGACGCGGCCGATGGGTTCGGCCGGGTGAACCTGGTGCTCAGTTGGATTGGGCTGCATAGTCCTGCTGCTGTAGACGCCATTGTTGTTCTGTTTTTTTCTGGGTAGCAGAGAGGAAGGAAGGGAAAGAAGGAGCTTGAAGGAGTAGGGAGGAATTGGGGCAAGAGTCTAGTGTTCGCAGTAGAAGTACTAGTAGCTGGAGATTTTTGGATAGCTATCTGCCACGTGGCGGGCAATTGTGGTGTGTGTTATCTGCTTCTTTATCAACAAAATGAACCAGTGAAATTTTGGTGAATGAGGGTAATTGGGCCTAGGGTTGTGGCTGCCACAAGCCCCATACCCTTTTTCGAAATCCTGTGTGCCCTTTGGATTTTGCAGGGTTCATGGCACTGTGGTCCTACAAAGAGATGCTTTTAGAAGATTCTTGCTTGCTGAAGAAGACAGTAATGCGTGAAGGTTGCTTTGCATTGCTTCCCTGCCCGTCGAGTCAAGGCTTATCGGATCTTTAAACATCTAACCGCTAGATGCAAGGACAGCCTACGAAGCGAGATGGCCTCAAGTTTCGACCATATCGATTGTAGCAAAGAACAGAAGCGCAACAAAACAAACTCCACAGATAAAAACCTGGTTCGGATTGCTGGGGTAGATCAAGATCTCTTGCTCCACAAGGCATCCACCTAAGATAAGGCCTCACAAAACCACCAAAGTATTCAATGGATGGCGGCAGTTCGAGGGAGTCGAATGGAATCAATCAAAATTAGGGAATCAGTTCTTAGTTCTAACATGGCATCGGATGAAATGACGCGGCGAGAGAGGTCCAATATATTTCCTGCTAATGCTTCACAGATATATGACAAATCTCTGGGATTCTAAATCAAAAACCTCTTTCACTTACAGATGGGGGGACAAAAAGGAAAAAAAACAGGAACACCAAGAACAAACCCTCTTCAACAACTGCTTCCCCCGCTAAATCCAGGGAAGAGTTACAGTCCCCAATCCCTATCAAAAGCTTTGTTGTTGATTCTTGTCCACTACAAGTTTTCCTGAAAATTCGTCCGTTGAGTTGACCAGATGCTTTGAATCTCGAGAATCGTGTCCCCGGGATGTTAAAAGAATATTAGGGCTCGGGAGAAGGAAGCGCCCAGTCCCCTGGTTCTGCGAACCGCCCAGTTCTACTAGTCACACTTGATGTTTCTGTAGATCCTCCTTACAAACAAGTTTGAGCCTAGATAACCAACAGCACCTGCACCATCCCGATATTACACATATTAGCACGAGGAAAAGAAGAAAATGCAAGTTATCAGAATACTATGTGGTTGCTCTAATAGGTGGCATATGAGCTCAAGCATAGCTATTTGACGCCCTTCGTTATCAAGCCTAGAGATCCCCATTTCATACATGCACAATACATGAAGTGATAAAGGCATCTAGGAGAATGAGTGGGGTAGTATCAGCGATTTCGAGCAACTTTCCCGAGACATAAAAGCATTCCATCCACTATATATCGGCTGAAACAAATCATGGTCTAGAACAAAAGAACTCACCGCAGAGTATTCCGAGGCCAAGGCAGAACATCAAAGTGTATCCAAAATAGAAGCTGGTCTGGAAGAAGCCTGACATCTTAGTCTTCACGTAGTAGTAGTAGATCGAGTACAAGTACACATACACAGCTGTTGATGCAGCAGAGAGGAAGGAGGTCCATTGCCAATGGTAGTTCTCAGCATTCAGCAAGAAATATGCGCCCACAATTGTCACACAAACAGTTACAATGATGAGAATCAGGAAAACAAGCAGCATGAAGCCATACACATAGTAGACCTGCAAGACATCAACAAAATTATCAGGATGTAATAATAATTTAGAGCAATTGAAAACGACCAGTTTGAGGTCTATAATTGCAATCAAAACGAGCACATAAATTTCACCTTGTAATTCCAGAAAGACGTGAAAACAAAGTACATCTCGATGAATATGCTACCAAAGGGAAGTAGTCCCCCCATCATTGATACCACAGATGGTGTTAGGTACCATTTCTTCTCTGGGATTGGCCGAGGAATGGTCTTAACACGGCAAGGGTTATTTGGAGCACCACTCCAATTCCTACCAACCACTGTACCAAGCAGTGCTAGGGGGAAAGATATGAAACCCCAAATGACGAAAACAACCACTATCGTACCGAATGGGATGGCAGCAAGAGATCCATAGAATATGGCAATTGTGTTCAAAATAAACCCAATTCCAAAGCACAAAAACGGGAACAAAGAAGCCGTTAGGATCATGGCCTTTATCCAACTTTTACCTGCAAAGCAAATATAAAGCACTTCGTAAGAACAACAAATGCCAACTACAGAGACCAATGGAAGCGGCAACCAAAAGATATGATAAAGATGCATACCGCCATGACGGGAATACATTCCTCCACTAACATAACCAGAAATGAATGACGTCAGAGCATAGCAAACAATGAAAGTCGTCACGATTGCTCCTCTCCTGCACAACATAAATTCATGTGACTATCATTACATGAGAAAGTGTCAACAAAATTATAGGGGTTTGCAAAATTTACAACTATGAGTCTTATTTGGAGAACACAGTTAGAAGACACATAGACGTCGCAAATGCTGTGTCCCTCATGAAATACAGAGAATAAATGGAACAAGCGGATAGAGCACATGAACAAACCCAAAGACGTTATAAAGGGGATAGAAATTTTGGAAGAAGAATCGGCACATACCCAACATACAACATCCCAACAATAGCCAATAGGATGACAAGAAGCACAAGCAGTGCCAGCTGAGCACCAGTCCCAACAACTGCTGACAGAATAACCAAATTGCGAGGAGGGCGGAAAACATCTCCATGGACAAGCTTCCAACCAGACTCTTCACTGACATCTCTTTCCTGTTGAACATCATTTATTGTTTTGCCAAGCATGTTAGACATACAAAATTAAAACTCTAAAGGAAAAGATGATAATCTTCATTAAATATGGTCTACAGGAAGCCCGAACAAATTATTATCATATGATTTTCCAAATCATTATAAGAAATACAAAATTAAAGAGGTTGAATATAACGAGGCAATACCAAAGACTCCAGATCATCATCTTCTCTAGCATACTTAGCGTAGTCATTTCTCAGGGTACGCATTAATATCATCGAGACCAAACCGGTGAGGAAGATGACCATCATGAAAGAGTTGAAAATAGAAAACCAATGGATCTGCATTGAAAAGTAACTCTCAATAAATAATGAAACACAAATAAAGAGAGATCATAAACTCATTAGTGCATCAACCTTGAAAGAGTTGAAAATGTCATGGAAAAAACACACCATAAATCGTAAGCTGGGCAGCAGCTTTACCTGGTGCTCAAAGAAAGGATAATCCAAGTAGACATCAAAGCGACGGGCAAAAGAAACATTAGTTGCAATCCATTTGACAGAGTATGTCATTTCCACGCTTCTACCCGCTTCGAGGGGTTTGGCACCCTCTTGAGTCAGATTAACATGAATGATCTGCAAGAATAGACACTTCAACATCCAGAACAATAAAGCAGCATTAACTAACAATTTAACTGATGGTCAAACACCAACCTGATTTTTGTTATATTTAACTGTAATAGTCTTGTGTGTGTACAGAACATGTTTACCATTGTCACTGTTTTTATCAGGATGCAACTCCCCAACAAAGCCTGTGAAATAATTAAGAATCAACTCAATACGATACAGCAGGGATTTGCAACAATAACAACAACAATGATATTAGTGAATACATACCCCATAGTGGCAAGTCATCTGCATTAGTGGTCATAGAACAGAAGATCAGGAATCAGAAGACACAAGAAACACATTAGTGAATCAACCTTGAAAAGCAATCATGAAAACTAATCAACCATAACTAATAAAACCAAAAAGAGAAACAGGTTCCTTGCTAAAATAGGTGAAGTGGAGATCAAAGCTTTAAGAAAATTTTCCCAGTTTCCTGATGTTATTAGAATTTTTTTGAAATCAGATGGAGATGGAAACAAGACGCCAAAGACGAGCCAAAACTGAACATACCCATGAAGAACTCAAACCAGTAACTGTTCTCTATGGCATCTTTGAACTGTCTGACCTTAGCTTCATCGAGGTCGAGCTGACAAATGGAACCTTTGTCTACATTCTCTGTTGCAATAGAAAATGTAGCAAGTCAAAACAAATCCCGTAAACTGAATTTCCACCTCATAGTATCTGAAAGTAGAACATGGCGTGTCATAAGTTTGTACATACTCTGGAACTTTATGTCGAGCAAGCTATCAATAAGTTCATTTCCACCCAGGACTTCACCAAGACCACCCCATTTGTGTGCCGAATTTCCAGCTGGACGGCAAAATGGAAGGCTGTAGTAGTTGTACGTTTCTTGGGGATTATTATAAGGACCAACTTTGTTCACCCAAAGAGTAACAGGATCATCTGGTTGATACTGAAAAACAATATGTGAATAGGAGTTAGAGATAATCTGGACAAACCATCTGTTTTTAGTGAAAATAATAATATCCAGATTATCACATTGAACAAAGCTTGCAAACAACAGTCCGAAAGAAACGTAATTCCACCAAGAGTTATTATTTTTCCAGGGATTCTGGCAAGTAGTCAGCAGTTTAAAATTCATAATCAAAACATTCCCTAATCAAGCGAGTCAATCAATTTCACCTCAGCAAAAACACCAGTGGGTGTCAATATAACAGCTTACTAATAGAACATAAGCTACTTCCCCGCTGGCTTATAGACCCCGACTGCCTAATTTCCCAGCAGGAAAAAGGCATACAAGTGCAACAATTGCTCACTCCTCACTAACTCAGGTATTTTTACGAGTTGCCACCACACATCGAAATTCGAAAGGTAGCTGCATGCCCCGATGGAGCACAATGCAACAAATCCACTCCCATCGTGGACCAGGTACTCTTTTCATGAAGTTCATCAGTACAAACGAAATCTCAGAAACCCCAGTACGAGGAAATGATGAAGATTGAAAAACTATGCAAGAGCTACAATGCCTACAAGAATACATGGGAGTTGATCCAGATGAAAATAATCAAAGTCATAACCCACGATCCAATGCCTACTTTTTCATGATAAATTCGTATACACCAAAATCAAATACAATAGGCTGAAACCAAGAAGCCATCAGATCCAATTGTGCAAAAACTAATTCTTCAACATGCAACGTCATGCAAGGTGCAATATCCTCACACATGAACACCCTACAACACTCTAGAACCAGATAGGATCAATCGATTCGCAGCTGCTACACCACTCTAGCAGAGTAAGCATTAGCACGAGGAGAAGAAGAGGACAAAAAACGAGGAAGAAAAAGGAAGGAACTAATTCCCAATCCACCACAACCAAACGCACCCCAATCACGCATCTTCAGCTATCCAAGAACCCTAGCACCAGAAACGAACCTACTAACAATTCAAGAAGCACGACATTTGGGCGAAGCATTTCCCGCACAGATCTGAGTCCCAATCAAGAACTCAGAAACCTAGTGGAACGAGATCTAGAACCGCAGCCAACTCCGCACCGGCAGTGAAGCACGAGGTCAAGATATTAGGCTAGTTTACCTTGTGATCTGACTCGGAGGCGAGGGCGAGAGGAGAGATGAGAAGAAGAGCGCAGAAGAAGAGATGGAGAGATCGGGATGACGCGGCGGAGGACATTGCGATCGCCGGCAGGGGAGCAAGGGGGATCTTCGGGTCCAGTGGAGCCGCGTCGTCAGGCTTTAGTGCAATCTGCCGAGAAGTATTTGCGAGCTTTGTGCATCCGAAGGTTCTTCTTCTTCCTCCTCCTCCTCCTTGTTCCTCCTCCGACCTTGGCCACTCTGCGTTTTATTGGACGAGACTCTCTGATAGTGATTTTTATTTAACAACGGAAGATGGGGAAATAAAAATATGAGACTGAAAAAAGTCTTTTCTCGTTTCTTTTTCTTTTTTATCGCCCTTTGGTTTTCAGTAAATACAATTAAATAAAATGAAAAAATGATAAAGAAACTTATTAAAGTCTGCAAGTCAGATTTGCGATCTCGTTAACACACTGCCACAGCGCTGCAACTTGCAATCAAGGATTGGGCTCCTCGGATTTAGGCCCGTTGAGAATGGCCAGTCGGCTCAATTGATCTGGAGCATCGGCGGATACAGGGGGGCCACACTGGGCCCGGGCCCAGCCCCCCTGCCTCACCAAGACCCAACCCATAGTACAAAGCTGCATAATTATACTTGGGCCTAGCCCCAACAAACCCTCCCAATTCCGCTACAGCCCGACCAGCTCTTTACCTTTCCCTCCAAGTTTGGGACACAAAACTAAATAAAAGAAAAAGAAGAATACGAACAGACGTGCAAGTTGCAACAAACCTGCTGCTCGGCTGCTCCCCTCCTTTACCCGCACATTGCTCTGCCACTCCACTCCCAGGAGAAAATCCGGCGCCATACCTGACTACCTGCCGCCGAGAAGGCTGCTCCCCTCCTTTTCCAAAGCCGTCCAACTCCAAGTAGCGCTGTGGGTTCTCGAAGTCGAAGGAATTTACATAAATTACATTTTGTGGCTGTTTCTACTTCCGTATGCCCCTTTAAGTGATTCTTCTTCCAGTTTGTGCAGGCAAGCCGTTTGTGAAATTGACTCAAAGAGGGATTCTTGATTGTTTGTCCCTTTGGCAGGGCGATCCCGTGTGGGCTATAAGCTATTAGTTCGGAGACAGTGAATTCACTAGTTATTTCCTTCACAGTAGACGACAACAGTAACAGGTAAGCTAATTGGTCTTATTTACTTAGTCGTATTTAGTTAGAAACTAAGTTTGTACAGTGCAATTATGCATTAAGACATTAACATAGAATTTCATATTAGGATTTGTCATATATCATACTCGGTAGAATTTGTATCCAAATATACTTTATTACTTAGAATCTATTGTTTGACTGCGGTGTGTATATGTTTAATTGATTATGCATATTTCAATATATTTCATCATGACATCTTCTCAACCACCAAATAAAAAGGCGAAAACAACATTGTTTTCTTACTATCAACGTAAGGAATCAGAAACGTGTAAGACTGAAGAAGTCCCTCCTAATGAAGGTCAACCATCTTCCTCTCCAGTTCAGAATGAATCATCTACTTCTCCTGTATCCGGTAATCTACTTCCATCATCTGATAGTGGAGTTGAAATTGAAAGAGATCCAGGAAAGAGGAAACAAATATGTGATTGGGCTCTTGAGTTGAGAGATGAGGTTAGGAGAAAATACCTAATACACAAGGCTTATCAACCTAAACTCGCATACTATAAGCCGCGAGAATATCCACATAAAATTCGTCACTTTCAAGAAGCATGGTATTCACAATTTGATTGGTTGGAGTATTCTCCTACAACATATAAAGCATATTGTTTCCCATGTTTTTTGTTTAGAGACAAGATGAATGGGAATCAAACTTTTGCACTAGTCAAAGATGGATTTGATAATTGGAAGAGGGTTAATGGTAAGAAATGTGTGTTCCTTGTTCATGTTGGTTCATCAGCTTCTTCAAGCCATAATAAATGTGTTACAGCGGCTGATGCCTTGATGAAACCCTCCGGTCATATTGATAAAGTGATGCACAGAATTGGTGGAGAAGAAGTTCTAAAGCATCGATTGCGGTTGAAAACAACAATTATGGTTGTCAAACAGTTGGCTTTACAAGGAAGTTCTTTTAGAGGGCATGATGAATCTGATGATTCTTTGAATCCGGGGAATGTTCTAGCTTGGATTGGTTTTGCAGCGAAGTTGAATGATCAAATCAATAGTGTACTTCTTCGTAATGCACCAGGAAATGCGAAATACACTTCACCAAGCATTCAGAAGGAGATATTGGGAATCATAGCAAATAGAGTGCGTTGTAAGATACGCGAGGAGATTGGAGATTCTTGTTTCTCTATTCTTGTTGATGAAGCAGTTGATGAAGCAGGAAGGGAACAGATGTCTATTATTTTGAGGTATGTCAGTTCTTCCGGTATAGTAACTGAACGCTTTTTTGCTCTCAAGAGTGTAGCTGATACTTCTGCAGAAACACTAAAACAAGCTATTTGTGACGTTCTCTCTCAGTATGACCTTCAAATTGAAAAATTGAGAGGTCAAGGATATGATGGTGCTAGTAATATGTCAGGACAGTTTAATGGAGTCAAGGCATTATTTCTTAGAGATTGCCCATATGCCTATTTTGTCCACTGTTTTGCTCACAGATTACAATTGGCATTGATTACTTCTGCAAAGGTAAGTGATCCTATATGGGATTTCTTTTCCATATTGGATTGTATCATAAACGTTGTGAAGGCTTCTCCTAAACGGATCAGAGAGTTGCAAGCAATTCACAAAAAAGATCTTGATGGTATGTTGGATGTTGGAGAAATTCAATCTGGACAAGGAGCTAATCAAATGACATCCTTAAAGCGTTCGGAGCCAACTCGTTGGGGATCTCATTATCATTCCATATTGAGCATCATAAACATGTTCAATGCAACATGTGTAGTGCTAGAGGATCTTTGCCGTTCTAAAGAAGGAGAACAACGAGCTCAAGCCAGAGGTGCTTCAAAAAATATCAAGACTTTTGAGTTTTAGTTCAATCTTCACTTGATGAAAGGGATTATGGATATCACAGATTTTCTTTGTCAAGCATTTCAACAAGAATCTGTTGACATTGTAGCTACAGTTGGATTTGTTTTCATGGCAAAAGTTAAACTTCAAAAACTACGGGATGAAGGATGGGACAAGCTACTCCAAGAGGTAAAATCTTTTTGCTCAAAACATGCCATAAAGGTATCTGATATGAATGCTACACTTGGACGTGGTGAGAAGCAAACAACTCTTGAGCATCGCTACCATTTTGAATACTTTAATCAATGCATAGATTTTCAGTTGGGAACATTGAATTCAAGATTCAATGAGTCATCAGTCAGATTGCTTCAGTTGAGTGGTGCACTAGACCCTAAAAGTTCTTTCTGGTCTTTTGATGAAGAAAATATTTACAGACTTGCTGAAGAGTTTTATCCTCGAGACTTTGAAGGCAATGAGATGAATTGTTTGAAGAATGAGCTAGGTTATTATGCCGATCATGTGGTTCATAGTCAGGAATATGATGTTTCTTCCCTTGCAAAATTACTAGAGAAGTTGGTGGAAACAGGGATGGACGCACGGTACAGATTGATTTGTCGGTTGATTCGTCTAGTGTTGACATTGCCTGTTTCAACGGCTACTACAGAGAGATCCTTTTCAGCAATGAAACATGTGAAGACTGATTTGCGCAACAAGATGGGCGATGAATTTCTTGCTGATTGCTTAACTATTTTCTTTGAGAGAGAGTATGTTATTGGTATGGATGAAGACTCAATTATTGACGAATTTGCTAAATTAAAAGACCGTCGTGTACAATTGACATTGTAATGCAAACTATATTTTTTTTTGTTTACGGTATCTAATTTTATGTTCGAATCCGGCCCAGTGCACTTCTATATCCTGGATCTGCCGCTGTCTGGGAGGCGGCAACCATATCCAGATCCACCAACAGGAACATTTCGTGATAGGTCGACGAAGAGGATGTGGAACTGTTGGTCCGGTCGGAATCTGATCACACCGAATTGAATTTAATACAGTATAATTTTTTATCTCGATGAATTTTATAAATACTAAAATAAATAGACGAAAATGAACTTTGAATTGAATAACATCAAACCAAATAGAAATATTTATCCTAAAATTTCTTCTACCATCGTATCTTCATTCTCATAATTTGCTCTAGTTCACACTCTACCGACGATCTCCCGCTGCTAATGACAGCATGATGGCTGATGCTAAGATAGATAAAAACAGGGGAAATAAATAAAAATAAAAACTTTATTAATCCGCCATTCCCAAATCCTCCCGTCTCTCCTTATTCGCCCTCGTAATCGGATTCACAGAGAAAAGAGAAGAGAAGAGAAGAGAGACCCAATTGGCCAATTCCATTCCTTCCAATCCAAACAGAGAACCTTCTCCTTCCTCCAGCAAAAATATCCTTCCTTTTCCTTCTCGTGTCTCATACCCAGACAAAAAGAGAAAAAGAAAAGAAACAGTTGCTGATTCTTTGGTTTCCCACTCTGTTTGGGTTCCTTTCTTTTTCCCTTTTTTTAATTCCCGTAGATTCTTAACTTTCCTTCCTCAATTCTCCCTTTTCCTCCCTCCATCCCACTTTCCCCTTGCTCGCGCTTTGTCTTCAGATAATTCCTTCGAATTTCCGTCTTCCGATTCCGGCAATCCGTTGGGAATTCTGGCGATTGCCGCGTCGGAATCGATGCTGGGTCTCTGAATTTGGGGAGCAGAAACAGAGATATATCAGATAAAAGGAAGAATATCTTCTTGTTTATACATAGGAAAACGGTGGAGAAAGGTTGTTTGTATTTTGGGAAGCTGGGTATCGAAGCAGAATTGCGGTAGGTTGGTTTGTGTATCTACTTTTCGGGAGGGGAGATGGACAAGTACGAGCTAGTGAAAGACATAGGATCTGGCAATTTCGGGGTTGCCAGGCTGATGAGGAACAAGCAGACCAGAGAGCTCGTCGCCATGAAGTATATTGAGCGTGGCCCTAAGGTACCGCGTCTTAAATTCTTTCCCCTGTTTTTCATTATGATATGCTTCGATACCTGTGCTTCTGCTAGTTCCATTTTACGCGCGAACCTCAAAAGACGGTAGGATCAGTGTACACAAGGAGAAAGGGAAGGAGAATCGTTTGATGGCAGCACGGGATGGGTTATGATTGAATTTGCGATTCACGGGCGTTGGTGCCTTTTTCTGGGTATGGGGATGAAAGGTATACGAGATCGTAAAACCATCTCATTGCGTGTTACAGATTGATGAGAATGTGGCAAGAGAGATTATAAATCACAGATCGCTTCGCCATCCTAACATAATTCGCTTCAAGGAGGTTGGTTGCCCATCATCACTCCGCAAACTCTGCTTTTTGTTTGTTCTGGTGCAATTTTGAACTAGATCAGTTATTTAATGGCCTTTTTCCCCCCCTTTCTGGGGTGTGATTTGCAGCTGGTTCTGACTCCAACCCATCTATCTATAGTGATGGAGTATGCTGCTGGTGGGGAGCTGTTTGAGCGCATCTGTAATGCTGGAAGATTCAGCGAAGATGAGGTCTCTCTGTCTGCCTAACCATTTATTAGGATGTGGGTTGTTGGAAAAAAGGTGTTTTGTGATCATTGGGTGGGTAATGGAAGAAGGATTATGCCATTACACCTGAGACCTTTCCTGTTTCACTATTCATTTTCCAGGCTAGGTACTTCTTCCAACAGCTTATTTCAGGCGTCAGCTACTGCCATTCCATGGTGAAATGAATTTTCGGATTGTTTTTGCTTCAGTCTGAATCCTAAGAAAGAGTGACCGATTTCTTAGTTTCAATGTTTCTGCAGCAAATATGTCATCGAGATTTGAAGCTAGAAAATACATTGCTGGATGGAAGCCCAGCACCACGGTTGAAGATATGTGATTTCGGTTATTCAAAGGTTTGATTTCAGATTAAAAGAAATATACTGCTAGTTCTAGATTTTCGTTTTTTATTGCCTGATCTATTGCTAGTTGACATTTGAAATAGTGAACTCTTTGTGACATTTAACAAACATTCTACTTAAATTGTTACAAGCAGTCCTCTTTACTTCATTCAAGACCAAAATCAACTGTTGGGACGCCAGCATATATTGCTCCAGAGGTTCTTTCTCGCAGAGAATATGATGGCAAGGTAACGTCTGCTAAATGTTCATGTTCCGTCAGTTTTTATGATTGACGAGTCCAGATGACATTCGGTTTCCAAAATCCTTTGTTGATAATCAGTTGAAGATCATCGGTATTTTCCCCAGTTCCTTTTGTTTCCAATCAAAGGGATCTCAAAGTGTCATAGTCGTGTCAATTCCTTGCGACTCCTACTATTACAAGGCCTGAATGTGAATCAAAACATAGTTGCAACAGTAATTTAAAACTTCGTTGGATTCTTTTGAGTTTGGACTACTATCATAGTGATCATGGTAGGCTGCATGAAGCAAATGCCATGAGAATCCTGCGGCGGGTTTGCGTTTTAGAATGTTTTGCTCTTTCTTTCTTTCCAGTTGTGCAAGGAAAGTACTTCTGCAGAGGCCAATCATGTTTACTTTGTTTCTTCCTGGTTCAGCTGGCAGATGTATGGTCATGTGGAGTAACACTCTATGTTATGCTGGTGGGAGCATATCCTTTTGAGGACCAGGATGACCCAAAGAACTTCAGAAAAACAATCAACGTATGACCTTGTTTTCCCTTCTGTATTCCTTCTACTTACTGGTTCTATTTTCTGTTTACAGAGCGCTTAGTTTTGTCTCCGTGTGCAGAGAATAATGGCTGTTCAATACAAGATCCCAGACTATGTACACATATCGCAAGATTGCAGGCACCTCATTTCCCGGATATTTGTTGCAAATCCACTCAAGGTATGTTTGGGAAATTCTTTAATGTCTTGCATGAAAAGAACAAACGTAGGAATTTTGTTGATTCATTGTCATCCTTTGTATCGACCCTTGGGTGTATGTTCATTTGTTTTACCTGTTCTTACAAGTCCAGAGAAATTGCTCACATCTTTGGCTATAAAGTACTGTCACTAAAGCCACCTCTTCTTTTTCTGACAGAGGATCACAATCAAAGAAATCAAGAGCCACCCCTGGTTTCTGAAGAATCTCCCTAGAGAACTGACCGAAGCAGCCCAAACCATGTACTACAGGAAAGAGAATCCAGCCTTCTCCCTACAAACCGTGGAAGAGATCATGAAAATCGTGGAAGAGGCCAAAGTTCCTGCGAAAGTATCGAGATCAATCGGGACCTTTGGCTGGGGAGCAGAAGATGAAGAAGATGAGGAGGACACGAAGGAAGAAGAGCCTGAACCTGAGACCGAGGAAGAAGCAGGACGAGGAGGAGGCGGAGATGAGTACGAAAAGAGTGTTAAGGAGGCACAAGCCAGTGGCGAGTTCCGTGTTAGCTAAGTCATATGATATCTAGTTTGCACTTTGGGGAAGTATGGAAATCTAAAATGTGCTTTTTTCTTGTTTTACCTCTATAATAGGATTGTCATGGAGAGTCTGTATAAAACGACCTGTGTAATTTAGAATCCTCCCCTTTGGTGCATGTGTGGTAATAAGCTGTGTTTGTAAATTGTAGCGGTTTTGGGTATTGGCAGACAGACAGACAGGCAGGCAGTGTGTGAGAGATCTGCTGTACGGGAAATAGGGTTTATGTTTGTGCTGGATTATGCAAGACAGCTTCTGGTGTTGCTTTTTGGCTTGCTGTGTTCATTTTTGGTGTCTGTCAGACTTTTTACAGATTGTTACGAGTCAAATAGTTAATACTGAATGGTACAGGCGTATAGCCGTATAGGTCTATATGGAAAAGGTTTTCTTTCTTCTTGCTCTTTCCTTTTTATGGGGTCATTCTACAGAAGAGGAATGAGGATCGTTTGTTTTGTAAAATCAAACCTGGAGTGGTAGACAAGAAAGAGAAATAGTATTTTTAATGGCACAACTATGGTTCAACTTCAACTTATAGCATATCAATATATCGCTAAAATCGGTTGTAAGTTATCACGAATTGCTAATCTAAATAAAATCGACCAACACTAATGGATCCCATCTAGTATAGAATTATAAGATCACCTTCAGATTTCCTTAAAATAGTTTACAACAGAGGTACGAAATAACAGATCTTCCTCTTTAATCTTGGCCTAATGGATAATACAAGCTTGTGCGTTTACTCCAGCAAACAGGTCTAATTTTTAAGTTGCTCGAATATATAGCAACCTTTTCCAAAATTGAAGCTAGACTCATTTTCTACATGTGCACCGCACCTTATTTGAATCTCAACGCAAGGAAGCAAAGTTATCATCCACCATTATGAAAACAATGCTATTGAAATCTTCACACTTTACGTATCAAAAGCAGGAGCTGCTTCAGTTGGCCTTGGACACAGCTTCCGTCAGCATACTATGCAAGTTCCTCGTTTCTGTTGCAACGCTCGATCTGTCAAACACAGCCGAAACAACTGCAACACCTTTAAGATTCGGCGCACCAATCCCCAGCACGGGGATCGCATTAGAAGCATTGATTCCACCAATCGCCACCACAGGTAGCTTGGAAGCCAAGCAAACGGTTTTCAGCCCGTCCAAACCCACTGTGGTGTTGTTTGCCTTGGTGCTAGTTGGATAGACCCCACCACAGCCAATGTAATCCGCACCATCAAGCCATGCTTTGTGAGCTTGTTCCACCGTCTTGCATGAAACACCAATTGCCTTCTCTGGTCCGAGAAGAGCCCTGGCAACCTGGGCAGGCGTGTCTGATTGCCCGAGATGGACTCCGTCAGCATCAGACGCAAGGGCTACATCAATACGGTCATTTATCAACAGAGGCACCTTGTAGGGACGGCAGATCTCCAGACAAGCTTTTGCTGTTTCAATGAACTTTCTCGTTTCTGCAGTTTTCTCCCTGCGAATTACCACACTAGAGCTAATCAGTGTAGGATCAGCGGAATATATTCAATTGGGTTTTGGTTCCATAGGTCCTTTTAAAAGGACCGAAATGAAATGGACTGGACCGAGTAGGATCAAATGCATTTTTCACTAACTCTGATCCTCACTTTCCTTTTTTACTTTAATATGATCCTATGTTGATTCAGCCTGCTTCCAGACCAGACAGGACCATGCACATCCTCAGTTAAAAATGAAAATAGCTAAAGTATAGACAAATATGATGCAGAAAATAAGTTTAAATATGATGCAGGAAATAATTTCAAAAGTAGGGTGGAATTTATCAGCAAAAGTGTAAAAGAGGCTTCGTATAATTTGAACCTTAGTTGAATTATAGAGGCACCTCCTTCGATTGCTTCTTTAACTGCAACTTCCATCGGCCGTCCCCATTTCTCATTCATCCCAGAGTCAGTAACAGCATACAGAAACAAGTCATTCCCACTGAAAGTTACCCCTGTGCCAGAGTTATGCTTGAGCCTTAAAAAGTGGTCAAAAGGACCCTGAGCTCCATTTCCTAAGATAATGTCTTTACTATACTCCAAGGCAGTCTCAACATAGCGCTTAGCTAGCTGCAAATTTCAAATCTTTTGAGATCATTGATGGGCAAAGTGTGCAGCACGCGAACAAAAATATATAACAGGATTGTAGAGAGCATATTACAGTCATATAACAGATTAAAGTGATGATATGTACACCTGGTGAAATCAAGACACGAAACTAGTGCTGCCACCTTAATTTTCCTTAGTTGGATTGGTTTATATAAAAATAAAAGATACCTCATATGACAGTCACCACTAGGGGTAGAGGCCAAAAAAATAAGTATTCATTAATGTCTCACTCAACAATCACTCCTTCAGTCACAAACTGCATAAGAATAAAAACACATGCACAACCACAAAGGGGTTACCTTCACAGCAGATAGCATAGAGGACCCTTTGGCTAGCTCAGCAGCTATGCATGACGCCAACGTGCAACCGGTTCCGTGGGTGTTGCGAGTTTTTACACGAGGAGAGCGTAGTTCATGATACTCTTCACCTGCAAAATATCATAGAATCAAATTGGCCTCCAAATATGGCAAGACATACAGATTAAATTACAACACTAAGAAAAACAACGGAACACACTCTATACAGCTTACCATCAAAGAAAACATCAACAGCATCAAAAGACTCGGGAAGATCACCACCTTTGACAAGCACACTCCTGGAAAATCATTACATTTAGTTGTAAACTTAAGCAAACAACTCTAAGGATGCGACCATTGAATCTGATTCATTTTTCAATTGCTCAATGTTCACGAACCTCGGACCCAGGGAGTGCAATAGCTTAGCTGCATGTCGCATGTCAGCAACTGTCTCTAGTCGCATTCCACCAAGTAAATTAGATGCCTCTTTAAGGTTAGGGGTCAAGATATCAGCCATCATAAGCAGCTCCTCCCTGCATTCAAAAATCCAGAGACTTCATAATGCACAATGTAGACAATAGAAGGAAGTTCATAGGCTACTCAGCACAAGCTATCCTCTATCTTACACTAGTGAAACATACCGAAAACTTGACAGAATGGAAGGATCTGCTAGCACGTCTCCGCTCGTAGATACCATAACAGGATCGACAACTACAGCTGCCTTCAATTATTTGGTTAATTCCAGACCCTCTAGAGTTTGTGATGACACTGATATGAACTTAATCAGTTCAACATACCTCGAACAGGAAACTCCTTAAGACTTCGCTGAAGAACTTTAACTATCTCGATAGAGGGCAACATTCCTGTTTTCACCTGATACAAGTTCGCCAAACAGGTTCCATAAGTCAACCAAGAAATTGCAAGCAATTCTCCCAATATTTGAACGGGACTTACCACATCAACTTCCATGTCAGAGAGCACAGACTTCAACTGTTGAGCAACAAATTCATCAGGCACGATGTTTATTCCCTGAAAACCATTAACATGATACTCAAAGAGGCTCAGTGACTTCATAGCAATCAGGTAGGACTAGAATCAGAAAAGACTAGATTATTAGAAAGTATTACGAGCTAAGCATTAGGACCTGAACTCCGGCAGTGTTCTGCGCAGTAACTGCAGTAATCACAGTGGAACAATACACTCCACGAGCAGCACAGGCCTTAAGGTCAGCTTGAATTCCAGCTCCGGCACCGGAATCAGAGCCAGCCACCGTCAACACATGAGGTACCTTCTTCCTTGATACTTCGAGCCCCTGTGTCGGAGCTCCATTTTCCTCCATTGACATGGAAATCCTCAAACTTGGAGTCAGATAAACTCTTGAAGTCGAGAGCGATCTTGGATAAGAAACCGCAGGCTTGAGATGGCAAGGTCGAAAGCACTGAGACCAAATTGTATTTCAGAAAGAAAGAAAAAAAAAAAAAAACAAGTCAAACAAGATCGTCGCTTTCAAAATCCCCGCCGAGCAAAACATAAAATTTCACCCCTGAAGACTGAAACTGAGCTTACCTTATTGTCGACGAAGGAATTGAAGAGCAGTCCAGAGCAGGCCATGGAAACTGCAGAGAAAAAGAAGAAGATAGCCGCTGCAGAATTCGCCGGCGTGGATTCGGGCGGGTACTTCAGCCGGTGTCAGGCCGGGTAATCTCCTAGCCCGAATTTGGGATAGGCCAGGTACTTGTTTGGGCCAGATAAATGGGCCGTAGCCCAGAAGTTTGAGGGCATAAGAAAAAAGGAGCCAAAATTACTGCGGTGCTAAAAATTTGAACTTCGAACATTGAAAAGAAATGGGAAAAAAACTGGGAAATGTCCCGCCATTGAAGTCCGCGTTCTCCATTCTGAAGAAGGCTCTCACTTCTTCTTCTGTTCTTCCTACCCGTTCTGCCGCCACAACCGCCGAGCTCTCTCCGTCGGTCACTCCCGCTGGCTTTCTCGCTTTCCGTGAAACAGATACCTCTTAAGGGACCACGCTCACTGGCGAAGGTCAGTTTTCGGTTAAACCTAACTTCATTTGGTCACTGAATGTCTCCGGCGATTGAATTGATTGGGAAATGAAAGCTACAGTTTCTGTTTCTCTCTGGATTGTGAATTATTTTGAACCTCCACCATGGGCGTTGCCTTCTGATCTGCTGCTGATTGTTTGGATTTGATGCTCGTCTGTGGTTTTGGGTTTTTTTTCTTACGTTCCATTCTACTTGCTGCGTCTTTTCAGAGTATAGTATGGAGCTTTAGCAGGAAGGCTAGCCATCGAGAGTTGCTGATAAGTTCCTGATGAGCAGTGAGAGACATATGAATCTGAAGTAGTTTCAATTTTCCCTACATGTCTCTCTTTATCTTTCATTTCTTGAGTTTGTAATATATTGACTCATTCAATCTTGGGTTGGTTACCTGCAGTCTAAGCAATTCAGGTAAAGGTTCAAGGGGGAAGGAGAATCAGCAGCCTAGAGTGAATTGGTCCCAGCATGCAAAGGTATACGACAAATCATCAGCGCAAAGGGAAGTTTTGAGCTCGAGTTTCCTGTATTCTCTAGAATCTCAGAAACCTCAAGTTGGAGTAGAAATGGCGAGAAGGTAGTCATTTACACTCTCTCCCATTCTCACTGTCGTGAATCTTAACGCAAGTAGTATACTAGAACGAAGGCAACTAGAGTGGTGGCGATCAGATTCTACTGAACATTTTCTGCTGAGGTTTATTCTTAGTTAACAGTGGAGAACATCTTTAAGTGTATTTTTCCATTACATGCCTTCATTAATCATTGTTGATATTGTGACAACTTTATTTTTCGGTATCTCCTTGTGAAGAATTATTTTCTGTTTTCTAGGCTAGCCTCTTGTCAAGTTCAAACTGTGCAGAAACAGCTCAGTCCACAAGTTGAAAAGGTGATGTTTACTTATAAATGTTGTTATGGGAAGTAGTAAACTGCGTAAGGAGCTCTGGGAATTTACATACATTTTTGTGGAACACTTTTGGCAGGCTTGGCTCGCTCTTTCTAAACTTCAAGTATCTAGCCGGAGCTACAGTCGACCTGGGAAAACTGGTGCACTAAAGAATGTGCAAAGTAGACAGGGACATGCAGCTGTTTCACAGAGCTCATCTACTGTTCCTAAATATAATGAAGGTGTGGTTGCACATAACATCCATCGACCCAGTCTTCCGAATGGTGAAAGTACAGAGCATACAAGATCCAGTTATTATGAAGTGTCAAAAGCTGTTGGAAAAGCCTCTTGGGCTAGTGGTACCATGCCTGCAGCTCATTCTGGTCCCTCCAGCAATCATAGTATGAATATTGCAGAAGGGCCAACTGACTATATGGATGAAGACGATTTTTTCCAGGTAACTCATGTTAGTGCTTGTTATGTATAAGCTATGAATTGGACTGTAGCTTGGTTGGATTCGGTTTTCACAAGCTATTTCAAATAGCTAGTTGTCCAATTAATTCATCAATTGTTTGTCTGTTGGATATTTCTTATTTGGCTAAGTGACAAATCTGTTGCTAAATTTCATCTACATGTTTATCCAGGCTTTCGCAAGACTGTATTTCCTTCTTCAATGGATGCTCATTTACCATTTTCATATTAATTTCTCTTTTCTGCATTGACATGACTTCAGAGCATAGACGTTGATCAAATAGCTTTGGAACACTACCATTCTGGTTGCACACCTCAACCTTCAGCTTCTAAGTCTCAAATAATAAGTCCCTCTGTGAATAAAGATAACTTCACTAGCCCAGAAGACCCATTTATACCACCTGAGTTATCATCAAACTGCAGTCATGGACTTCAGGTAAGCACTCACTGCAGTCTTCTAATTTTTTCGCGCTCTAACTCGTCCTGACATTCTGATGGACTATTCATTTTTCATGCAGCTAGGGCTCTGTCCACATGGAACTGCTCATATGCAGGAGATAAAGGACATGTTACTCAACATTTCAAACGAATTACTTGATAATGCCAACCTTCATCCTGCAGAGATGGAGAAGCTTCGTCAAGATAGGTACAGTAGCTTTCCGACTCTAGTCTGTACTTCAGTTCCTTCTAATTTGACATTGACGGAAACAAATGAAAAAGTAATACCAGTGATCGCACGACTAGTTGATTGTAGTCAAGAGTTACAATGTGAACTTAGATAGAACCTAAGGTACTTGAAACTTTCGCCATCTCTTAGATGTTAAATCTGAATGTTGTGATGATCAACCAATCTGTATTTCTCATGAAAGTAAAGCAAACTGTTTGATCTGTTTCCTTACGTGTTGATATCCATGCGTTGGCACCATTAGGTTGAAACTGAATAGACAGCTCCAGCAACTTGAGGGCTATGTTAGTAATCAGGAGAGGCAAAAGTCAAATCTTTATGCATCCACTACAACAGTCAACCTCCAATATGGAACACCTCAGATGGCAGCATTCAAAATGCAGCCAAATGATTATGTACAGAACAAATCAGGTGCAAGAGGGTATGAAAATTGGAACTCTTCATCTCTTCAATTCACTCCCATGGATGGATTTGGGGGTTCATATACTCCTGTGGAGAGGGAGCCTTATGTACCAAAGTTTGCTGAGGTGAACTACAGTGAAGGCTCAAATGACCCTAAGTGGAGCAGTTTAAATTTCTCATGGGCAAAACAACTTGAGGTGGTTGTCTATATTGGACCCTTTAAGTTACCGACTTTGATTATTACCAATTCGCTGACCTGGTTCTGTTTTTAGGAGAATAACAAGAAATTTTTTGGGAATCATTCTTTTCGCCCCAATCAAAGGGAGGTGATTAATGCCACAATGAGTGGCTATGATGTCTTTGTTCTAATGCCTACTGGAGGAGGAAAGAGTTTGACATATCAGGTAACAAATTCTTTCTCAGTCTGTCATAATATTCTTGCCTTTCTTTCTGTTTAGAGACTGTACGAGCTTTACATCAGTTAGCTGGTCGGACATTCTATCTGTTTTCTGTATGTTTCGTTGGGACTGCCAAAATTTGGTTGTTAATACAAGAAAATAGCCTCAAACGAACAGATAATTGCTTCAATTAGACTTTGCTTCCTAATTGAAATGACTTTATTTCGCATCTCAAATATGCTGTCACTCCTGAATTTGAATTAAGTGCCCATACTTACATTAGTAATTTCTTCCCCCCTATGCAGCTTCCTGCTTTGATCTGTCCAGGGATAACATTAGTAATTTCTCCACTCGTATCACTTATCCAAGATCAGATAATGCATCTTTTGCAGGTACTGATCCTGTCAGTTTGTCCTTTTTAGCATTTGTATACAATTACTTGTACATGTTGACGTATTCGCTAAAACTTTATTGAGGCCCTTTTGTGCTGCAGGCAAACATACCTGCCGCTTATTTGAGTGCCAATATGGACTGGTCTGAACAGCAGGAGATCATGAGAGAACTTTGCTCTGATTATTGTAGATACAAGCTGTTATATGTCACACCAGAAAAAGTTGCAAAGTAAGTGTCAGATTTAGCGGAGTGTACTTACAATAGGCCCTTTAAGCTGAAATGTATCTTCCACGGTAGAAATGGCTGAAGCTTCTAAGTACTCCTATGGGATTATAAGCTCTCGCAACATGAATCCGGTCTGGAAGTGTATTGAACATATTGAAAATTAATGCATTGTAGAATATAAGACGTGATGCGATGTTCTTTTCTGAAGCTAGTTATTATAACAAATTGTAAATGTATGAATTTTGTGAGGTTGTGTGGTAGCTAATATTTTGGTACTTTCTTTTCCCTCTTTTTTCACTTGCAGAAGTGATGCTCTTTTACGCAACCTGGAGAGCTTAAATGCTCGTGGAATGCTTGCCAGGATTGTAATTGATGAAGCTCATTGTGTGAGTCAGTGGGGACATGACTTTAGACCAGATTACAAGGTTGTGACACTTGAACCCTATAGTATGTTCTGTTACAGCCATATGGAATTGTGTCTGATTCGGGATGACCTTGTAATATATCCAGGAACTTGGAATCCTAAAAAAGAAGTTTGAGAAAACTCCAGTTTTAGCTTTAACTGCTACTGCAACAGCTAGCGTGAAAGAAGATGTTGTGCAAGCGCTTGGTCTTGTTGATTGCATTATTTTCAGACAGAGTTTCAATAGGCCAAATCTATGGTATGTTACAAGTTGTTGCTGATACATTTCCTCCCCCACCCCCCACCCCAATTTTCAGACAACAGTTTTGTGGACGTATCAGGTATGCGGTGATCCCAAAGACAAAGAAGTGTTTGGATGACATCGACACGTTCATTAAGGAAAACCATTATGATGAATGTGGAATTATTTACTGTCTTTCAAGGATGGACTGTGAAAAAGTAGCTGAAAAGTTGCAGGTTGGTGTAGCACTAATTCACTTTGTTTCTTTTATGGAGTGCTTAATTCACTCTTTAATAAGTGCGAAAGGGCTTTGGATCTGCCATTATTGTTAAGGTGGAGAACGGAAGTCGATGATAAGCTTTGCTCCTTATACTGATTATCTATAACACTCTCTGGAGTCGCTACCAATTGAAACAATAGTCTGCAGATGCACGTTAAATTTAAGCTAGGTTGATACTCTTGCATCTTGGTTTGGTTGGGGGCACGTAATTATGCATATCTAGAAACTAGGAGAGCTTCAGTCGTGGGCATTCGTTAAGATTTTGTGAATATAAAGGTCAAAGTTTTGTGATTGTATATCATCTTTCTTATTTTCAAATTTTCTATTTTTAAGAACTTAGTTCCTGATTGATTGGCTTACTATGGCAGGTTGTTTACGTTTCACTCTTCCTGCCTAAAGTTCTTGATTAGAATATTTCGCTTAGTTCTTGGAGATTCCTTATGATTAGATTTGATATTTATGTTTGTTTGACTTTTAACATCCATATATGCTTGATATTTGATTATTTCCCCCCATCAGCAATGTGGACATAAAGCAGCATTTTATCATGGTAACATGGAGACTACTCAACGTGCTTTTGTCCAGAGACAGTGGAGCAAAGATGAAGTTAATATAATCTGTGCCACAGTGGCATTTGGAATGGGTATCATTTCTAATATGTCCGATTCCGACATCATCTGAAACAGATTAGTATGGTTGTGCTAATATTTGTATTCCAGGTATCAACAAACCTGATGTTCGCTTTGTGATTCATCATTCTCTCCCAAAATCCATTGAAGGTTACCATCAGGTAATATGGACACTGTTCACAAGTAAAATTGCCAATATTACCAGTTGATCATAGAACTATGTGGAAGAGTTTGACTACTAAACATCATAATGTTGACTGTTTTGGCCTGTTGGAATGGTGCAAAATTTTCAGGAATGTGGACGTGCTGGTCGAGATGGTGCCCGCTCATCTTGTGTGTTGTACTACAGCTACAGTGACTATGTCAGTTCACCTACAAGGCTCTGTTGGTTTTATGTTCTTTCAGGATGATGAGTTGTCTATTTGTCTTTCATCTGTTTCGCCATGTTGTACTAACTTGTCCTGTATTTGAATCTCTTCTAATCTATCTAGATACGGGTTAAGCATATGCTTGTACAAGGACAGGGAGAGCAAAGTTCCTGGACATCTGGATATAATCGTGGAAACACATCAAATTCAGATGGGATATATGAGAAAAATACTGAAAATCTACTCCGAATGGTACCTAGAATAATTGGGGTTTCTTTTCTTGATGATTAGGTCGACTAGTTGTTTCTGCTAGTCATATCTAGTAATGTAATGCAATATCGATTCAACTGTTTCAGGTGAGCTATTGTGAAAACAACGTCGATTGTAGGCGTTTCCTACAGCTTGTGCATTTTGGGGAGAAGTTTGATTCTGGGAACTGCCGGAAAACATGTGATAACTGTACAAAGACCAAAACCTTGGTGGAGAAGGATGTCACCTTGATAGCAAAGCAATTGGTTAGAAGACTATTCTCTTATACTTTAATCCATGTTGCAGTCAGTAACGTTTTTGAATTTGTAACTGCTTTTCACCTAAATGTTTATTTGTTTTGGTTAGGTGGAGCTGGTAAAAATGACTGGACAAAAATATTCATCTTCTCATATTCTGGAAGTCTACAGAGGTTCCATGAGCCAATTGGTATGTTAGGACATGAAAACTTCTTTTTTTGGGTAGAAATGGACATGAAAACTTCGCACCTTTTCTTTTGATACGCTTTCAATTATTGGTTTTTAATTGTTACTAATTACTGCAGGTAAAGAAACATAGACATGAGTCTGTGAGTCTACATGGAGCTGGAAAACATCTTGCGAAAGAAGAGGCCTCTCGTATAATGCGCCATCTTGTTGTCGAGGACTATCTTACGGAGGAAGTTAAGAAAAGTGATGTCTATGGATCTGTTTCATCAGTGCTAAAGGTAACCACCGTTTCCATCTTCACCCTTTCGCTATCTTACGGAGGAAGTTAAAAAAAGTTATGTCTATGAGAAGAAATTCCTGGCCTTGTAATTTTACTGCACCCCGACATGAATGTCAGAAATTTTACATCATGTCCACGAGCCCACAAAACATGTCTGGAAACTCTTAGTCAGCTCTTTTAGGTTTGTTTTCACAAAATGTTGACTCTACTTAAGTGTAGAGTGGGAGATGATGCAACCAATGGATAGTAGGTTTTGGGACATAACCCGTCTAATGACCATAGTTTCATTGAGTGCTTCCCTTGACATGAGCATGCGCCCCAGAAAGCTGCTGGAATCAAGCTGTGATACGATGAGGAAATGGCGGTTCTGTTCATTGGAAGTAGTTGAGTAGGCAGGGGGATATGCCGATCGCTGTAACACCCTTTAGACTTCTTGGCCTATGGGTGACGACCAGCTCAGTTTGGCCCTTGTATTATTCCAAGGTATATGATCTTTTTAACCTTCATATTTCAGGTGAATGCGCACAAAACTTCAGATCTATACACTGGCAAGCAGATCCTGCTAAGGTTCGTTCAGCTTTAACTTACGGAGGCTCTAATGTCAGCCTTCTTCTGGGAATCCTCATAGTGTGCAATAAGACGTAGTGATTCTGAAAACTTTTCACGTTGCAGGTTCATATCATCTGCAAAAGCCTCTAAGATATCCAAAGCTGATGCCACTCCAGCAAAAGGAACATTGCAGCCTGACAAGCTAAGTCCTCCATCAGCTGACACTACGGCATCCGCTGTACCTAAAGTCAATAAGGTATCTCGAAACTTGCGTTTCTCCATCTCTGATCGACCCTGTGGTTCATTGATTTCCTTAATTTCCCCCAAAATAATGAACTTCTGTTTGCTCCTCGCAGGACCTAGCCGACCACATATACAATGCTCTACGACTGCTTCGAACTAATCTTGTTAAAGAGGCTGGCGAAGGGTGTATGGCATACCATATATTTGCGTAAGCTCCAATCATTCATCATTTTGCCTCCCATTTTCTTATTATTATCAACATTAAGTCAGTTTCTAATTCAGATATCTTAGCTGAGTCGTCTGAAATTTTCAGTTATGAGTTTGTTTAGGAATGCCATTCTGGATCGAATCAGCAGAAGGATGCCCAGAACAAAGGAAGAACTCCTGGAGGTCAATGGAATTGGAAAGTGAGTAAAGTCATCTTTCTGTAGTTGAGCATGCATTTGACGACTACAATACAACTTATAAACACTTCCATTTTACACGATGAACTCAGCATTAAGCTAACCAAGTACGGGGATCGGGTGCTGGAAACCGTAGAAGCCACAATCAGAGACTTCTACAGCAAGGATGGAAGTGGGAGCAGCAGCAACAGCACTGATTCGGGAAAGAGGAGGAGAAATGGTGCTGCCGCTGCTAACAATGGCGATGGCTGTGACATGGATGACGACGACGAGGAGGATGACTTCATCGTGAAAAGCACAGGTCGGTCGAAGAAGAAGAGGCTGGCAAAGAAGCAGCAGCAACAACCGCAGCAGTGCAACAATGGCGGTGATGTTTGTAATAATAACGGGAATGGATACACACTTCCTCCCGAGGAATTCTTGGACGATGAGGATCTAGTTTTCTACGATTCGAGTGGCGAGTTTGAAGCGGCCGTTGCTGGAGCCACAACGCCGGCGGTTGATCAGAAGAACAGTGGAGGAAGAGTGTTGCCTTCTTGGGTAACGCCGGCCAGCAAGGTGGTTCGGACGTAACGTAAAAAGGCTTTCCTTACTAACAGCTAGCTAATGGATGATCGACAACTTGTCGTTACGCCACGTGATGACGCGATACTGGGAAACCTATGGTTGTTGCTTACGTCACTAGCAGAACCGTCACTTGAGCTCTGATTTTTTTACGACATTATTGTGTTAATTTACAGCGATTAAATAAATAATTATTCCATCTAATTTTTAATGAAATGGATTGATTTTTAAATGAAAATATATGTCTGTTGTTTTTTATTATTACATTCTTAATTATAAAAAATTAGTAGTTAATTATTTTTGGTGAAATGTGAAAACATAATAAATGTTTGATATTTCTCAAATTTTTGGACCGGTTCAGTTATTATTTTTTCTCGGATGGCTATATAGTTAAACAGACAATTTTTATGTACTGCTATGTAATTTACCTGTTTCTTGGCTCTCAGACTCCAGAGGGTTCCGTTTTCCTGTCTTTTGGCGCGCCAGCTCTCTGAAGCTGAAGTGCTGAACTAGGTCTATACATCACCAGACACCAATTCTGAGCTTCGGAACTCTTGCTTCGAATCAAGGGAAGAAGTCCGTCCCCTTTCTGCCGCTGCAGCTTCATAATTCTGATGCTTCGCCGAGCTTGGAAGCCATTATCACGAATACCACGACGACGAAGAGCCTTCCTTTCGCGTGGATTCACCGGCACCGCCGCAGCGGCGGCTCCTCCGGTCTCTCCTACTCTTCTTAGACACTGCAAATCGTTAAGGCAAGCAAATGTCATCCACCAGCAATCTCTAATCCAAGGCTTAAACACCCACTTCTCAGTTTCCCTCCTTTCCACCTACATTGCGCTCGACTCCCCTTCCTTTGCTCTTTCCCTCCTTCGGTCCATTAACCCATGTCCCGCTCTCGTCTTCTGGTGGAACGCCCTCATCCGCCGAGCTCTCCACTTTGGCCATCTGGAGCATTCCTTCTCTCTGTTCCGTGACTTGAGAAACCTCGGCTGGTCCCCTGATCACTACACTTTCCCCTTCGTCCTCAAAGCTTGCGGGGAGCTAGCTTCCTTATCTCGCGGAGCTTCACTTCACTGTGTTGTTTGCAAAGATGGGGTTGAGTCGAATGTATTTGTCTGTAACGCTGTGGTCTCCATGTACGGCCGTTGTGGGGAGCTGGACTCTGCCCGCCAGGTGTTTGAGGAAATGTGCCGCAGTGGGGTATTTGATTTGGTGTCGTGGAACTCGATTGTAGCAGCTTATTTGCAAAATTCGGATTTTAAGGGTGCGCTTTTTTTGTTTGGTAGGATGACTAGAGTCAGTGATGTTGGGATTCGACCTGATCCGATTAGTATTGTGAATGTGTTGCCTGCTTGTGCGTCTATGGGGTTATGGTTGCATGGGAAGCAGGTGCATGGTTTTGCTATCAGGAGTGGATTGTTTGATGATGTTTTTGTTGGTAATTCGCTGGTTGATCTTTATGCAAAATGTGCTATGATGAATGAAGCGAACAAGGTTTTTGAAAGGATGCAAGAGAAAGATGTGGTTTCTTGGAATGCGATGGTTACAGGGTATGCTCAGACTGGTCAATTTGAGTCTGCTCTTTCTTTGTTTGAGAAGATGAGGAAAGATGATATCGAGTTGGACGTAGTGTCTTGGAGTGCTGTTATTGCGGGTTATGCACAAAAGGAACTTGGCTGTGAAGCCTTGGATATATTTAGACAAATGATTCTCTATGGTGTGAAGCCAAATGAGGTCACCCTATTGTCAGTACTTTCAGGGTGTGCTTCAGTAGGAGCATTGCTCCAGGGGAAAGAGACTCATGGTTTTGCAATAAAATGTATTCTGCGTAGCATTCGGAGTGATCCAGGTTTCGAAGTTTCTGTGATCAATTCCCTCGTTGACATGTATGCTAAGTGTAAAAGTTTCAACCAAGCTCGTGCTTTATTTCAGTTGCTTGCACCAGAGGAGAGGGATGTCGTGACTTGGACCACTTTGATTGGAGGTTATGCACAACATGGAGATTCCAATGATGCATTGGAATTGTTTGCCAGAATGATAAAAGAGAATAAATTTCTGAAGCCTAATGCATTCACCATTTCTTGTGCGTTGATGGCATGCGCTCGTTCGAATGCATTGAGTTTTGGAAGGCAAATTCATACTTACATAATCCGTAATAATTATGATCTTTCTGTGTTATACGTACCTAATTGCCTCATAGATATGTATTCAAAAACTGGAGATATCGATGTTGCTAGAGTGGTTTTCAATAGCATGAAGCACAAGAATGCTGTTTCCTTTACAACCCTGATAACAGGCTACGGCATGCATGGCCGTGGTGAAGATACTCTCTTGGTTTTTGATGAAATGAAGAAACTAGGCCATGCTCTGGATAGTGTAACATTCCTTGTTGTACTATACGCTTGCAGTCATTCAGGAATGGCTGATAAGGGAATGGAGTACTTCAATAGCATGAGTGAAGAGTTTGGAATTGTTCCTGGTGAAGAGCACTATGCTTGTATGGTTGACCTGTTGGGCCGTGCTGGTCGCTTCGATCAAGCTATGAAGCTTATCAAAGCCATGCCTATGGAACCTAGCTCAATAGTATGGGTGGCTTTGCTTAGTGGGTGCAGGAAACATGCTAATGTGGAACTTGCTGAGTATGCCACAAATATGCTTCTAGAGTTGGAATCAGAAAACGATGGATCTTATACCCTTCTCTCAAACATATATGCTAGCGCCAGACGATGGAAAGACGTAGCCAAAGTCAGGTCTTTGATGAAAAGTGCAGGAATAAGGAAGAGGCCAGGTTGTAGCTGGGTGCAAGTGAAAACTGGCAATGTAACATTCTTTGCTGGGGATAGGGCTCATCCACAGTCGAAGGAGATATATGAAATCCTTGCAGGGTTGATTCAGAGGATTAAAGTTCTTGGATACGTTCCGGAGACTAGCTTTGCGCTTCATGATGTGGATGATGAAGAGAAAGGGGACCTTCTTTCTGAGCATAGTGAGAAGTTAGCCCTTGCCTATGGAATCTTAACTTCTATTCCTGGTGCAGCCATTAGAATCACCAAGAACCTGCGTGTTTGTGGGGATTGCCATAGTGCCTTTACCTACATATCCAGGATCATTGAAAATGAGATCATTTTGAGAGACTCGAGCCGTTTCCATCATTTCAAGAATGGACTGTGCTCTTGCAAAGGCTACTGGTAAACAAACTAGAGCTGTGAAGGTAAAGTTGAATGTTTCTCTTAAACACTCAGGATTCAGGAAGGTGAAAACATAAATGTTTGATATTTCTTCGATTTCAGGAGCTGTTTCGTTATTATTATTTTTCTCGGGTAGCCACATTAATAGAAAGACAATTTCGTGTACTGATTTGGAAATTGCCAGGAGCAGTGGGAGAGAAAACAGAAAACGGAGAGCAGCAGAATAATTCAGTGCCTCTCCCTCTTTCCGGCTCTCTCCTCTCTCTTGCCCTTCATCTCTCCGACCGCCGTGGTTTGTCTCTCTCCCAGTCTCCATCGTCGGATCGCCGCTGTTCTATTTCCTTATACCGTGTGTTCCAACTTCCAACCGACCACCCTTGCCTCTCCTTCTGACGCGCTCGGCCTCTTCTCTCCTTCCCTGCCGTCGTTTCTTGCCTTCTCATCCCGAGGGTTCCGTTTCCTGTCCTTTGGCCGCACCGGCTCTCACCGGAAGGAGGGCATTTCGAGCAGGCTGAAGCTGAACCAGGTCTACACCTCACCAATTCTGAGCTTCGGAACTCTTGCTTTGAACTTAGAAGGTACAATTACTGCTGTTGATAGCGTAAGGCCTGTTCTGTAACTTGGAGTTGAAATTGTTCTTTCGGATCTTACACGCTTGTTCGAACTATTTGTTTGAATTGATAATCGAAATGTCGTGTATGCTTGCCTTGGCGAACTTGCACGCTATGTGTTTGAGGAATTGCCCCACTGAAAGTTGTGCTTTTTCCCCCCTTCATAGAGCGTAGAGCCAGTGAGGACGATGAGTTCGGAGGCGCCTGCGGCCAAGACCAAACCCCCCCAGATTGTTACATTGGACCATGCCTTCAAGTTGGTAAATGACTGAACTTTTCCCCTTCCTCTCTTCACATATAAATTCCCACTCGACTCTGGAAAACCATCATAGAATTGGAACTCGAATCCGTTTAGTTGGAACCCACGTCTGAACAACATTTATTTTTGTCACAATCATTTTCCAGGCTGAACAGTGGGTAAATAGAATGAGCAAAAGTACAGACGATGAACCAGAAGAGGCGGAACAGCAGGGTCGGCCTCTAAAGTCTGTAATACTACTGCATTCAACTATCTTCTATTTGTGTTCAGCATGGCTTGCCTTTTGCTTTGATGTCATTGCATATAGATAGCCCCAAAAAACCTCTCACACAGACAGTTTTTGTGTTCAGGCTTGGACTTGGAGCTAGGGCTGCTCCACGGTCCAATCTTCCACCTACAAATGATCCAGCGGCGAGAAGATTGCACAACAAGTTGGAAGCTGCGAAGAAAAGATCTGCTAAAATAGCTAGCGAGACTGGAGGTAATGAAAGCGATAACAGTGATGGAGAACCAGAAAGCAGAACCGGTGCATTTGTGAGGAAGAGAGGTTTGCCCCCTGCTCTACCTTCACAACTAAACACCAAGAAGAAGAAGCAGTGGAAGTAAAAAAAATTCTAACCTTGTATCTCATCTTATAGATGTTTTTTTCATCTCGTCGTAGATTCTTGTTTTTGCTCGGGTTCGTGATCGTCTTATACTCTGTTTAATGCATGAAGTTCAAATCCTTGCTTCATGAAACCAGTCAGATCCCTTTGCAGGCTCATAATGTTGTAGAATTTCGACTGGAAAAGTTGGCTTAAGTTTGCAGAGTTGGTAAAACCTTATAAATTTTTATGTTCCTGCTAGGACAAGATCTTTAGGTATTCATTTTTATGTAACCTCATTTATCCTTTGCTAAGGGTTGCTTGTTATGGTAGCCATCTATTGTGGAGATTACAGCAGTTCAGTTACTGTCTGTGATATAAGGTAACATTGATGGAGCTATCGATACACGTCTTGCCTCGGATAATAGCACCTATAGTGTTTTTCTTTCGTATTACAAGGATATTCATTGGTGACATTGATGGAGCTACATGGTCGGATCACGGATGTGGACAGCATACCATAATAAGTACACATTTTGCATAGGGGGAGAAGGCAAATTTCGGATCATAGACCTCTTATTGTAAAAGTTTTGTCATTGGAGCACACATCGCATTTGATCGAACTTCGAACCTACCGAAATATATGACTGCCTACGTCTATGATCGCTGGATGAATCGCTTGCTGCGGATAATCGCACGAAGCCAACAATACAAGTGGCTAGGCTGCAACAAGAACATAGTTGAATGGTATCAACGGGTCTCCATTCTCCAATTTACCTCAAGTGATGCTTTATGTCATTGCGTGGCCAGCAATTCCGTACAAAGTAGACTTCGCAAAATTGGGGGACCAAAGGCCCGGCTGTCCAAACGGGAGAGGCCGAACTTTTTTGTCTTCAACTTTGTTGGGCCCGCCTGGGTCCACAAAATTCAAAGCCCAATTTAAATGGCGAGAATTCAGTTCGGTGGTCAGGGAGGGACAAGTGTGAGAAATACAGTGTACATTATTAGATATGTAATAATTAAGTTTTACTATTGGGTTACAGAATATGATGATGAGAATTGGAGAAAGGAACATACATTTCAATCTCAACATGCCTGATTATTGACCTAAACCGTGCCTGATGTGGGTAAGTGAGACTATAAATTCACATCGCGATGAATCCATTGACGTACTCTCGAAGCAAATGTTTCATGTATTTCAACTGTAGAACTGTTATTTCGCGAAGAGGGATCTTGGTTCAAAATTTGTCGGATCCATCTTGAAAATCAATGATTTTTAATGTGTATTCACTTTCTAGTGGTGTCCAAACCCTAAGCTAGCTTTTGTCTGTAAATGAATCGTGGAATCAAACTGTGTTTTACATAACCAAAGTCAAGTGAGATATGAGTTCTTTTCAACTCCATGATGCAAGGATGACGAGATCGTCCATTTATCCATTTTTTCTGATATATTGGTTGTTGATCACGATGATAAAATGAAAGGAGAAAACAAGCATAGAGTACTCCATCGGAATTTCTACTCACATTCGGTGAGATGGTGATGATGAAATGTGACACATAATTCGAGGGAGTGATTGCTCTTTGTAGTTTATAGTTTGACGAGAAGGAAACAAAAACATTTGGATGATGAAAATTTGAAATCGATAGGTAGTATGATAAGATCGCTTGGTTGATTCGGTATCATGTCAACATTGTATTTTTTAATTAAGGATGATACTGAACAAGCAAATTAGGTGAGATCCCTCGATAAACGAAGATAAAACACTAGATTCATTATGAAACTCCATCTAAGTAAATGCATCATTAGTGTTTTATTTTATCATCTATTGATCCTGCCGGTAGAGGGAAGGATGATCAATTCATTAATATCTTTCTGGTCAAATTTTAGAAGTGGGAAACTAAAAAAAACATGTTACTATCGGCTTTTAGTAGATTTGAGAATGCAACTTGTAGGGATTAAGAATAAGAATTCGGGGATTAGGGATAGAAATTTGAGGAAGAAGAAGAGAAGAATGAGAGAGAAAGATAGATTAGGGTTGAGGTTGATACTTTGATAATTTCTTTCTTATTAATTCCTAATGAATAACAAAGAACACTTATATAGAAAAAGAAATGAAAAACTAACAATAAACCTAAACATAACAACCTAGTAATAATTTATCCTAATAATTATCTCTGATATTAGTATAATGATTACAAATTATTTAAATAGATTTCTCTCACATTATAAATTGATCGATCCCATATGACATATACTTATATGGTCACGCCATTCGATTGATGCTCACATTCATTGGAGATGTTTTACTTCACTATGGTTTACACAATAACAACTTTACTTCAAACAATCTAACATGAACATATATTTAACTTACCCCGTCTTTCAAGGGCATCCAATAAAATTTTATTCTAACCCCTCTCTCCATTTTTCTCTTTATTTTCATCATTTTATTTTTCTCGGCCGCTAACAAAAATAAATAAAAGGGACGTCGAAACAAAGAGGGGGAAAATTAATTAATTAAATTTCAAAACCTTGGGTTAAACAAATAAAAATAAATAAGTAGCAAAATAAACTCCTTCTCGAAGGCTTTCTTTGAGAGAGAGCAGGCAGAACAGAGGCGCAAATAAAAAGAGGACGAGACGAGAAAATTAGATAGAACGAAAAAGCAAAGAAACGCACTAGAGAAGAAGAGTACAGCTTCATTTCCCCTCACCCTCACAGTCGGCGGAAGGACTACAAATCGTCAATTCATTTCTCACAATATCATCAATTGAATTTCCGGTCATTTTTTTTTTCCTGCGGATTCGATTGTTTCCGGGGGCCTTGTTTCTCGGCGATACATCGAACATATGGCTACAGGAGTAGAATCGTCTCCTCCGACGTCATCCCCGCCGTCGGGGACGGTGAAGAAGGTGGCGGCGAGTGGAATCGCGCTTGATTTCCCGGTGACTGATGCTCCTTCGTCCTCTTCGCCGCCGAGGATTCCCAAACGGCTCCGGAAGCGGATGCTGGAGGCTAAAACTTCGCCAGTCAGTAGTGTGCAAGAGATCGAAGCTAAGCTTCGCGACGCTGATCTCCGCAGACGGGTTAGTTCTTGACTGATTGATTCTCCGAGTCTCACTTTCTGCTGTCTGCTTAACAACTCTCTCTTCAATTGGGAAAGTGAAAACATTTAGGGATTTTTTGGTGGTGGGTGTGTGTACGTACTTTCTATTGTGCTTTGCTTTCATTTCTTGCTTTACTCAGAGAATTTAAACTATCTGTAGTGAATTGTTTTAAGTTCGGTTGCTTGATCATCCGACGTCAAAGGCATGATCTTGCTTTGATTCCGGTGACGGTTCCCCGTAGATGAAATTGGGGTTCAAGTTCCGATCGATTTTGCGGGGTTTGTGCTTCTCCTTCTATCCCCCCTGTGGTGTAATTTTTTATACCTTCGTCCAGAATGTTCATTCTTCTTCGTGTTAGGTAAAAGGGGTTGAGTTATCCTTGTGTTCGAATCTGTTTTTCCTCATTTTTCAAGTTTCCTCATGGCTCTGTCTCATGTTTCTTCATTCTTCATCATGCTTCTTTTTTACTCTATATCTTCCGTCTTTTATGCCACTTTTTTCTGGTCCATGTGAATTCTGAGTTCTCAGAGTTGGTGTGCTTGGTTAGGTTCAGTAGAATAGATTAGGTTCGTTTGGTTAGCTGGGGATGAATTATTTTACTCCTGGACTGGATATGATGAGAAGGAAATGTTTGCAACCTCTGCTGTAACTGTTATCTTTTGTGTAGTTAGTCCAATCTAAATGTGTTGTATGCCGTTTTTGCCTTTGGTTTAAGTGCAGCAATTCCATGACATGTTGTCAACTAAGGCGAGGCCAAAGCCGCGAAGCCCTTCACGGTCTTCCTCTCAGGATGAAGATCTTGGTCAACGACTTGAAGCCAAACTTTTAGCTGCAGAGCGGAAAAGGTGAATTCTTTGTTTTCATTTATTGTTTTTGAAGTACCAAGTTATCATCCATCTTATCTACCATTGTTGTTGGTCTACCAGGTTGGGTATGCTGACCAATGCTCAAATGCGCCTAGCTAAGCTGGATGAGTTACGCCAGGAGGTGAAAGCTGGGGTGGAAAGACGTTTTGAGAGGGAAAGGCAGAGGCTCGGCACTAAAGTAGAATCGCGTGTTCAACAGGCTGAGGAAAATAGAATGCTTCTCTTGAAAGCTTATAAGCAGCGCCATGCTTCTGTGAAGGAGAGGAGTTCACAGTCATTAATGCAAAGAATTGCCAAGGAGAACAAATACAAGGAGCGTGTGTGTGCAGCAATTAACCAAAAGCGTGCTGCTGCCGAGAAGAAAAGACTTGGGCTGCTGGAGGCGGAGAAGAAGAAGGCATGTGACAGGATTTTGCAAGTTCAGCAAGCAGCTAAGTCTGTCTCTTATAAACGTGAGATTGAGAGGAGGAGAATGATGGAACAACTTGAGGATCGATTGCAGAGGGTAGGGATTGATTTCTGAAACTTATGTTCTCCGACTCTTCTTAAAAAATGTTTCTCCTTTTTGGTTGTTTCTCGTCTTTCTATTTATGACGTAGGCTATTTAATCAGGCGAAACGACAGAGAGCAGAATACTTGAAGCTGAGGAGCAGACAGCGTAGTCCTGTCCAGATGAATCTGAAGAGGATGGAAAAGCAGGCTGATGTTCTTTCAAGGAAATTGGCCCGGTATATATATTTTATTTTTGTAGTTCTTTACAGACTTGTAGATCATTTTACAAGTGTACTGGTTTATGTTCTCTCATCTTTCTGGCGTTTGAAGAGGAAATATGTGATTGAAAACAAATATGCAGACTTTGCTCTTTCCTTCCACTGTTCTGCTTCGCTCCTGTATGCTCAGTAGAAATTTCTGATTGAATTTGGGTCCTCCGGTTTCGTTCTTATAGGTGCTGGAGGATGTTTCTTTCATCAAGAAGAACGACCTTAGAGCTTGTAAAAGATTATGGCACCTTGAAGATAAATGAGAACTCTGTAAAAACCATGCCATTTGAACAGCTTGCGTTTGCAATTGGATCACCTGCTACCCTCCGGTCAGTAAAAGCTCTACTAGATCGGCTGGAGAGCCGATATAAAGTTTGTAGGGCAGTGGCTGCTGCCAGCTATTCTTCTACATTGGACAACATCGACCACTTGCTGAAAAGAGTGACTACTCCTAAGAGAAAACCTACACCCAGGACATCTATGAGGAGCAGAGATGCGAAGCATACAGGTGCTACAAGGGAATCAACTAGAAGTCCAGCTAAGCTATCCAGGTATTCAGTGAGAGTAGTTCTCTCTGCTTACATGATTCTGGGCCATCCGGATGCTGTTCTGAGTGGTCAAGGAGAGAGGGAAACTGCCTTGGCCAAGTCTGCAAAGGATTTTATCCATGAGTTTGAGCTGTTAATTAGGATTATTCTGGAGGGACCACTTCAGATCTATAATGATGAGTCAGACTCCATGTCATCAAAGCGTCGTACCTTCAGATCCCAGCTTGTGGTGTTTGACACAGCGTGGTGCACATTCTTGAATTGCTTTGTGATGTGGAAGGTTAAGGATGCTGTGTCATTGGAGGAGGACTTAGTGAGAGCAGCTTGTCAGCTTGAACTATCAATGATTCAAAAATGCAAGATGTCTTCTGGAGTGAATAGCAGTGATCTTTCTCATGATATGAAGGCTATTCAGAAACAGGTTTCTTTTTACTCATGCCCAATTGAGATTCATAGTAGCTCTTTTTTGTAGCTAGTGCGATCCCTTTCTTGTCTTTTTTGACTCCACAATGCTTCTTTTTTTCAGTGTTCGTTTGCCGATGTATTGTTCATCTCATTTTCTTGCAGGTAACAGACGACCATAAATTGCTGAGAGAAAAAGTACGGCATCTTAGTGGGGATGCTGGGATTGAGAGAATGCAATCTGCTTTGGACGAGATGCGTCTGAAATATAAGGAAAATGGTTCTCCTATTGGTTCACCAATAATGAGTGTGTCATCTCCTGGCATGCCTAGTTTCGTCGATGGTGCTGCCACTCCTACAACTATGAGTGATGCAAGGGTTGAGACATCGGGTCGAGTAGTACGTTCTTTATTCAAGGATGAGAACATTGACTCATCCGAACAAGCAAGTTCCTCGGCTGCTGCTATCCCATCCAAATCATCAAGTTCCTCTGTCACTGCTGCAAACTCGTCCGCTGGTCAACTGGGTGGTTCTGTTAATAAGTTGATCACAGAGAATGAAGTTATTGTTAATGAGCTTCTTCATGAAAAGCGTAGGGCTCTGGTTGATAGATTAGACACTGCCCAAAAAGATGAAGTCAGCCTCAAGGTTAGCAGATTCACTTATACATTGAGCCACTTAACTGTCAAAGTGACTGAAGGAGATACCGAGCCCAAAATGAGTGTTATTCATGTTTCAGATTTGCTCTTCCTTTCTGTGACTTGAGAGTCATGACTGCCAAATGGGTTGAGATGCCTGACCTTATTTGCTCTTTTATTTTTTGTTTCATGCAGGCAAAGGTTAAAGAGGCAATGGAGAAGGCTTTTTGGGATGGAGTGATGAATTCTGTAGAAGAAGAGGGACCAGACTATGGCAGAGTCATAAACCTTGTGAGGGAGGTGAGGGATGAAATTAGTGAGATGGCTCCTGAGAGCTGGAGATCAACCATCATGGACGCTCTTGATCTTGAAGTTCTTTCTCAGGTCTGTAACCTATCTTGATCATTCTGCTTTTTCCAGATAACATGCTGGTGATATATAGTTTTGTGTTCATTCGTGTGTGCTCTTTGTCTATCTCTATCAGGTGCTGAAGTCGGGAAACTTGGACATTGCTTACCTGGGAAAGATCCTAGAGTTTGCGCTGGCTACGTTGCAAAAGCTCTCTTCCCCTGCCTATGAGGATGAAATGAAAGTCAAGTATCAAAAATTACTCCAAGAACTGACTGAGGCATGTCAAAGTAGAGATGGTAATGCAAAGAGTTCTCCTGCTGTGGCAATGATCAGAGGTCTCCGCTTTGTTCTAGAGCAGATACAGGTTTGTGCGTTGTGTTTTTCTTTTTATTCCTCTCAGTATCCGACTATCCCTTGATGGTTGAGGAAGTGAGAAGATTATTTAGTTGGAAGTTGGAACTAGGTTATAAGACATAGGAGGAACCTAGCCTCAACTGAGTTTGCTGGTAACAGTAACACATGAGATACTAGATTGTTTTGCTAACTCCTTTTGGCAATTTATCAATTTGAGGTGTATAGGCTGAGGTGTATTGGTTTCGTCTTGGGTTGCAAATAATTTATATTAGTTTGATATTCACCCTAGCTTCTCTACTGTTTTTCTAGACGGTTAAGAGCGAGATCAGCAAAGCTCGTATAAAACTGATGGAGCCATTGTTGAAAGGTCCTGCTGGATTGGAATACCTTGGGAAAGCTTTTGCGAATCGGCATGGCTCCCCGTTGGATGCTTGTTTGTCCCTACCATTGACAAAGCAGTGGCTTTCTTCCTTGAGAAGTTGCAGTGATCAGGAATGGGAAGAACACAATAATAATTCTCTCTCAGCTTTGGCCAGCCATGAGAATCCGTCTCAGGTGTTCCTACCCTCAACTGCACTCCGAACCGGTGGGAGCTTTCAGGTGAAGCAACGTACTGCGCCAGATGTTGGTTCAAGCAATGAACAATCAGCGGTGGTGCCTGAATGTTCTGGTGACAGGGTTGATCTCTTGGTTAGGCTTGGATTGCTGAAAATGGTCACCGAGGTTTCCGGTATAACGCCGGAAACTCTTCCTGAGACCTTCACTCTCAACCTCTCCAGATTGCTAGGTGTCCAAGCTGAAATCCAGAAACTTTTAGTGGTTACGACCAGGTAAAAGTGTTGTCTACTTTGTATCATCTCCTCGACTAGCTCATCCCAACTATTTGATTGCTCTTGGTATATTTCTTTTCCTGAACTGATCTTCTCATCATGCGAACTGCAGTGTCTTGGTTTGCCGACAGACTCTCTTGATGGAGCGAGGTGCAGTCAGCAGTGCTCAGATGGAAAACATTGTATCGAAATGCAGCGAACAACTGTTGCAACTCTTGGACCGTGGTGGTGACGATGCTGGGATTGCTGAAATCGTCGGAATAATAAGCAGCTTTTCCTCCCAGGATTCGTCTTCATCAGTTTCTGAAGATGAAAACAGTCGGAAGCTTCAGTCGAGGAAGGAAGTTATGGGTAGGATGTTGGCAAGGAGCTTGCAGGCAGGAGACCCCGTTTTCTTGAAGGTCTCCCGAGCTGTTTATTCAGCTGCCAGAGGGGTCGTATTAGCAGGAAGCGGTCTCAAAGGGAGGAAACTAGCTGAAACCGCTCTCCGGCAGGTTGGTGCCGCCGTTCTCGCTGAGAGGGTGGTGGAGGCTGCTGAAGTGTTGGTGGTGGCGGCTGGCATTTCAGTAACAGTCCATGGGCCTTGGTATGCGACTCTCCTCAACAGTGTGTGATTTATGCAGACATATGATTTGTTTGTTGCTTTGTTCAACTTCGAAGTAAGTTGGGATGTGAAATAAGAAGAAAGAAGTAGGAAGAATAAATTCAGTGCGCTGTGTATATAAGTAGTCTCAAGTGTGTGTCAGGCCGGCGATGACCCTGTGATTGGCCTCCCTGGTGTAAGTTTCAGCTATGTGCTCTTGCTCTGTTTTCGTTGGTGTGTCTAGATTGAAGGGAAGAGTTATGTAAACAGTAGTGTTTTAATAATGTCAGATTGATGATCTGTTCGTCGTCAGTGTTCTCCTTTCTCTGCTATTCCTTCGGTTCTTGATGCGAAATGTCGATCGATCTACTACTGGGATGACGCCTGGAGTTGTCATATCGTTCATGTATCTGTACTGTCAATTTTGATACTAACCCGAGTCTGACATAATCACATAACTTATCTACGATTTCACCGATCTCAACGACCAATTTCGACTCTGCCCTTGGAGTCATGTTGTCTCCTCCGCCATAGGAGAAACAAATTGTTTGATTGAATGCAAAGATTATGGCCTTGATTTATTTGTGATTTACATGTACAGAAGCTTACAATCTTCCTTGAGCATTATTGTATTGACGAGTAGGTGATGAAGGAGGGCTTGGCTTTGGTTCCACCATCTTCTCCAATTCATCAAGATCATCCTTCAACTTATCAACCTTGTGCAAGAACTCTCTGGCTACATGAGCTTCATGAGCAGTTACTTTCGACACCCTCTCCACCATCAAAGCCGCCTCCTTTAGCTTCCCCCCGGAACCAGGAATGCTCTCCGCCACCTCCGCCGATACATTCTCCGCCACCGTCGCCACCTGCTCCACAATCTCCGCCACGCTCTCCACCTGCTCTGCCACTATCTCCGCCTCCCCTGTTTCCAGACCAAAAAGTAGCTACCCATGTCTCAGCACGCCATTACTTAAATTTCAGATACATTCATTTAAGTTATCTCATAATAATTAGTACCTTCAATTGTCTTCAACCTCTCCCATTTTTGCTTCCAGAAAGGCAGGACGACAGTTAGGATCGTGCCAAGCAGCCATTTCGCCCAACCAGAGAAGCCATATCTGGGACTCGGAGGTGGCCGTGATGGAGGCGGCAGTGATGATGGTGGTGGGCCAAGAAACAAGCTCTCTGCCCAGTTCTTGCAACTGATCAATTGCAATCCTTTCTGGGTTGTTTTCGCTATATCAGCAGAAGCACGGCAGCTGCCATTGTCATCCCCTGAAGACGAAGGCGGCTTAGTATTGTATGAATTAGCAGCTGACGAAATGTTCACTACGTTATTGCTTCTCCTCCAGGAACTGCAGTAGCGGTCTCGCAACAACTCCACAAAACCTCTCAGGTTGTAGCTAGAGGAGCCGCCGCCGCCCCTGCCGCGGGCCGCCGGAGACATGATGAACCGATCAAGTGCTGTATGATTAGGCTTATATCTGCAGACTGATGAGATAATGAAGGTTATATATAGCAGAGAGTTGTGGAAACGCGGGGGTTTGATGTATTGCTTGTGGGAGTTGAGTTACGGCATCTGCTGTTTGTGATGATGAGTGTGGATTGAGGAATTAATTAGTTGGCCATGGATGGACTGGATATCATTGGGATGAAAGGGAAGCAAACTGGTGATGAAGGAGAGCACGCTAGCTACTTGAGATCATCGATGTAGATAAAAGTAAAGAGAGCAGGGTCGGTCTAGGAGCTAGGTTGGGTGTTGTTGACGACTTTTGATCATCATCAGTTACAAGCTATAGCAGCTAGAAGCAAGTGTGTACATTATCATATTGCGGTTCTGGTATGTTATGTTGTTCCTTGCAAGTTTTAAACTAACTTGTAACTGCTACTTTGCATTGTACCCGACTAAAAGATGGAATGTTCAGCAATATTATTATTGTTCTGGCATGCCTAATTCTTAGGAAGTTCTGAGCAAGGTTGTCAACCCGCGGGTTGACCCGCGGGTCGACCCACTTTGACCCTAACCCGGTGAGAAAAACGGGCCATACGCACCCGCCGGGCCGACCGTTACAAGGTACCGGACTGGAGGTCAAATTGTGTCATTTTTTTCTTTGGTTTGCGAAATGCGCCTATTTTCCGATTTTTCTTTTCGCCTAACTCAATCTTTGGAATCATAAGTTGGACATTTGAATATTTATGTTATATAAGTGTGTGTGAATTTTCACTATATGTTGGATCTAAGTATGATATGTTATTTTGGTGTAATATTATATGTTATAAGTCATATGCTAGATAAGATTTTATATAATTTATGAGGATAAGTACAATATAATGACTTTTTCTATATTTCCGGGCTAAACCGGGCTAAAACAGTTGACCCATTAACCCTTAACCCACTAGCTCGACCGGGTCCGGGTCAACCCGCGGGTGGACAACCTTGTTTCTGAGAATTAGAGAGAAAAGTGTTAAAATTACACTAGTTTGGTACCCGGTCCGTTGGCCGGGTAAATTTTGTTTCAAATATGTACTTTGGTATTTTTTTCCTCCTAAAGTGTCTATTTTGTTCAGTCTGTCATGTCCTCTCTCATTCCGAATCTTGTATATCTTTGAGTCCGACCAGTTGGCCGCTAAATGATTTTTTAAAGGTAAATTAGTTTGTACCGCACGATAATATTTTAGCACCCATGAAATTGTTGTGCATTATTATTATGATATTACAAAATTAGACATTGATATAATTTAGTAACTCAGTAGAATAAGAAATTTGTTATGCGATCTATGTTAGTATATACTTTATGGCGGTACAATCGAATGATATTGATATAGTTTCGCAACTATCGAATAGGAACATGCCTTGTAAATATATGATTGTGGCTATGTTTTAAAAAAAACATATATCAATATGGGTATCCTTGTGTAGATCACATAAAATCTAATTTTTTCGCGCAATAATATTTAAATTCGGAGTTGAAACAAAATAAATATGGATCAATTAAGAATAGTAGGGGAGATTGAAAAAGAAGAGAGAGAGAGAGAGAGAGAGAGAGAGAGAGAGAGTTAAGTGGCACATTCTAATTGGGGTATAAAAAAACTTAAAAGAAAAAAAAAAGGAGTTAAGAAAAAATCTGATTGGTCGGAAGGGTGCTGACGTGGATGCGTAGGAGGCTGGAATTTTGAAATGGTGAACGTAGTTTTTGGAAAAGCCTTTATATATTTTATAGATAGATGATAGTTCAATATAGATCGACTCCGCTCGCTCTTTCTATATATGCAAAAAGAGAATTGTGACTTAACCGATTTGCCATAGATCATAACCTAACACGTGAGATGAGATATTTTTTTGGTTTGTGGTGGAGTCGGGTTATGTAGTGATGGCAATTTCTACCCGCCCCGCGGGTATTACCCGTCCTGACCCGCGATGGGGCGGGTATTACCCGACCCGCAGTAGCGTGGGGCGGGGCATGGGTATCAACTTCCGACCCGCCCTGCCCCGCCCCGTTCTTGACTCATTTTATCTCAATTTCTTACAATTTCTATACATATTTCTTCTATTTTAACTTTTCTTCAACTAGTTAGAGTCGCTCTTTCAACTTTTTAGACTCAATTACCCATTCTATTATCACTATTTTTCATTCTTAAATTGTTTTACCCTTCGTTTTATTGTAAAAAGTAAAATTTACTTGTATTTTTTTCGAATAACATGTAAGAGTGGGTCGACCCGCCCCGCCCCGTACTCGCGCGGGTTTTACCCGCCCCGCCTCGTAGTAGCGTGGGGCGGGGCATGGGAATTGAGGTACCCGCCCCGCCCCATTGCCATCACTAATGGCAATGAAGAGGGAGCTGGGTTGGACGGGTACCTCAATATCCATACTCGTTTCGCACCAAACACGTTTCATATATAATACGAGGATACGTACCGGTCAGGACAAGCCAATCCATTCATAAATATTACTTGAAGAAAAAGTTTATTTTCAACGATAAAACAAATGAAAAATGCTTCATTAATGAAAAACAGAGAAAATAGGTAGGTTAATTGAGTCCAATTAGTTGAAAGATGAGATATTGCACTTATTTAACTAACAAGGGGCTTGTTATAGTGGTAATCCCACTAGTTTTGAGCCTGTAGCTCACATGTTCAAATCTTTAAAATAGTACCTAATCATAAAAAAACAAATCTATGACTATATCACTCTTATTTAAAGTATCCATGCATAAAAATATGAGTCAAGATAAGTAAAATAGGAGGGGAAAAAAACAGATATCGACACAAATCAATATGTCGTTTGCTTCAAGAATTTGCATCATGGATTTGGTACCAAAAAACCAACCATCATGGATTTACACACAATCCGTTGTTTGCTTTGTCAAAAAATGTTTAGATAAATCTGTGGGCCCCACGGATTTGAGTTTTTTTTAGCTCCAAATCCATGGGCCCCACGGTTTTATAAATCTCACCTCATACCCTGGGATTTGGAGACAAGTTGAAAAACCATGCCCACCTCATCAAATCCATGATAAAAATAGCTCAACAAACAAAGGATTTCCTCAAATCCAAAATGCCCAAAATCCCTAACAAATCCCAAGGTTTTTAATTAGCAAATCCATGACAAAACCCTCGTTATAAAATCCTTGAAGCAAACGACCCCATAGAACTAGTTAAGAACAACGCAGGGGTAGAGCGAAAGTAATAACAATACCAGAAGTTACAACAAATTTGAAAAATGAGAGTAGTTGATAATGCTTTATACCTCATTCATTCTCAGGTAGCTCTCACTATATTCAAGTCTTGACAATTTAAAATTTTGGTATTATTACAAGGACAAAAGAATTATACACATGTTAACATAACCATTGACACATATATACAAACGTATGATTGATATATAAGCACATATATCACACGTTTACATATCCGGCCATCTCCCAGCCAAACAATATTGAATTGAATAATAATCTCATTCCACAGCTCTATTATTAATAAATCAATGGTTCAAAAAACTGTTGAGCGCCTTCAACCTCTTGCCGTAAAACACCCTGGTCCGATTATACAGCAGGAACGCCAGCACGACGCCGAAGCACGACAGCTGGCCCCACACGAGGAAAGTGCGGCGGTAGCAGCTCATCCCCATGCACTTGGACTCGCCGGCGAGGGTCTCGCTCTCGTACACCTGCGCCGCGAGGTAGCCGAAGCAGAAGGATCCCACGGGGATGTTGGCGACGACGACGTTGTGGTTGACGGCGAAGTTCCGGGACCCGAAGAGCTCCGACGTGATGGAGACGGCGATGGAGGTGATGGCCCCCGTGCAGATTCCGATCACGGCCGTGCTCGTGTAGAGCGCCGCGTGGGATGAGTTGAGGAGGAGGAAGAGGGCGGCGGTGATCGGCGCCGTGAGGAGGAGGAGCAGGGCTGGTCGCGGCGGCAGGTACTTGCTCCTGATAGATAAAACCACAAAAACAACCGAGATATTTAGACCAAATTAAATATAATCATTTTGAAAATTTTGGGATTGTAATATTGTAGGGTGCCGTTCGCATCGTAAATCGTTAAGAATGGTATGGTCTAATCCGGTTTATATTTGGTATGTATTGTATTATAGAACGTATTACCAAATGGTGGACCGCCATTCCACTTTTTCGATTCATGTTAGGGCTCATTCGATCACTCTTCCAAGCTCTCAACGAGACTCAAGTCTCATACCCTAATTTTGCATCTCGTCCGCTCATTCATTCACAAACCACAATACGACAAATAATAAAGACGGTATCATATCTCCATATGAAATTACGTCGATTACTGTTAATCACGTTATGGGCAGGTTATAGGTTGCTCTGAATTTGTGTTTGTGTCATATACGTGGATTTATGCATGGTAACATATGCATGTAGGAATTTATACGTTTTAATTAAGAGACAAAACAAAAAATTTCTTCGTCTATGATTAAATTTTTTCGTTTGGTTGAGTAAACAAATTGTTATTTTTTTTGCTGACTGTATACACTCCAACGTCTCGATGGAGCTGGATCATAGACCATATATTGCTCTTTGATTTACGGTTGACAGAGATAGGACAAACGACAGGACTTGAATGTATATCACAGATTTAGCAGTCAAATTAGTCAAATTAGGGTTAGCTATCATGCATGCTTGCCAAATCTTGTTATTTTCCCGACTCACCCAGCAGAGGAATATATCAACGGCGGCATCATCGAATTCGTTACCTGGAGAAGAAGTAGTCGAGCAAAGAGGGAAGCAGGCGGCCGAAGAACGTGAACGACGACGACAACGAAACCAAGCTCGACGTCTGATAACACCTCCGCGACTCGGCGATCTGCCCCAAGTTATTAAGATACACAATCCCTATCGTCGGCCCCAAGAAATACACGAAAACGTACAGCCAGAACTCCGTCCTCTGCACCATCTCCTTCACCCCAACCTCCTCCTTCACCAGCAACAACGGCCCACCTCCTCCACCTTCCTCATGATCGACTCCTTTCCCCTCCACCTTCGACGTCACAACAACACTCTCGCCGCCGCCGTTCATCTTCACCTCCTCCAGATCCACATCGTAACCACCGGACGACGACTGAAACCATGCCACGAACTTACCTTTCAAGTAAACCGTAGCTGGCACCGCCAGCGGTGCCAGCAGGAGCCCGAACGTGAACACCATCCCGCTGTACCTGAACAGGCTCCACAGCCTGGCGCTCACGCTGCTCAGCACCGCGTACACTCCGGTCACCGTCGTGATAACGAACAACAACAGGAACCCGTTACGACGACACCGTTGCACCACCTCGCCACCACTCCCGGCCTTCCCCGAGGGCGGAGGAGAAGAGGAGGAGGCCGAGAAGTCGCTCGCCATGAGGACGAGCGACAGCGCGGAGACGAGGAGAGGGAAGAGGGCGTCGAGGAGGAGGTACGACCTGTCGGCGGCCGAGGACCACGAGGCGAAGAGCTCGTCGACTACCACGGCGTAGATCTTCATGGTGAGACCCTGGTAGCTGGTGGTGATCCCCACAGCAACCTGTGTTAGAAACCGAACAGGAAAAAAAAAGTAGGTTATATATAGCATTATTTTTTATTTTTCATATTTGGAAGAAAAAATACCGAAAAATTAAGTCAAAATAGTTTTTCAAAACTATTCATTCTCAAGACGACCTGCCAATGTAGTTAAAAGGCGTGTTTGTTTCACGTAGAAGCGTAAAATCGTAGATTTTTAAGAACATTTTTAACTACATTATTAGCTATAAAAACTGCGATTCTTCACGTAGAAGCGTTTCGATGAATTAGAAACGTAAAGTTCTGCGATTTGGACTACCTGCTGGTCAAGGGGAAAGTTGCGGGTGACGACGATATAGCAGACGGTGTTGACCCAACAGATGCTGTTCCCGGCCAAGGTGTTGAGGAGGAACATGACGGGGTAGGAGCGGAGAAACGACGTCGTTTTGGATGGGGAAGCGGCGGTGGTGGCGTTGGCGACGGAGAGGAACTGCAAGCCGTAGCTGACGAAGCCGAGGGAGGAGCCGATCATGAGGACGAGCCAGAGCGGGATGTGAGCCGCGGCTACACCGGAGACCCAGCCGAAGAGCTTGCCGGCGTCGGAGGCGAAGGCGAGGGAGTTGAGCTGGAGCTGGGAGAGGGAGAGGTACTGCTTGAGCTGAGAGGAGTAGGCGGCGAAGTTGGTGTTGGTTCCGATCACGGCCTGGAGCCAGATCACGGCCACCAGGCTCAGCCATGGAAGTGGGTTCGAGCTGCTCATTCTTTTGTGTTTTTTTTCTTTTTCTTTCTGTTTCTGGGATCGTGGGAGAGAATGGTTACGTTATTGGGAAAGGAAGTAGTGTATTTGAATGGCGTAGGGGAATCTAATGAGACAAGGGTAGATTCCACCGTTGACAGGAAGAGGCGATGTTTTGCATGTGTGTGCCGGTTTGACTCTTGCTTTAATATTTGTTCTCCAATAAGTTGGGATTTGGGAATAATATACCAAGGTTTGTCTTTGATATGAGAATGGCGACATGAGGAATGGGATGAATCAAATATATGCGGCCTGGCGGTTAAGCGGGTGGATGTTTGGCTAATTACTAATTAGACTTCTTTAATTAATGCGTTGGACAAATGGGGAAACATGATTATAGTAATCTGTGTTCACTTTGCTCTCATGACCTCATTATTAGCAGATCCTTTCGGCTGCAACAAATAAATAAATGATATTTACAGATCCTCTCGAAAGATGCTTAATTAATTAACTACGCTAAAATGATACAGGTCGTTGATGAAGAATACGAGGAATGAATTATGTAATTAAGCTATTAATCCAAGCATTTATTCACCATTGGGTTCTTACAACTGAAAGAGTAATTTGCTGGTGGAGTTTGGGTTAGGGACTTAACCTTATCAAATCCTATTGGAGAGGGATTCGTCCCAAATTCAGTGTTTGTACGAAAGAGATGGAGGTACCGGATTCATGGGACACGTATATTTGAAAATCTTTTTCCGGTCCAAATCGATGGACTCTATGAATTCGAAAATTCGAATGGGTGGATTATGATTTGATCCTATCACCCAAATCCTTATGTTCAATGGCTAAACTATCATAATGAGTGTTATTTAATCTTAATTTGCCCTCATTTATGAATTTCTCTATACTCCTCGAGCGACCAAACTATCCTTCCAAGCTTTTTGCGCTTACTTATTCAATCAACTGATCTTCGACAATAATAAATAGTAAACACAATCTCGTCCCTATTTTAAGAAATAAATGTGACCAATCATACCAACTTAACCATTTTAGGCTTACCCATGTATCCTTTCCCATCCATGAGTAGTGGAATGAACAAATCCTAAGCTAAACTCCAACCAAGGCTCACATTTCCTTATCCCTAATTGCTCTTCTTGAAAGATAGAGAGCTATTCAGCCCAATAACGAAGTAATCTTAGGATCCAAGTAACAAGGCCGATACTACGGTGCCGCTCCAAAAACTGCGGCACCGGTGACGCTAAATATGATTGGGCCACGTGGAGGTGATGTGGCATGAGTTGGCTTTCATTGACCCAGGCCCAAAGTCTGTGAGTGCTGAGTACTAGAACCAAACTGCATTGCCCACACTAACGGAGACCCTTCTTCGTCCAACCCAAACGCCAAAATGTTTTAATTAGGTTATTTTTTGCAAGCTCCAGAAAACAGCGGTCAATGGCGGAAGGAACCGGAAGGTAGTTCCGCAAACTCCACCAGCGGTCACTCCAGACGGTGCCAAGTGAGAGAAGGGGAGGACCGCGGCGGTCACTGCAGAATCAATAGGGTCACTTGTTCTTGGTCGATCTCATCTCCAGGGTCAACCTTACCCTTCGATTCCAGATCGGAGGCGAAGGAACATGTATCTGCGCCGCCTGTGTCAAAATCGAAAACCGCCAACACCGATGCAATTTCTGGAACAGCCTACCCGATTCAACTCCACTAAGATCCGTCACCTGCTCCGTCGTCATCGAAATCTCATCTTCCCCTCATTTTGACCCTAATCGAGGTCTTCGATCCAAGATCCTCTTCTGCATCTTTTTATCTGTTCGTTTCTTGATGGAGTCGTATTGCCCAGTCCAAGGTTCTATCTCATTGTATGTTATCACGATAGGATTTGGAGAATTTTGCATCCGTACTTCAAACATTAGGAGTAGGGTTCAATTCCCATTTAGGGTTCTCATTAGTTTCTGCTTAGTGGGAAAAAGTTTAATGTTTGAATGATTTGGGAGCAACCGCCGGTGAAGGAAGCGTCTCTCACTTCTCTGACCTGGACTCGTTTGCCTTTTGGCGGAGGCGCTTTTCGATGGTGTCAGAGGCCTACGAATATATAGATTTCTTCGCCTCTGAACAAGTAGCTGGAGTGTTTTGGAGATGGGATCGGCCATGAACAAGTCACCGGAGTGATTTTGGAGAGATTCAGGAGAAGGATATCGATAAACTCCCTTCTGGTTCGTCGGCCATCATCCCTTGTTTCTCTGTTTTCTGAATCTTCCTTTAAACAAAGTAACAAAATAATTACATTTTTAATCAATAAAAATAAAGATTGTTTGGCAAAAAAAAGGAGGAATCGTTTGGGTTTGACAGAGAAGGAGTCTCCGTTTGAATGTGAGTGAGGGACGGGTTGGTTATGGTTAGTAGTATACTCATGGGTTTTGGTTTTGAATTAAATCAATTAAGTGACTGCCACATAAGCTCCACGTGGCCCAATCAAATGTAGCGTCACCGGTGCCTCAGTTTTTAGAGCGGCACCGTAGTATTGGCCAAGTAACAAACTTGACAGCCAGCCCAAGCGATTGTCCAACCATCCAGGAAAGCCCAAATCATAATCCAACCAAGGCCCAAACGAAAAATAAAAATAAAATGAAGCCAAAAATGAAAATGGAAAAATATCTTGAATTTCGTCCAGGTTCACTGAATTCATTCCAACGAACCCCTTCTCCTCCTTCCTGGATTCTCCGTCAACCATCTCTTACGCTAAGCCTAGCATACCATTCCACCCCAAACCCCAATTCCCCTCTTCCTGCTCTGCTCTTTGGTCGGACTTCTCGCCGTTCCTTTTCTTCAGTCGCCGGTCCGACCATCTTCTATGCCACCATCCTCTCCACCTCTCTGCTGCTTCACATCTCTCGATCTCTCTCCCTGCTCCTGCTCCTGTTTTGACAGCCGCTACTGCTGTTGTTGTTGTTGATGATGGAATCCAACTTGTCTCTGGGCTTGGTCCCCAGCGTCTCCCCTGCTGCTACCCACCGCTCCCAGATTTCCGACGGTTCCATCTCGCTCCGTGAGACCTCTTCCGCCTCTTCGGCCGTCTCCGTCCATCCGTCGTCCACGTCGTCGCTCCCGCTCCGGCTGCTGGAGTCCATCAACGAGAATTACCCCCGCGGCGGTGGTCTCCTCCACCAGAACGGTTCCGCCGTGGAGCTGAATAGCGACCCGGGGGACGAGGAGGACGAGAGGGAGTTTCGAATTCTAGGTCATTCGATGTGCTTCAAGCGGCGCCGCTCCGATTCCGAAATTCAGTGCAGTCCTGGAAAGAGGGTAGCCGTGGTGGCGGCGAGCGAATCGGATGTTCAGGAGCGGCGGAACTCGGTGAAGGCTTGGGGAAACCAGTCGATTAGCGAGGCAGATCCGGAGCTGTTCGAGATTATTGGGAAGGAGAAAGAGAGGCAGTTCAAAGGGATTGAGCTGATCGCGTCGGAGAATTTCGTGTGTAGAGCTGTGATGGAAGCGCTCGGGAGTCATCTGACCAACAAGTACTCGGAAGGGATGCCGGGGGCGCGTTACTATGGTGGGAATCAGTACATTGACGAGATTGAAACCCTGTGTTGCAAGCGGGCGCTTGATGCTTTCGGCTTGGATTCGGAAAATTGGGGTGTTAATGTCCAGCCATACTCTTGTACTTCGGCTAATTTCGCTGTGTATACAGGGTTGTTGTTGCCTGGAGACAGAATCATGGGTCTGGACACCCCTTCTGGAGGTAATACTAGCCATGGTTGTTATATGCCGAGTGGTAGGAAAGTGTCTGGTGCCTCCATTTTCTTCGAGAGTTTGTCGTATAAGGTGAACCCACAAACTGGTTACGTTGATTTCGATAAGCTGGAAGAAAGGGCGCTTGATTTCAGGCCCAAGATTCTCATATGTGGTGGAAGCTCGTACCCCAGGGAGTGGGATTATGCAAGGTTCAGGCAGATTGCGGATAAGTGTGGTGCTGTTCTTTTGTGTGACATGGCTCAAATTAGCGGCCTTGTTGCGAGTAAGGTGTGGACTATGATTCTCTGTGCTTGCTTGAGTGTTGTCTTTCTTCTTTTGTTAGTTACTGTTTGTGATCCAATTTTGCTAGCAAAGTAATTCGTTCATTTTGGTTAGATGAGAACACACACTGCATGGAAAGATTTTGTCATGAATGTGGTTTGGAATTGATTGCTTGAAGAGGCTGTGCTATGCCACTCACTATGTTGTGTGTTTCATTCAGGAATGTGTCAATCCTTTTGATTACTGTGATATTGTTACCTCAACAACTCATAAAAGCTTGCGTGGACCAAGGGGAGGCATAATTTTCTATAGGAAGGGTGCGAAGCCGAGGAAAAGAGGAATGCTTTTAAGCCAGGGCAATGAAAGTGAGCAGTATGATTTCGAGGAGAAGATCAACTTTGCTGTATTTCCATCATTGCAAGGTGGACCTCACAACAACCACATAGCCGCTCTTGCCATCGCCTTAAAGCAAGTTGCTACTCCTGAATACAAGGCGTATATGCATCAGGTGAAGCGTAATTCACAGGCTTTAGCCAATGCATTGTTGAGAAGAAGATGCCGTCTGGTAACTGGAGGCACGGACAACCATCTGTTACTTTGGGATCTGAGGCCACTGGGACTAACAGGTATAAGTTCTCTCCAATGGATGTTGTGATTCCTGTTTATTATTTTGGATTTGTGCTTTTTGATGAAGTTTGTTAATTACCAAATTCGTTGTGCTCCACTTTAGCATATATCCATTAGATTGTAGTGTCCAGTTTGTATTTGTGTTTCTGTCATTAAGAAGTGTGCTGGAGTTGGATATTGCTGATAACTGTGAGTGGATTGGAGAGTAATGCGATGATATTACTTGTGCCTACCCAGACTCTCTTGAATGACCACCAAACTTCTCTGTTTCTCTCATTAGTAAGCTAACATCTCTGGCACTGATCAATCTCCTTCAGTTTTGGTGTATGGCTAACGGTTACTTATTATCGCTTGGTTACAGGTAAAACATATGAGAAGGTCTGCGAGATGTGCCACATTACTGTGAATAAAATTGCAATCTTTGGTGATAATGGCACCATTACTCCTGGTGGCGTAAGGATTGGTGAGTTATTTCCTCATTTTCCCTGCCCTTTCTTCCACACGTTGTTATCTTTTAGGCAGTGGTTTGATCAGCTAATCAAATTTTTACTTGGTTACTATCGTTTAGGTACACCTGCTATGACATCTAGAGGTTGCCTGGAACCAGACTTTGAGACGATGGCTGATTTTCTACTGAGGGTTGCACAGATCGCGAGCATGTTACAGCGTGAACATGGCAAGTCCCCAAAGGCTTTCCTGGAAGCTCTGCAGAGCAGCAAGGACCTTGCCGAGGTCCGGAACCAAGTCGAGAGCTTTGCAACTCAGTTTGCTTTGCCCGGTTTAGATGTGTGAATGTGAAGAAATTATGATGCGTCTCTGAAGTCTGAACTGCTACAAAGCATCATCAACCATAAATCTGGTAACGCCTGGCCTGTACTCTTCTGCAGCTCTTCGGCCAGCATCTTGAAGCCACATTGCGGATTTCACTGCTCGTTTGAACCCCCCCGAGTGAGCATTATTCACATTCATAACGCAGTTATTGTTGCTTCATTTCTCTTGGTGTTGAGGGTTTTGATCTGTTGGGTGGTGTCAATAGGTTTCTGTTAAGTCTCTGGTAAGTGCAGTATACTCAAAATTGATTGTAGATAGAAATTTTGGTATAAAGATGTGAAAACAGAAGGATTTATTTAGTGAAAGGCGGGATCCTTGATCAGGTGGCAAGGACGGATATCAGTTTACTTGGGAAAGAGGTAACGCAGGAGAACGAAATCCACCTCATTTAATTAGCTCTCAATCATCGTCACTCTCAGCTTCATTGCTCTATGGTGCGTCGTTTGTTGGTAATCGATATGAACTCTATAAGCGTCACATCTTCTTCTGATTCGATTTCTCGTCCTAAGTCGGTCAAAGGGAAACAGATGTTAAAACAAGGAGGAAGTAATAGCAACAAAGTTTTGAAGATGCTAATGATGAGTGAGGGGCTCTAAGGGGGAAAAAGAGTGCTAGGGCAACAGTTGGAAAAGAACTCAATAGGGAATCTTGATGATGGCCACATTGTCCTCCCAAAGCTCTCTTCTCTCTTGTCCCAGTAGGCAGTAGTAGTGGTTCTTCTCCTTCTTCCATCATTATAACAACAACAACAATAATAGCATTTCGCAAATAAAATGATTAGCCATTATTAACTTCCTTCTCTTATATACTAGTCAAAGAATCTTCCTATGGTGGCATGAGATCTCTTACAAGAGCACGACCTTGGCCTTGCAATTCCAGTTTGCCAGGTGCTTAGGTGAAGTTCGATCATATCGTATAAACATTTGAATGATGAAGTACGACGGTAACTTTCGTTATAAAAGTCGTCACCTTACCATCCAAAATGTTAATAATTCATTGTTTCTTTTCAGTTTGTTCCTTTTTTTTTCTTTTTCTTTTTTAAGCTTCACAAAAAAGGCAAAAGGGAGGAGAAAAGAAGTAGGGTAGCTACTTAGCTAGCAAACAACAACTATGAACGAGTAGCTTGATCTTTTAAGCTTTGAATTAACAACTTTTGCAATGTGTGGGTATTTTTGAGCCCTCCCCCTTTTTACTTCTGATTTGCTTCTTTTTTGGTTCGAGGATCCTGGTGGAGGCTGCTAGCTGTTCCTATCCAGCAACCACCATGTAATTATAGAGTCAAAAGAAAGAGGGGAAAAAGGAAGGATTTTAATATGAAGGGAACTAAGTGCCCTAGCTAGTTAGATTGTAACTACTAGCAGAAAGCTGAGGGAGCTAGCATGGTCCTAGCTAAGAGAGGGAACACCTAGCAGATCAGGTGATCTAATGGAAGATTAATAGGTATTTTGAAGTCGGGGAGAGAAGAGAGTTCCCGAATTTTAATTACTTGTCCGCGCGCATAAGAATTGTTGTTTACACACGTCACTGTGTCTAGAGCGAAGGAGTCATCCGTGCTGAAGTGGTAGATCTGATGCGGTACCATCCTGTAGGCTGTAGCCATCGTGGATGTGAAGTTGGATTAATTTGTTGCTAGGTTTTTAGACATTCAACTAACGCGCTCTTCGGATCGATTACTTCTATTATTTCGCTTTTTATGCATTATTTTCAAATATTGATAATTTTTACTACACATTTCCGCCGCTCGTAGTGGATTTATAAACTCGATGCTTGATTTTTAGTCGGCCAGACACTTACTTAACAAATTCATGATATATGATTTTTGACCCATATCCAGTCCCCTCGTATACCCCCTTCACACTCTTATTTTTAGACATCATCATCACCATCATCACAATGGAGTATTCGTGAGCCGATCTCAACATCTTTGGTGATTGAATCCCATGCATTCAGTCCAATATCCCGACCTGCTACGAATTTAGTTTTTCAACTCGCATTTCTAAACACTCAAATACTCGATATTTTAACACCCATGTTGCTCCTTTTTTTTTTCCACATTTGATGTCTACATTCGAAGCCTCAAATCCTAGACAAACACAAACTATGATGTTCAAGCCAATTTCTTTCTTTCCCCCTTTTTTTTGGGGTTCAATGTATCAATCATAATGTATAATAATAATATATATTCATTCCTTTAGTAGTGAGTAGTAGTGGAGTATAATCATAGTACCTACTGACTATTGGTGAGAAAAGGGCAACCTTCCCATGCAATCGTTTTGAGGCTGTCTCGGAGATGGGTGACACAGATTTCTCTTTTTTTCCTTCAGAATAACCCAACCAACCAACCAAACAAACTTTCTTTTGCTGCTTCTGGTTTCAGTCCCCATTTGCCTTTCACTTTCCTCCATATTTGCTGCTTTCAACAACAGAAAGATCTAAAGGGGAAGAAGAAGAAGGCCTGGTTTTGTGGACATGGTTTCAGGTCTTCATCCACTGGCTTCTACGTATCACCCAACCCTTCATGATTGCATTGTTTCGTTATTTGGATGTCAATTTTCTAGTTTTGTGGATGACAGAAAAAAAATTCTGATCCATTAACATATGAGGATAGGTCTATATATAATACACCCGTCATTTATGGGTGCACACAACATATGTCATATTGTCGTGTTGTATATGATTAACAAAGAGTTTATTGTAGCGAGTTCTCTGAAATTACGTTAGAGGAATAGCATTGTAAAAAAAAAAAGAACACCGTAAGGGAAATAATTATTCAGAATAACTCGGAAATACCATATTCATAAAAAAATGCATCATTGTATACTAAAATACCACAAATATGAAATAATGCATCCAAATGAAAAATCCATATAAATCTTGACAAATAAGTTGTACATTCTACATTAAAACATTTGTAAACATCCACAAAATGGAACTTAAAATTTACAAATTGGAAATCAAAATTTGTAAATGGTATTTTTTAATTATGTAAGAACTAAATTAATATATTATACACTCATTACCAATGGCAATTATAACATCGTATTCGAAGTTGAAATTTCTTTTGGCTTCTATCTCTTAAATCACACTAGACTCTTATATGGCTAGCTGGCAAAGAATAATAATAATCATGTTAATGCAGCCTTCTTTGTTTTTTGAAATTATGTTAATGCAGCTTTACCTTTGTTTCCTTTTCTCCCGATATTTATTGGGTTCTCTGTGAAAGAATTAATGATGAAAATTATTTGGTTTTCTTGAGCTGTAGCCTAGCTAGCTAGCTTGCCCCAGAGCAATCATTTTCATGAGTAATGATATTGATATCCTTTCCTTTGTTCTTGACAGTAGAATGAATGCCATCCTTATATATCAAGCGCCAACTAATTCAATAGAAATATCGTACATATGAGTGAGCGATATAAAAAAGAACGCAAAATTTTCAAACTCCAATTCCACAATGTACGAATTCTATCTCATTTTCTAAGAATTTGTTTTGTTTTGGACGCGTATCGCTAGATCGCGACTATAACATTGTATCGGAGTTTGATTTTCACCTTATTACAATTGGTTTGAATCGGACGGGTATAGTCGACAAATAATTTCTATTATCATGCCCAAGTTTGGTTTTATTATCAATAACGCCACATTCTATATAGTGCTTAGTGCTTACGCATGGTTGCATACCACTACTCACTCCTAATGAAACCAAAACGTTACTTTCCCTATAGAAAACAACCATGAAAATATAAAATTTAGTTAACAACCCGTAAAAGAAGGAAAATGTGTTACAAAATGGCAAATATATAGCAATAAAAACTGGTTCTTGGTTCGATATTTTTTTCTAAGATAATTCCTTGATTTTGCCTTGGGGATTATACGGATACCCAAATTATACTAGATCATGTGTTGTACTTTCATAAACGTTCTAAGTTTACAACATCGTTCCTTTAGACCAGAGAAATCACCTTTAATCAAGGAAAATTTAGACCTTTTGAACTCCGAGCTTATACAAGTTATAGCTCCATATTCAACTTGATATAACCACAATTCATATCACTACTTCGTAAATGCATATATATCATATATTCCAATCGATCCGCAATCAACATTTCAGTCCACATCAAAGAAACATTGCATTCTATATTCACTTAAATAGTTGTGCTTAGTGCTCACGCATGGTTGCATACCACTACTCCCTTACTAATGCCACCAAAATGTTACTTTCCCTATAGAAAACGACCGTGAACACATCAAACTTAACTAGTTAACAACTCTTAAAAGAGAAAAAAAGAGGAAAATGTGTTACAAAATGGCAAATATATAGCAATAAATCTCTCTCTCTCTCCTTTTTTTTTTTGGGTTCCAAATTTTCATTATCTTCTAGGCTAACTAGCTACCCACTATGGCTACACATGGGTCCCCTAATTATAACTATTGGAAAAAGAGCAATAACTAGTAGCTATTAGAAAGTAGAAAGTCGAACACAACAAACTACATCGATCGATCAATAGGTACAACAACACCAAATCAAAAAACAAAACAAAAACCCTACCTATGGCTGCAAATCTCCAAAAGCTTCTTCCTTCCTTCAACTATTTCATCAAAGAAATCATCAAGCCCACCAATCATGGCCTCCACCCCACTCCTCAGCTTCCCAAAACTCCTCTCCACTTTCTCCACTTTCCCTCCAACAATCCCACCAACGTCCACTCCTTCTTCTTCCGTCAATGGCGATGATGACTCCACCACCCTCTCGAGCTCCACTTTAAGCTCCCCCAATGCCTCCTTTGCCTCCCCAAACTCCTTCATCACGATCCCACCATTACCATTCAAATTCCCATTCATCATCATCATCATCCCATCTCCAACCCTTTGATGCAGCCTGGCCATCGCTCCCACGAGGCTGGACGACGAGGCGGTCGAGTAGCCTTCTTCGTCCTGATCGAGGTCGAAGAAGCTGCTCGACGAGTACTCGGGCCACGAGTAGTACACCAATCCGCCGAACAGGATCGCCAGCAGCAACGACGTCGCTCTCCTCATCGCGTACAGGACTCCTCGAAACCCGCTGAACGCGTTGCTCATCCTCGTCGACTCCATCCTCATCCGTGACTGTTGATGGTTGTAGCGGTGATGATGGTGGTGGTGGTGTCGGTCCACGTTGATCGTCAGCGCTCTGATCCTCGTCTCGAGCAGGCTCCTGTTGTCCTCCTCCAGCCCCGCCATCTGCCTCTGGCACCCTACGATCGCCCGGATCACCTACAGGCAAAAAAAAAAAAGATCTCGTGTTCAAATTCTCACGTGACGCAGAGTAATACTAGTAGAGAAAAAAACAAATACGCCCGAACTTTATGAATTCGTAACACAGCTATAGCGACCGCTTCTCCCATTGGTTGCCAATAAGTATTAATGACCAGTTCCGTACTTTTCCCCGGTTGCGAAAAAAGATGCAAACTTCAGGCTTTTCGTAACGGAGCGATAACGACGGAAAACGTTTTGATTGCGAAAAAGTATTAATGACGAGTTTCGAACTTTTAGCGACGGGTTTGTTGGTTGCGAAAAAAAAAGGTTGTGTTTTTTTTTTACCTGACGGGAGATCTGGGGGTTGAAGGAGGCGGCGACGTTGAGGCCGGAGGTGTAGAAGGGCTCGATCCCCGAGAGGCCGGACTTGATGATGTGGCAGGCTTCCCAGAGGCGGGAGCTCTCGTCCATGTACTCGTCGAGCCACTTGTCGCCGACGGGGAGGTGGAGCTTCTGGACAAGGATGGTGAGCTGCGTGTGGAAGGATTGGAGGCAGGAGAGAACTTTCTGGAGGAACTGAGCTGATGTCAGCACCGGCGCCGCCGGCGACGAGTTGGCGATCAGGGTTTGGTCTAGGTCGTTGAGGCCTCTGGCCATGAAGTTGTAGAAGCCGTTGACGGAAGTGGCCGTTGCCCGCGACGGATCCATTGTCGTTGACCGGCCACGGCGGTTTTGGAGGTGGAAAGGAAAGAAGAGAGGGGATTGATCGGAGGAAGAACCGGCCGGCGACGAGGAGGAGGAAGACGACTATGTAGTGTGTGGGTGGGAAGGAGGAGGAGGAAAAAAGGTGATGGAGATTGATGTGGTATTTATATGGGCGGACTATTGATTTTACATGCGAAACTCTCAATAAGGGGAGCAAATATCTAACTTAAAATATCCCAATCGGAAAAAGCTGTTTGTGAAATCGTATTGTAACTGGGTTCCTATCTGTCATAGTTTGAACTGGTAGGCGATTTTTAGAGGTATGGAATGGTTGAATTGTGATTTCAGCATTAGGTTTTTATCGCTAATTTTCCTTTTAGTGTAATTTTTCAGTATAATCTTACAATTCTTGGTTTTTTTACAAGTCGTACCTTTTTATAGGGTCGACATTTTCTATTATTCGTATCTCATAGAGAATTTGTAATTTTTTTTTTCAAACAATGATTCTTTGTTGTTTGATAAGAAAAGAAAATAAAGGAGAGGAGAAGAAGAACAATCATTCTTTTGCAGTTGTGCTCATTGAATTATAAATTGTCAGCCGTAATCATTAACAATTGGACACCTTTTCTTAAAGCAATTGCAAACGAAAATAATTAATAAATCTTTATTTCAAGACTCAATAAAAAACATATGCATAAGATTAAGAGGTATATATTCTAGACATATTCGCTACCCTAAACTTGCTTTGTACAAGATAAAGTAAATAAATAAAAACTCTGTACAATCAAATTACATTAATAAATGATAAAGAAGGTTCTTCTTATTGTATTATTCGTTGATCTGATTTGATTCGTTGTTTTTTGTTGTACTCGATCATATGATAATTTGAGTATATGTGTTTACGTCGATACTACGAATTCGAAATCCTTTTAATTAGTGATGGAAAACTTTTAGTTGTTTCTCAAGAGATGTGATTATGTGTGTAGTGGGGAAAAGGGAAAGGGTTGAGGAGAGGAGAGGAGGTTTGTTGGGTGCAATAATGGGTGTCTCCTATAGAGTGGAGGGGATGATTAGGAATCTTCTGTTATCATTGCGTAATGGGCAGGCAAATCCAGCACTCACTTTTCCCCTCCTACATAATTAAATTAATTTGAATTAGCCAAAGTTAATCATGGTTATTGAGCCTTTAAACTACATCAACTTCCATTTATAACCTGCATTTGACCCCATAATTTCCCAATTCTGCCCATCCATTCCTTCGCCAGATTGACATACACGCTGACCTCACACCTCAAATCTTGCAAATGGCCACCCTGCCCAGTCTCAAAGGCCGTTGCTGGTTCAGTGGTGTAGCTGAGATTTCGTTTCAACATTTGAGACCAACAGGCTCATAAGTGATAGATGACTTGACCACGAAATACGATTGTTGAATCTTCGATTTCTCATCATTATCAGTCACAATCGTATATTGATAGATGTCAATCTTGTATATATAGGTGTTTCCCAACCTGATAAAGAACCTTATAGTTGTTGTCGCGTATGGTCCATGTATCAATCCTTGTCACGTTATGAATCTTTTGTTAGATTGGAAAACTATGATTTGAGAGTCTATGTTATCGGAGTCATGAACGATATCATATTACTGCTTGATACGTATATGGAAATTGACAGCCGAATGTGTAGGAAATGTGGGTTTAGGAATATTTTTCTTTTAAAAGGAAGGTTTAGGGATAGTTCACTTATGCATTTTGTTTTGTGGGTTGGTTCCAACGCTAAAGTGAATTTTGATGTTTTTGATGTATCAATATGATAGGTCAAAGTTGCCTGTATTTGGATGGAGATGAATTAAAATGACAACTTTTTGTTGCAAAATTCTACACTTATGTGCAGCAATTTTGTATCGTTGCAAAAAATATGCGATCATTTTCCATAATTATCCCAAAAAGTAGCAAACTTTTTTAGTTTAATGCAATATAGAGAACCCTATAATAAGAACTTATTAATTAGCCCCCAACCTTTTGTTATGTTTAAACAAAGACTTCACCATGAGAAACAAGAGTAAACTTTACTAATATTTAAGTATTGGACACAAATTTATTAAATGACTTTTATTTAGTATAAACATTTTCTAGTGGGAACTCCACTTCCCATTATAATAATCACAATATGTCATTTGAAGAAGTAATTTCAAAGCCCAAGAGATATGAGTATGAGTTAATAAGAAGAAAGAAGAAGGTGGGGCAAAAAAGATAGGAAGGAGGAAAAGATAAAAGAAGGTGAAGGAGGGCACTCAATTGGGAATGGGGAACCAAATCAAAATTGAAGAATGTGAAGAGAGAAGGATTGGAGAACAATCTGAGTCAAATTGGTCAAACTTTTACAGCCATAGAAAGCATAATCTAGACATACTCAAGGAGTAATTAGAGCACAAAACAAACATTATAATTAATCAACGAGGCCAATTAAAGAATTGTTCTGAAATTATGTATATCATGTAACAAAAGTTATCCTCTAAGCAACCAATTAGAGAAGTGACCTACCACTCACAAAACCACACTAAACACTTGTATCCATTGACTAGAATGCCTTAATGCTTAGGTTACAGTACAAAACTTGCATCTTTATCTTTCTTATACAAATCATACCAGTCTCTGACATAATTGTTGCAGAGAGATATGATCCGTATCAGGGTGTTAAGACACGAGATTTTGTAGTTCTGAGTTTTGTGGCCTATCATTTCTCTTATCATAATCATACTAAATCAGAGTGTCTTTATTATTTTAACTTAACTAAATCATTCGAAATTGAACAAGCACATGATTAGATATTGAGCACTACACTAGCCCTAAGCTTACATATTTGGCCTATTTGAGCTTCTTTTCATTAGTCACATAAGTTTGAGATGAAACAATTACCACTAACCCTTTCCCAAAGTTGATTGACCTCACCTCAACAATTAAATGTTGGATGATCTTCTATTGCCATTACAACACTTCATGTGTAACATAATTGACCTTTAAATCAAGCACACAACACATCTCTTATATGAAAATTCTAGACAAATAGCTCCATGATATATGGGAACTGGGGTGGTTCCCATTTGGTGACAAATGACAATACATCATCAACCACAGCAGCTTGAATCTTCAACTATGAAAATCTTGTCATTATCTCTAATCACTTCAATACAGTCAATTTCAGAGCCTTCATCATTTGTTACTGCAGCATTTCTTGCATCAAATCCGAATTTTTCCCCTGACGAGATATGAAAAATAGTTTAGGACAGCCCTTTCTGCAACATTCATAGCACTAGGAGATGGTAATGCATACCTGCAATGGTTTTAAGCTTCTCTAATGAACTTGGAAGTCCAATCAACCTTCCAGGCTCCCTGCAACCCTTTTCTTTCCTCGCAACAGGATGGCCTCTATATATGCTCACTCTTGCACAACCAGAAGCACGGATTTCTCGCTGCGAGTTCGACCGATTGTCTCTTTTTCCATGATGCTTCCTGATCAGCTTTTCTTGCTGACCATCTATATCTGTGATTCTGTGACCCGACTCTCGATTTTGCAGCATTCCATCTGCACTCTCTGAAGAGGATTTTATAGTGTTGTTCGGTGAGGACTCGTTAGACACATCAGCACCATTCATCACGAGCAAATCCACCATGTCAGTATGGTTTTCAGCCACAGCTATTTGTGCTGCTGATCTCCCCTGGCGGTCCTTGGAGTCGACATTTAGTCCTTGCTTCAGCAGCTCCTTCATCATGGCGACATCATTTCTCCTTGCTGCGGTGCATAAGAGGTCCCCTGAGGTGTTTGGGTCTGACATGATGGCAAATTGGTACAATATCCTGAAGATGGAAGAGTGTTTTGATGATAGAGCTTCCCAGAGAGCTGTATTGCCATTGATATCTGAGATTGGGAAACAAACACTCCAAAACATGAATCCGAAGAACACAACAGAAGGAGGAGAGCAATTTCCAGGGGACAAGCATACCCTTTTGAGTGATTTGAAGCCTATTTATTGTTCTTACCTCTCAAGTGAATGTTGCATCCATGCCTTAGAAGTACCAAGACACATTCTTCATGCCCTTTTGATGCTGCAATGTGCTGCAAGATTTGCCAAGTATGCAAAGAAGATGTCAACATTACTCAGGGCATGGTAATGTTCCCTCTATCCCCTAACAACCATTTGATTACAAGTAACTAGCTCAATAAAGAAAGATCAGGAGTGACATACCAAAGGAGTTCTGCCTTTGGAGTCGCCAATATCAGGATCAAACCTTGCCTTGAGAAGCTCTTCGAGGAAGGCAGCATTGCCAGTGCTCGCTACACTCAACATATTGAAATCCATGTTCCTATCAACCTCTTCTTCTCCACCCTCAAACAGAAAATCTCCAATCTTCAAATCTCTAATCTTCCTATGATGCTGCAAGGTGATAGCAAACAGAATAATAAACATCCTCCACAAGATGAGAAACTACTGTCACACATCAAAATCTCACATTTTCTCCTATCAGAACTCCAATCTGACCTGGAGAAAGTTCTTGATAATGGCCACATAATCGTCCTGCCTGGAGTGCATTGCTTCGATAAGAGCACTAGTCTTGAGCCTCAAAAGCTGCGTAATAGTCCTCGCCCGAAAAGTGAAGCTCTGAGGCCTGCAACAAAGAGCTCCAACTTCTCCAAACATTTCTCCACATTGCAAACTCCCAACAACCACCTCCTTATCCAGATCGCAATCGATTATCTCCACTTCTCCTGACACAATTATGTACAAATCGTCGGGGGCTTCGTTCTGCATGATCACATCTTCCCTTGGTGGTATATACTCAGCTTTCATCTTTGCCACCTGAAACGAAAAACATAGTTCACTACACCATTTCTCCCCCACACCAAAGACAAAAAAAATTGCCAAGACTAACTTCTGATTACCAAGTGCAAGAGAATCTCTCTGGAAACACCCTTGAACAGATACACTCTCTCAGCAGTGGGCAAGAACAGCCTCTGGCAGATACTCTTACAAATCGATTTGGGCAACTGTTCCATCAGCTGGTGCTGGTTCAAGCTCTCCGCTTTAAACTTCAAGCACATGTAAGCCAATATCTGCTCCTTCAACCTCGGTGGCAGCCGATTCCTGCTCACGAAATTCGATGCCGCCTCAATGCTATTCCTCTGCCCAACCCAACAACACTCAGCAATCAATCAAACAAGCAATACGTCTTATGCTATAATTCTCCATCAAGGGTTTGGTAGAACTACTCACGAATTCCATGGTGCGGCGGGTTCCTTCGACGACGAGATTGGTCATGTTGCCGATGATGTAGGCAGTGAGGCCGAGGTTGAAGAGCATGTAGAGAATGATGAAGATCATCTCCATGGTGTTGACTGCGTGCAGATCTCCATAGCCGACCGTGGTCATGGTGGTGATGGACCAGTACATGGCGGCAATGTATCTCACCCAGACGCTCGTCTCCCTGAAATTTGGGATCAACGATCCAACCCATGTCTTCCCTTGATGCGGGTAGAGGTCTGCTAGCAGGTAGTAGAGGCAGCCAGCAGAATGAACCAGGAAGAGCGTCACTGCCAACAGTCTCGCGCATCGAACCCAGAAGTAGCTGAACCTGATGTCCTTTTCCAGCCTGCCAAGGAAAAGCCCAAGCCCGGCCCGGATAAGCTTTGTTAGCCCAATAGTAGGGTGGTATTCGGTCGGTAACCGGTAAACCGGTTTTCGGTATACCGAGTGTGGGTAAGTGGGAATCGATTACCGATACCGGTTTGTAACCGGTTACCGAATTACCAGTAAACGGTTACAAACCGGTTTTACCGACTTACCGTAAAGAGTAGTTGCGGACGGTTTTTCGGTTCGGTTTACCGGAAAATTACCGAACTGAATTTCTGGGCAATGAAGTGATGTTGAAATATTTTGATTTATCTGAGTTTTTTCTTCATTTTTGTAATTAATAAATTATTATTAACTCTTATTTATAATATTTTTTAGGCCTATACTTACTTACTTCCATTCATGTATGTAATATTTGTGAATAATGAAGTATATGTTATTAGTTAATGCCTTAACTGATCCGGTATCGGTATTACCGAATTACCGTCGGTATTTACCGATACTGGGGCCGGTAAACCGAGCTTCCCCATTTGATCCAGCGTTTACCATAGGTTACCGATTCGGTAAAACGGTAAACCGTTTACCGACTTACCCTACCCAATACATACCGGTCCAGCCCATTAAAATGAATGGACAAGGAGGGAAGAGGGAAAGCATTTATGTACCGAGTGAAGAACTGCTTGACTCGTCTGAGTCGCCAGAATCTGAGCAATCCCAAAAGAGAATAAGAAATGCCCAATTGGGGTTTCCCAGTGAATAAATACCCCAATGAGTCGAAAGGAATCGTGGATGCCACGTCCATTATGAACCACGTCGACAGATACCTGCATAAATATTGTTCTTCATCATTATTTTTTTTTTTGAATCTAATATGGTGTTTTTTAAGGCATGAATTTTCGCGTGTACTGTGTTTTTTTTTTTTTCCATATGTCAAAATGGTCGGAGTAAGTACCTGGTGGCGATCTTACGAGGATCGCGAACGAGGAGCTGGGTCCGGGAGTCGAAGTAGGCGAGGAAGAAAGTCAAGACGATATCAACGGCGAAGAAAAGGTCAACCACCGTGTCGGCGACGTAGAGCCGTTTGCTGGGAGCTGGGGCCGATTTCAGGAACGCGATTTCGAATGGATAGACCCAGGCGACGTACGCGACCAGCAACACCATGAATGTCTCCCAACACCTGCCGTATAGCCATACAACCCACAACACGTCTTGATTAATTCACACTAACATGAAATAACCAAATCGGATCATCGCGTGTTTGCGCTGTTAAATCGAGCGCTTATGTTATTCACAATCGTTAAATCTAGGTGATAGTAATTTCATATAAACTCATCATCATCCCGCCAAAAAAAAAAAAATTGGCGCCTTAAACTCTAATAATCGTAAAAAAGCAATTATCTATGACAGAAGTCGTGAAAATTAAAACACACAATGAGCTATTTGTCTGATAAATTATTATATTAAAATACATGAGTCAGTTATTTGATATATCTAGGCAGATTAATTATTACTAATTACTAGTCACATAATGTGTATACACAAATAATTGATGCATCGTTTTTGGCGACCATAAACTTGGTCGCAAAAAGCTGAATGGTGTTGCAGAAAGCTTCAGCGACCATCTAGCTAGTCGCTAAAAGACTTTCGCGACAGTCTATTTCGTCGCCAAAAATTCGCTCCACTATTTTTTTTTTTTCCCTTTTTAGCATTACAGAATTAGTTTAACAAATTGGAGAAGAGGGTATGAAGAGTCTGTAGAGCAGTAGAGTATTAAGAGAAGTAGCTAGTGATCAGAGCTGCCTATACCTGTATCTGGAATTCATGGGAGAAATGATCCATCCTCTGGAAACCTGAGGGTTCTGGTAAATTTGACCTGAAGCACCAAGTGGTGGAAGAACAATCTTCGACAGCCCCGACAGTGAAATGGACGAGCTCTCACCAAGATCTTCACCCTCTTCTCCCTCTCCTTGTGGTCTTCGTCGCTCTGAATCTCCATGATCTTCATCTTCCAAGCTTCCCCTGTTCTTGATCTTCCTTATTTTCCCATCGTCACCATGATCTTCCTCCATCAAGCTGCTGCTGCTGCTGCTACCACTCTGTTTTTTCTGATCATGATGAGAACCCATGTACGTACGTGCGTATACTAGCTAGTGCTGATGTGGGTTTGATGCGAATCCTCCATCTCCTATCTGCAATTTGTCCACATATAAAAACAGAGCCCAAAAAATAAAACAGAGTGAGGAGAGAAAACAGAGAGGTTAGAGGGAGTTTGTCCTCTTCTTTATTTTGCCTGTCGTTTATGCTCTGTGAGTGTGACATGACTGATATACGGATGGTGGTTGGAGTGGTGGTCCAGTCAGTAAATGAGATGTGTTGTATATTAATGTAGGAGGGATGGAATTTCATCTTCATTTCTCCCCCTCCTCATAATTGGGTGTGATCATGAAACTGAGATCTCAGCTGATTGTTACTGTGTGTGTTTTGGAAGGAAGGGAACAAGAAGAGTGGAAATCAGTAAGACTACAGGCTCCAATGCATTGTTTCAATTACTAATATTGTTGGGAGATGATGAGTCGCGCGTGTTCTGAAGAAGGTGTATTAGATCTAGTCTTGAACCTCTCACAACTCGTGTTAATGGAACCAACTGCTCCTCCACATGGTATCATATTCTTCCTCTGATAAAAGAGGTCTTTCATTCGAATTTCGGTGACCCCCCATTTAAAACACATTGTATTCTCGTATTCTGGACATGTGCAAACAAAAGTCTTTATGGATTGACTGACTTTCATTGTGTTATTCTCGTATTATGGAGATGTGCAAACAAAAGCCTATATGGTTGACTGACTTTCATTTGAACCGATGTGTTAGTAAGTGATATTATTGCTTTTTAACATGGTATCAAAGTCTTTTATTACCGAGAGATACCAACTGGCATCGTGGATGGTAATGAGCAGGGGGAAACCACATGCATTGTCTTTCAAAAGATTAGCTAGCTAGTTTGGCCATCTAATTCATTCATTCATTCATTCCTAGCTATTTTCTAAAAAGAACAACTTTGGATTGGCTTTGAGATCCATGATTATTATTTTTATTTTATAAGGGGATATAGATTTGGTTTTAATTAGATTCAATTTAAGAAATTTGAATATGGGATCTCTAGGTTCAAAATCAATGATATTACCACTCAACCAACCTGTTGTCCGTTTGAGATGCATGATTTGGTCTATAGTCTAGTTGCTCGCTTGAGAATGAGTTCTGATAGATGTGCGGTAAGCTGATCGAACCGAGAAATCGTCATGGGTAAGTAGATATCACACCACGTAATCTGAATTCATGTACGTTCAACGGTTTCTTTTCCACTTAATGAACATTGGATCACTGTTAGATTCATTACCAAAACATTAAAAAAAATCTTTTTTTTTTTTTTGGAAAAAGAGAATAAGCATGTTTGCCGACTCACTCCCCATCAAGCCATCCATATGGAATTTAAAGTGGAATGAATTATTATCACAAAAATGAATGAGGGAATTGATTGAGGAGATTGTGGTGGGAGGATGTGAAAGTTGTTTTCATTTTGGGCCATGCAAATTTGTGTACTACATTGAGCACTCCTTTACTACTTCTTGGGTCAAGGTTAGGAATCAATCAAGAAGGAAAGAAGAAGAAGCCTGGATATGATATGGAGGCCATATCTCCCATGGGACCATACATGTAACTATAATGTCATGTCTTCTTCTGCATCAATGCCTTCACTGTTCACAGCATACCTATCCTTCTCTTTTCACACCCACCTACCTCAATTGCCATTGGGCTATCTCTTGTAAACAAAGGATTTTGGATCATTTGGATTTGGGTCAATGTGCATATATGAAGAAAAATTACACATAAGATACAAAATGGTTGTGCAATTGTCTTTATGCTCATTGAAGTAGATTGGGGTTCTTTGTTATAGCTTTTCTTTTTCAAATAACATTCAGTGTCTTCTTCGTCTGAACTCGTATTTCGGATTTTTCGATAAAAAAAGAAGCGGACAGTTGTTCTACGAGGTTTTATAGGTAGTTTGGCATATGTTATAACGAAAAAGTCAGTGTAGTTTGACAATGTGTTTATAATACAATATGCGGTATATAACTATATCATGGTGACACGATTAATGATTTGTGTCGTGGTGACAGTACAAATGTTATGTTACCGTTGTGGTATATTTACTATCGTTGTATACCAGTTGTTCGTGATTAGCATATGTCTTAAAAGGTGCAAAAAATTCTCGAACTATGCAAAAATGAATACCACTTTGTGGACAATATTAATGTAATTTTCTATGCTGAAATTCTCAAAATTTGAGTTCAAACAAAGTAAATATAGGTCAATTGCTAAAAGTAAGAAATTGTTTTTTTTATAATGGTGATTTTATTAATAAAAGCAAAAAGCAGCGAATTACAAATAAATGAAAAGACAGAGGTTCAAGAGAACTGAACCCAGATCCCTCAAGGAGTACAGAAACAAAAGAAATTGTTAAAAACAATCATTCGAACTCCACCTTCAAAGTGATACAAGGGTTGAGATTGAGATCACACCTCCAAAATCCTATCAACAAAAATTAGACACGACATTACGATTCCATCTTTTCACACAAATATGAGATCACAAATACCCAAAATTCAATCGTACACTTGATCTGAACCTTTGAAAATAAAACTCATTTCCAACCCTTTATTACCATTACTATTTCATACTTCCAACACCATACATTACCACACCAACATAACAATTAAAATGTCTCTCATTAACCTAATCATCACTTTAATTAATCACTCAAATCATCAAATTAATCCTCCTTGTAAATGAAGCTCATATTCCCATTAGCACAAGTATACCCTCCATCAATCACAAGTAGGGGTGTACATGGGTCGGTTGGTTCGAGTTTAAGTATTTTAATCACCCGACCCATGCATTACGGTTTGGGAATTATCAAACCCAAACCCATCCAAAAAAATTTAAACCCTACGGTTTGTTTCTAGTTGGGTTGGGTCGGGTTGACGATATTTTTAAGTAAAAACCCAACCCAACATAAAATATATAATTATTATACACCATAAAAATATGTTATAACTAATTAAAATTTCAAACAAATTGTTTGTGCCACGTACCCTCCGCGCCTCGGATAGATCCCGCGCCTCCTTTAGACCCCTCTGCGTCTTCCCTGCACGTCCGTAACCTGCACACCAAGGCGCCCAGCGAACCCCTAAACTGGGGTTCGTTAGCACTCCGACGCCCAAGTCAGAACGAACCTTCTAGAGAGAGAAGTGAGGTACGAGTTTAGAGAGAAGTTGGGACCTGAGTAAATGAGCTCCACCCACTTCACTATTTATACTCGGGGTAGGGCCGACCAGTGCCCCCCAAATCCGCCCTACGTCATCCCCACATTAAATGCACTGTTCCCTCCTTTCCTCAGGCGCCCTGCCATTCGGACACCTCCCGTGGCTCTGAGGGCGCATGGCCCCACTTCATGTCCCCTCCGTACGTCCCTGGCCGTTACTTCCCTTTTGTCGTCATGCGCCCTGTTTCGGGCCCGGTTCTGCCAGTTGGGCCATGGCCTTTAGCCTTTTTCTCGGCCCAGGCCCACATTCCGGGCCCAAGCTTACTTCCTGGATCCATGCTTGGGCCACTCATTACATGCCCCCCAACAATTGCCCCCCAGTTAGGCGCCTACCTCGAGGTGGGGGCCTAACTATAAATCAGTCGCTCCCCGTGGCGCCTCCCAGTTTCAGTGCGCCCTCTTTGGCACCACAGCTAGGTGCCTTGCCAACGCTCCTCTTCGCCTGGTACGCTTCGGGTTTTTTCCTCCATCCCGCCTACTAAAGCGCTCTTCTCTCTCTTTTCTCTCTCTTTTTTTTTTGTTTTCTTAAAAGCCGACTGTTGGGCTTCCGCCTCGATCACCGGTCCATTCCCTCATCCCCCCCAGGCTGAGGCGATTTCGAACTTTCGAATTTTGAATTTGCCTCAGCCTAGGCGACGGTTCGGCTCCCCTATTCCACTTCCTCTCTCTCCCTTTCGCCTATAAATTGACCCCCACTCTCTCTTCCTTCCTCACTTTGTCAGTTTACTCCTTCTCTCTACTTTCTCTCTCTAGCTCCCGCTGCTCTGCTCCCCGGTGTTCCTCGCGTCTCTCGGCCATATCCCTCGGCCACATTCTTCGGCCATTTGTGCTAGGCGCCTGTCCTCTCTTCACAACTCTTGCAAACCACCGCTCTCGCCTCATGGCCTCCTCAAACCAGCCAGGGTCCCCCAAGGCGGCGCCTACCAACGTTGCGCCTCCCACTGCCGCTCCTGACAATGTGGCGCCTGCCCTCGCAGAGCCTGCGAACGTCGCGCCTTCCCATGCTGCGCCTTCAGCTGCGTCTGCCGCTGCCCGAGGTACCAACACGCCTTACCCTTCTATGAGCGTATTCTAAGGTTTTAGAGCGTTTCGCCCTGCACTGGCTATTTCGTAAGTAGCATCGTTTATCCCCCTCATCTCCCAAGTTCCTTCCGCCTCCTTACATCCTAGCCACCTTCCCCATAAGCACCTCTCTTGACCTCCTTTTCTTCTTACATAGGCACCAGCGCGCCTCGCGAGTTTGGGATAAGCCAGTGGGGCAATATGTGGCCGCCTGGGTATATGCCCACGGACATCGACCTAATGTCCGAGGAAGACGCCGGGCCGCCTCACGTCTCCAAACTCTTATATTCCCGCTTCACCTCCTTAATCCGAGCGGCGCAGATGCCCGCCGACTGGCGGTACGCGCATGCCTCGCCTGTCGCGCGCGTGGGGGTTTGCGGCGAAGGCTGGATCGGCGTGTACCAAGAATACGCGCGCTTCGGGCTCAGGTTCCCCATCGATCCTATCTTGGAGGGCGTGCTGCATCTCGCCCGGTGCTCCCTTGGGCGCCTGTCGCCCGTCATCATCCTATATACCGTCCTCTTCCGCCTTAAGTGCCGCCAACACAATATCCTACCTTCCTTCAAGCTTTTCCAACACTTCTTCATCATGATTAGAAGCCCGAATTGCTTCAGCCTACAAAAGCGCCCCAAGCTGGGATACCATTTCATAAGCAAGGGCAAGAAAATGGGGCGCTCATGGTTT